GCAACGGATTAACGCATGAACTTATATTATATACAGAAACTTGGATTATCTTACCATTTTATTCGTTAAACTGTTTTCATTCACTTATAAAAACTCTTTTGTATTTCACAACTTACAACGTAAACCTTTGACAAGCATTAAAAAAAACAAGAATAGCGTCTGGCGCGTCCGCCCGGCGGCGGCACGAATGTGTACTGCCGTCTGCCATATGGTTGTATGAATGAGTTCGACATCATTTACTAATAACATTGTAAATCATGCTTTGAAATTCAATAAATAAAGTTCATATCGGATTTATAAAATATTGTGAAGAGTTTATTTTAAATAATTTCAGTTCAAAGTTTTTTCATCGTTGTGACTTGTGAGCCCGAAGTACGCAGTGCGGCATGCTATGAACATAACGGACCTCCTTTTTATCGACGATCCTGGTTCATACAATGACAGAATGAAACTTTGTTGCATAATAAGAATAATTATGCTTTCAATCTGACAAGATAAAAGTTTGTACTATTCGGAAATTTATTTATTTTTTGTAACAGTTGAGTAATTATTTAATTAACAGCTGTTATAATGAGTTTACAAGGTGAATGAAATTTATATTAATCGATGAGTGAAAACAATGGTCGTATATGTTTGTTTTATTATAATGTATAATTAAGTTTTTGACATTATGGAAACGTTGAATTAGTTTTCAAATTAAAATTAAATTGAACAAAATATATATAGAATGAAAACATCAACAGAATATAATCTTGTCAAAATTTTAATGATGGTCTTAAAATATAATTAATCATATTCATGAGTATAATTTTTAAATAAAAAAATATAGCCGCGTCATAATCCACATAAAGTTAATTACAAAAAAAATATTTGTACCATTGTAAAACATGAACGTGGTATTATCTAAACAGGAAATATATTACACTGATGTTATAATTACTTGTTAGTTTGATATAAATAAAAAACCAAAACTTTTTTACATTTTATTTTTTTATCGCGTTGTGAACACTTGATTTATGGAGATCTGCTGAATATAGAAACGATTTGTTTTGAAGATAAAGAACACGCAAGAATGCCTTCTGACGACCGCCGTTGACTGACAAATTCTTACAATTAATTTACTCATGTACAGCTTTAAAAGGTGAGAGTTGATGAAAGTGATAAAATATATCTACCCTCATCAAATATAGCGAAGAATAGTAAACAAGGAAATATCAAAACGTAATGATTAGAAAAGATAATAGCGGAATTATTACTGTTTACTCAGAAACTGTGAAAATATAAAGAAAGATACATGAGTTTATTTCAATTATGTTTTATGCTTAAAAAATTGTTTCTCCATACAGCCGTGTTTGATATCTCAGTTCGAATCCCCGTTGTTTTTTAATTAAATCTTTTTTTATATTATTTATTAGGTATAAGGGAGTGACAAATCTGACGTTGACAATTACTGGATAAATTAAAAAATGAGGTTTTATTCATCGACATATACTAATGGACATGCCGTACGCGTATAATCTGCAGTAATTTTTGGTTTGAAAAGAGTGAGAGAGATGGCCTATGCTTTCGGCTCATAACGTATTAAGTACGGTACTATTTTGAGAGAGATAAAGATAGACCGAAACTTTGTTTCCTCTCTTTCTTTCAGAGTGCCACAATTCTCATCTCCAAGGCATGTCCATAAGTATATGTCGACGGTTTTATTCGTTCAAACGAATCATTTAAAAATAATGTTTGTAATTAATTTTTAAGAAATAATATCGGTAGAAAATATATCATATATTATAATATGTTTGTATAATTTCAGTATTTCCGTTAACGAAATAATCAATTACACCACTACAAACTAAATGATATTTTTATTTTCCTTGTATTTTCTACCTTCGCCAATGATCGTTAAAAACTTTAAACAAATATGTATGTATGACCTACAATGTGTAAAGTGTTTTAATATTTCACCACAAGATGGCGTTACCTAAGAGATACAATGCCGTTATGACTCGAGCGATACCATTAATATTTCAAAATATGAAATGAAAAATTGTTATTACTTATTAAAACAATTTTTAGTAAGCCTTAAAGTACACGTAATTAAAATTAATATTAATACAAAGCTGAATCGCAATTAAACATAATAACTGAGAAGAATCAAAACACTATTTGACTGCATGTTGAAATTTTAAGGCTAATTAAAATATATAAACAAAGATGTAATACATCTGATGAGCCTTCAATAATCATATTTGTAGGAAAGCAGGGTAAATGCAGCTATCAGCGAACAATCGAAAAACCTGTACCGAATCAGGTTGGATTGCATCAGTTTTTTGACTGTTCCTTTTTCGAAGGAGGTTAACGCAAAAGCTTATATATGTAAAATTTATTGAAAATAAATACTGTAAACTAATAGACAAGATCACTTTCTACGTATTTAGTGCAATAGGACTAAGCTTCATAAATAAAAAAAAATCGCCCCCCACGTATTTACCATATAATCTTTATTCTTAATACTCTAGTAAAAGGTATTTTATTATGTGCAAGTTCATTTTATTAAAATTTTTAAAGATTAATTTTTAAACAACCCACATAACGAAGGTTTTAATAAGCCATTCCAATTATTATTTAACATGCAAATTCTTAGTCTCAACTATTGATTATCAAGAATGATTGAGTAACCCCAATTATGATGCAGAATTAGTTCACGTTTACCATAAAATACAAGTATAGCAAGTTTCCTAAAGGATATACGTAATCACTGCTGTACCACAACCTAAAGATTGCATAATAATAATGAACTGATATTCCTATAACACTACCAATCTTAGATAAGGATTTTCTATAGATTATTCCATTTAGCTGAAGAATTGAAATCATAATATTATACCCAACCACTTGTTTCCATCGCCAATTCGTCGTACATAATATATTAATGAAAGAATGTAAATGCTAAATATTTAGTGTGAAGATTGAAACTTGTGATAAGGATACAGATTATATTCCAACATAATTATATAAGTAGGTATAGTTAAGAAATTAAAGGATGATAAACACTAAACTCGCTGATAATTTTTAAGAATAAGAATTTTACACATCTACTAAACATAATTTCACTGCTCTCAAAAATGTGTAAAAACATACAAAACCTGATCAGAGGAACTAGAAATAAGAATAGTATCAGAAATAATTGCTATTATGAGCGGTTCCAAGTGATTACACGAGTTATTTCAACAAGCAATTTTGGAGAAGACTTTGTAAATTTAATTTACTTATACAATAATAAATTTGGAGGATTTCATTTGTATTCACAATCATAAAACATATATTCTTAACTAATAATCCAAGTCTTAAAATATAAACTAGTCTTGATAATTTACGATTATTTTAGAAAAGCGCTTAGAGAGTCGCTAATAGCATCATTCACCTTATTTGCTTTTCCTCATTTTTTGTTATATCAATATAAGTATATCGCAAACATATGTTAAGGCGATGTATATCTAACGAATGTAGCTGTAACAAAACAAGCCATAATTTATATAATAAAATACATAATCTCTTTATATCTTTAATTAAATATAATAGTGTATACTTTAAATATGGTGATGCTATCGAAGAGCTAAACTAATGTATTAATATTTACTATGAGGCTCCATAGTACATACTAACTCAAAATTAACATTTTCACACTATATGTGGAGCGTTACAGCTTTTAATCGTAACTTTGAACTTAAGAGTATGTTATTGAATGAGAAACGAGAAACGCTTCGTAAGTAGTAACGATACAAACTTGTAGTAAGCAAACAGAATTCTTACATAAATCAAATTGTGATAAAACAATTCTTTATACAAGATTCTGTTAATTCTACTTCAAATATAAATGTACTTAGATACAATGACAGCAATTGGAAGAAGACAATAGTTACTGTCTGTGTTGTGCGTTGTTTTGCCTAAAAATCGTGATTTCTGAATCATAAAACAATAATTTAAAACACGGGTGGCAAGTACCTACCAATGTGATTTTTCCGAGTCATACGTACTTTCTAAGAGTTTTTAGACACCACTGACAGACAGCGAAAGAAAAAATCGGGAGGAAACCTGGACTTATAATTTCACAATTATAAGTTTGAAATCACAAACCCGTCTTGAGCAAGCGTGGTGATTAATGCTCAAACCTTGTCCATATAAGAAACCTTTGCTCAACTGTGGGCTCTGATAGGCTGATGATGATGATGATGATAATAATATCGCAAATATTTTACTATATATCTTGCAACTAAATACTTCCTACATTAAATCTCTAATATAAACACGATTATCGTGTATCTATATAAGATAATATTGACACTATGATAATGTCTTAGACTCGAGCACATGTTTGAAACAATGTTTTTCAAATATATTTTATTTTCACTATCAGACAGTCACTTCCATCTCGTTGTCTGTCCTCACGGTCGCCGTAAAGTGATCTGAACGTCGGGAAAATGTTAAATATAATAATAAAAGCACGCAGTATATCCGAAAAACATAGTTACATTTAAAACATAAACATTTCCAACTGAAAGCGTTTAAATGCAAAAAGTATTTTCTATGATTTTGTGGTTCGAAAACATAAAAACCTCTTTGTTAATTCGTAATCTTTTCATAATCTGATGTCGTGTGATTGTTGCGTGCCGAATTATAAGAAAATGGGTTTTAAGCGATGACGTCATACATATGAAATGAAGCTTTTGTTGTTAAACAAAATTATCAATCTAACTTTTGTCATTGCGTCATCCAAAAAGTATCTTTATTAAAATCTGCGAAATCAACTTAGAAAAAATAGTTAGCAAATACTTAATTTAATGATTAAGAAATGAACATATGTAATATTGCAAATTAAATAACTTTATGAGGTTCTACTTTTGAATGCCTAATGAAAGGTAAAATAATAATCAAATAAAAGTATTATTTTGCTTTCTTATTTTGGCCTTTATTTTACTTTGACATAAGAAGTAGTTTGTGAAATATCAGCTAACTTCCGTTGTGGGATGCACTTCCTTCTTTCTGCAAAGAAACAGTTACATTTGCTATTATAAAACATTATTTTGCCATAAATAGCTACAGATAACATTATGACAGAAATAATCCTTCCCAACATTCGTGTCAGTTGATTGTAATACTTAAAAATATTATTGTTTATTATAAAGGCAAATCCAATATATATGACTGCAAAAAAACATATAATTCCTTGTTATCTACTACTATAAGTCCGAAAAATTACCCAAGATTTCAATTTTCCACAATTTAGCAGTAAAGTTTGACGATCTCAACAAAATAATAATCATTTTTTAAAATAGGTAATAGGATTAATAAGAATTGAAAGCTACGAAGCCGAACTACGTTTTTTCATTACTATCTAATGTCAATAGGCAATCCTTTTCATACATTTTATAATCCAAAAAAAGTCACAAAGTGCAGACCATAAAATGTACTTTCTACTTATTTAATTCAAATAACTCATAATACTTGGGACATCAAACATATTGTTTCACCTGGAGAATATAGTGTCATTATTGATCGTCTTCCAGTTGTCCATAGTCTGCGGCATGCTACGGCCCTTCGTCTCCGGCACCAGGAGTGCCACACCAGCAGCTAACACGCCTATCACACCCACCAGGATTAGAGAGAGACCCTCCCATACACGATCCTGCAACATTAACATGATATCAACAGTTGCAAAAGATGAAGATGTATATTGTATAAAGAAAAACATATCTTCCAACATTCTAAAAATCATAATGTGTATGAAGTACTTTTTTGGTGGCAACAATTTAAACAAAGTACCTAAGATAACTAGCAATTATTTAAACTCTGAGTATTGAGTTATTGGAGACGCATAAAAGAGTATATATAACGAAAAAACAATTTAAAACAACTTGTAAAAGTGAGTCAAAATCATTTATAGTCTATTGCTTGTATTGCTTAATAAGAACAAATATTAATTTATAATCTGTGATAATACCTCAACGGTCCTTTGAGAATGCAAACATAGACCATGTTTCAACTGCAGGCACAAAAATTACCTTTATTTTTCGTATAACCCGATTTTAATATGATGCAATCAGCACATGAATCAACATTTGTGCATATAGTGCAATATTAATAAATCAATATTTGATGAAGATTGTTCCAATTTAAATAAAATTATATTACTCACATTATTTGCTCATCAACCAGTGTATAACTATAATCTGATTCAAACAACATTATTCTTCGTGAGCTTCATCATTATGTTTCCCAGAAAATAATAGAGTCTACTTGTACTCACAGAGTATATTATAAATGGAGACACGGTGACTGCTGCGAAGGCGCTGATGTGGACGAAGGATGCTCCAGAGGCTCTCATCGGTGTTGGCAGCAGTTCTGGTGTCCATTGGATCACAGTACCATACGCCATGTTGTTGAAGAAACGAGCTGTTACAGCTAAAGCGACTGATGTTACACCTGTGGAGTAAATCGTAGAAAAAAGAAGAATATATATATTATGGAAATAGAAATAAAACTATACAAAGGTAATGTAATTGCACGAAGAGACCTAAACTCACTAGCATACGTAAAGAGTAAAAAGCAAAGCAATTTTTACTTTTTAAGTTGTAATGTAAAGAGAAGTGTGTATTAATACGTAATTATATTTATGTATGATTTATAACTACATACATACCTATGTACACTTGGTTAATTAAGAAACCGAACAAAATATGCATTTATATATAAATAAAGGTGAATGTTTCCAACAATTCTTATTCACAAAGAAACTACGCTACACAACCTATCAATAGCACACATGCTAATAATTTGTTTTACATGACATTGTCATTCTCTTAAAAAATATTGTCGACATACCTCTTGGTACGAAGGCAGCTATTAGTGATAATATACTGGCAATGAGCATGGGACCCATTACCATGTACCGGCGACCTAATCTGAAATGAAAAAATATTTTATATTTAATTTATTCAAAGTCAGATATCATCAAAATTTCATAATATTAAAAAAAATCCTCTTACACTTTTCAAACATTGATGTATTTTAATATTTTGTTCTAAAGATATACATATGTAAGACTTTCTTATATTAAAAAAATATAAATAAAAACAATGTGTTTAGCGTATGTGAACCTTCAAAACCTAATTACTTCCTTTAGTATCTCGTTAAGCTATCTTGCACCTAAACTTATAGACATCGTAATTCGTAATCAATGAAAAAGTAATTTCTCAAAACATTTTATAAATAACCTGTCTAATAAGAGGACCAGAATAAGAATCGATGGAATCTCCGTAGCTGACGTCACAGTGAAGGTCAGGAAAAAGTCCAAGCCGAGGTTTTCAGAGAGCCGTATGATGCCGTCGAACACAACAGCAACTCCCATGAAAGTTATAATCAAAAATATCACCGTAATACGCAGCGACGGAGTCTTGAATATAGTCAACACGCTTTCCTCCTCGTTCTTGGTTTTACCTGCAATAGACTTCAGTGAAATGGAAAATTATTCAAATACTTCCAAAATATCTCTATACTGTATTGCAATTACGTAAACATGATATCTTCTCCGTGTCCAAAACATGAACTGCTAAGTAATAGTATATTAAAGATGGCTTTACCTATGAAGGGCCATAAAAGTAGACGAAACTTACAACAAATTCCTCAAGAACTTCGTCAGGTATCTTAGACTTGTTTATCCTCTCAAATCGTTTCAGCACCTTCACTGCTTCGTCAGTTCTGCCTTTAGACACTAACCATCTAAAAGAGTTCTAATATAATTAACATGTCATCAAATACACAGTGTATATTAAGATAAACTTATTACCGCGCACTCTCTGGGACAAGGAACGGTGTTAACAAGACCAGTAACGCGGGCAAGGAAGTGGCCAGAACGAAGTACTTCCAATCACCGATCCAGAGAACAATCCATGGCATCAAGAGACATCCACCACCGAAGTACATGGCAATTGACATATTCGCTACTAGCGAGCGATATTTTGTCCCTACGTATTCTAAAACTGAGGTGAGAGAGATTAATATACATGTACATGAATGTATTGTACTAACTGAGGCTTAAATCTTGCGTATAAATGAAACTAATATTTTCGGATTTTACTTCGCGTTTTTATTTTTGATTATAAACTCCATACCCCCGACGGTTCGGCTACTTTTCAGCAACCGTGATCACGGTTGCTGAAAAGTATTAGTTTCGAGGGATATTAGTTTCATTTAAATGAGTACTCGTGAAAATCTTAGATCTCATTAAATCTTGCGTCTAAAACTAATGCCTTCTCTTCATTTAATCAAGGTAAATGTCATCACGAGCGTAAAACGCTTCCATACATTGAATACAATTAAAACAAATGTTCATAAATATGTGTATATAAACATACCCAAAATATATATCATTATGAAACAGCTGTCACATGACATGCCCACTATGAATCTGCATATAGAGAAGTCCCAAAATCCATTTGTAAACATAGTGCCAATGCCGCCTACAAATGCAAATATATTTGACACTGCAAAGAAAAAAATAATGATTAAATTTTAACATAAAACCATTGGATAATACTATAACTTCACATGTAATTTCTTAATTCAATAACAAGAAAACTGTACAAAGTTTTAAAGATTTAGTTTTCCTTAATATTAATTGTATAATGTTTTCCTTAATAATAATTGTATACTTACAAATTAAAACTGGCAATCTTCCATACCTATCAGCCAAAGTTCCACACAAAATTCCACCGACGATTGATCCAAAGAATCCGATTGTTTGAGACCACGGCACCAAGTTTGATCTATCACATACCCACTCACGCTGAAATTATTTATGTAAAGTATGTATTATAAATAAAACATTTAAAATTCACATACTAAAACTGGAAATGTTATTTCACTCTTCCAAAATCCACAATATATTATAATATTTTTTTAATAATTCAAGTAACGCTATATCATTTCATAAAGAAAAATCTATGTACACCATTTTTATATTTTTTAATGAACATTGATATTATTTTACTTTAACTACATTAATGAATAACTTAATATGTTTTTTTAATAGCTACAGACCTCATTAACGACAGTAGAGTATGGTATGTCTTCAAACAAGAACTCCCAGCCATTATCACAAGGCACAGTCGGAGTTCCAGGGTCCGGCGGGAGCAAGGTTTCCAAAACAAGCGTATAATTAGCAAGAAACCGGTTGCAATTATCATACACGTTGTTAGAATCCTTCGGTGTTGATAGAGACCTCCTGTTTATATTTAATATACTGTTATATCAACGTGAGATTATTCCTTCAATAAAAATATAGTTTTCGTAATCGTTAAGTCACTTAAATTTAGTATTTAGTATCTATCTTGGTTTACCATTTTAAATTGTTATGTCCTCAATGTTTACAATGTTTAGGTCTCTTTAAGTTTTTTCACAGGATTAAAGCAAAATGAGTATATTTTCCGATAGCCTTATAATGCGTTGAACTACCTCACACTATATCAAAACTCAGGGCAATCATTCTGTATGGTATTCGGTAAAAATATGCAAAAAGAATTAAAATATAACAAACAGCTTACCTAAGATCGGCATTCAATCCATCTAATTCTGGCACCCTGCACCAATGTTCTTGGGGAGTTGCAGTTATAAACATCTGACCAAAATAACCAAAAGACCACACCATTCCAAAGGGCAGCATCACAAGGAACAGCCATCTTTGATACGTCCCCAGCTCCCCCACGTGACTTATAACTTTCTCTAAAGCGCTACTAATGTCTTCGGTTTCAATAGAATTCTGTAAAGTATATACAGATTTTTGATATCAACTATATGTTGGTGATTATCATTCCACCTGTTGGCAGATGGAAATGAAGCCGATTGCAATAAAAATATCTCACTAAAAGTCTAATTATCCACTTTTGAAGACTATCCCAAATGAAAAACTAATTTTGTCGGACTGAGCTTGAAGAGCTCTGTAATTTAAGGCTAACCTATCAAAAAACTAATTCAAAAACAGTCATTATACATATAATGTTGTTTCTAACTTAGCTATAAACTATATTACCGCTTTATTAGAGATATCCATTATAAGCGATTTTCTTCAACGTATCCTATAAACTTCAAAACGGCACTAAATACAAACCGATAATTTTTTTCTTATCATTTATCAGAACGAATGATTTAATCGAAAGGCCAAAATATTCATTAGAAGATAAGTTTTTGTTTCTATACGACGAGACTATAATACAATTTTTTTTTGCATACTTTTTTTACTAAAAAAGGGGTTTATGTAATAATATAGGATTTTCTAGAGTACACATTTAAAAAATACTAAGTTTTTTGGATAAAGCTTTTTTTAGTATTTAACAACTGCATAATCTCGACGTTTAGCTTTCATTACTGCAATCCTGATCAGGAACACACTAGATGAAAGTTGAAGTTGAAGATTATTAGAAAAATTAAAATTATATATGTATAAAACGTGTAGTATTTGAAAAACAAAGTTTAATTTCGTAGTGGTTTATAGTTTTTTTCGACATAATACAATTTTATACATATACTAGTAAACCTGGCGAACTCCGTTTCGCCACCAGAAGGCTTTTATATAACATTTCGTTTGGTGATTAAAAGATGAACAATTTTTTGTTTCATATTTGAAAAGGAACATTTTTATTTCATTTTACAACAGTAATGAATTCATTTAGATTACAAAAATGAAGTGTTATTTAGTTCAACTTCTCTAAGTAAATGAAAGTGAATCCAAAGTAGATACCGAATCGAAGCGTTATACGTGTCCGCAAATTATCCGTTTCATTGAAGTGCTCGTTTGTAAACCACATTTTTTGTTTTTTGGTCTAACTTTAACACAAATTAAGCGTATGGTTTCCAAACTCGTGAACACGCAAAATATAATGCCCATGTGAAAAATAATGATTTTCTAAATTTATCCCGCAAATACTAAATGGTTTTAAGAGTTCAAACAACAAACACATTACCTAAATATTTTTATTTTTATATAGTAGATTTCTTACAAATATCTAATTGTCATCCATACGTCATTACATATCTGTCATTATACGTCAATTGCATAGCTGTCAATTGCGTTATTCCACGTTTTATAATGACTGACGTTTCATGTCAAGTCCCACGGGAATGCTGTCGAACGGGATAAAAAGTATCCTATTGCAATTTCCTGGTTCTAAACCACCTCCCTGCCAATTTTCAGCTGAATCGGTTCAGCCGTTTTTGGGTTATAAGTGCAGTCACTAACACGACTTTCTTTTATATATATAGATAGATTATTGATACCATTTACATATATGTATAAGATATACATGCAAATTACGTTAGATGTATGAATGAATGCTTATGTCGATTTTTATTTAAAAATTATTATTACTATTGGAAGGAAGGAAATACAGATTATAAATGATGCTGAAAGTGGGTTATAATAATCTTGAGCACATACAGTAGTATTTTCGTTTTTAGACTTCAAATGAGAAGTAGATACCTACTCATAGACAAAGTGGCAAACTAATGCTAGTATACTATAGTGCATATTTAATATTAAAAATATAAACCCATTTGAATTAAATTTTCATTAAAGAGATAAAAACAAACAAGAAAACCTTAAACGAGAATAATCCTAAGATTTATATTTGGGAACATAAATGAGATAGTGTATTGAACCATTGTCTTTATACCACTTAATATTGAAAAAAGGGACCAATAGAGACTTCCATTATCAAAACGCATATTCTTAAGAAAAATTTAAAAGTTTTTAATATAAGAATTAAAGCAAAATATTTTACAACAGGACTTCGTAATATCTGTTTATTACATTTGTCATTTACCTAAAATGGACGGATTACCGTATAATTAAATATTGATACATAATAATTAATGGTCCAATTAGCAAAGCTGATATAAATTAAGAGAAACCATAAACTATATTTTTATACTTAGATATCAAAGTAGTACTATAAATTGTATATTACTATGTTCCAATGTCAATATTATATAATTATCTTTTATTAGATATGTAATAAATAGTCCTGATATGAATGATAAAAAAAAAGTCGTTAAAGACATTGCTATATTATTGTCTCGATCTTAATCGTTAGAAGATAACGTATTACTCAATTCAATCGATATTGCAAAAATATACATATGTACATAAAAAAAACTATAAATATTTATAGAATTTGAACGAACAGCACAAAAAATTTATAGATAAGAAGAATAATGTATCCTGAGAAACTTGGACAAGAAAATTTATATTTCTATTTAAATTGGAAACCTTTCCACAAGATAAATGGCCGGTGTTGTAAGTTCTGTTAAACAAATTATTTCTTGGAAAGTCCATAAAATACACCCATAGATATACCATTCCTAAATAGCAATCTAAAGGTAATAAAACTACTCCATATTTATGAGCGAAGATGATTTATTTTTCCTTATTTAATTTAACCATAAAAACCTTGATAAATGATGTATATGGCTATAAAAAAAGTTTATGTTTTATAATTACGTATGTAAATTTGGACTCATATAGGGCATTACTTCTAATGAGGAACAAAACTTAGTCAATTAAAACTTATAAATGCTGGAACTGGAGTCTTAACTGGTGAATTTGGAATTGATGCTGATAAAAGTGTTATCGAGCGAAGCAAACTGAAGATGAGAGTGAGATAAGATAGTAATAGTAAGAGAGTTGGGTTTTATATACAGGGTGACTGGTGAATTACTATCGATACTTGAGGACGTGATATTTGACGATCATATATGACAAAATAAAAATTAATATAACATAAATATTAATAAACTTCTAAGTAAAGTTAACCAAAAGTTATGTAATTAATTACGCATTGTGTGATCACCCTACAGATTAGGTATACACACACACACGCGCGTGCGGGCGTAAAAAAATAATATCAGCTACAACCTACTACAAAGACTTGGGCCTGTATAGAACTAATACAAATCCCTTCCTGAAACGTAATTCGTTGAAGCTTTAGTAAGCTCTTTTCAAATTTGGTCAGGTAGATGAAAATGAGCTTGGACGGTGGAGGTGAGCGTTTAACGCGCATTAGATAGGGTCCCTTAAACCTACACGTGGATCGTAAGACCAAGGCACTGTTGAAGCTCCTCTCCCTGCAACGACGGACGGCGGACCCGATACCCGCACGGTGAATACATTGAATAGTGAGAAGTTTGATCTCGCTTCACTAAAAGCTAGAATGACAGTTTATTCTAAATAATTATAAAGACCAAAATCCACGACACTTGGTATGATTTAATTATTATTTGCTAAAAATTTACAATTACCTACATGGGTTAAAAAATCAATTTGAAAATACTCATTGTTTTCCTCAAATCTTCGATGTAGGTATGTGAAATGGGAAAAAAATCGGTTTCATGTGAAAAGGTTTAAAAGAGGCCGTAGTAAGCAGATGTAATGGCAGATTACTACTAGTTTTAAAAACAAAAAGAGTTCCAACATAGAGAAAAAAATAGGTACAAATAAACAACCATATTTCATAAGCACTATATTAACTTATTCAGAAAACAATAACGTCTAGCACTGTTCAATAAAAATATCAACACATTTCAAGAAAACCTGTTTCAGTATATTCATTACAATAAAAGATACATTTGTAATTAATAACGTAAAAAGACAACATTGCTTTACATATTATAATAGGAGCAATTTATTAGAGAAGATAATTAAGATCATTGTATTTGTACTTTTGATATTGGCTTTTGTTTTATTTTTATATTCTTTATAGTTTTCATACCATTAAGGAATATTTTAGGTCATTTTCTAATAATAATAACCGTTGCTGTCACTGAAATTCAATAACAGGTATTAAATTAATGGATTTTGACTTATTTATTAAAATATATATTAGGTATTTTATAAATAGTGCGATAACAATAAAACTTAAGAAAATTAATATCGTAGGTAATTGAATGAATAAGGTTAGTTGATAACATTTCTCATGTTTTTTTATTATAATCCATAATCTTGACAATCTGATTGACTGAAAAACGTTAATTCTAAGAAGTGCTTTAGTTACTTAATTTCCATGTGAAAGTTATTTACGTTTTTTTGTTGTTATTTAAATGGTTTCACGTTTTTAACATAAAAAGTATATAATTTTCTCAATTTATAACAGAATAAGCGGAGAAAATTGTGCTACAGTTGATAACAAACATTAAGAAATGTAAAAAAATATCAAAATCACAATCTCTCAGCGACCGAACAGAAATGCCATTTATAATTCACCCATCGTGCTCCAATTCCTTATTGACTATTGCCACTTGACACTTTGTAATTATAAAACGAAAATTAACAAACGCATTTACCTTTAGACTAAATATACATATTTTAAACATTATAAACAGATTTTTTTTGCAATAACTACATACGCCAAATTTAAAACATAGCAAGATAAATTTATTTATATAAACTATAGTAGTTTAACAAATTATGTAAGCCATTTTAATTTTGAGAAGAATTTAAGACAAATATTTTTTTTAGATAGGGCAATTGTGTTTACGAACGTAACGCCACTGACATTTAATTTGACATGATTTTTCCGAAGTGTGAATCAGTCGTAGTTTTAGTTAATTTAATTCTTAAAAGATATTGAGAAGCACTAGGTGCTATTTCCAAAATATATGTGCTGTGCTAGTTTATAAATAAACGATTTTCCCTTTGTTATGGACTAAAGAAGATATCTAAATATATTTCTATGCAGATGGTGTAAGTACGTTTGTTTGCAAATATAAACGGGACTAGTTGGAAAAAATATAAATTGTTTTTGCACGTGATTCAAGGCCGACAATATGTCCTATCAAGTATTTAGATGAACAATACGCTTTAATTTTTAGTCCTTTGCCGTACACATAGTTTTACATGAATAATTCGTAATCAGTAAGTCATTGTTTTTTGTTACGAAACTTTGGTATAATATGTTTCCTGATACAAAACTGAGCTATTTATACTGCATTTCATAATCAAATTTTTCTCAAAAACTCTACAAAGCAGAATAATTCTTATGAAATAATGTTATTTTTTTGCAAAAAAAACTATATGACCTCACAATACGTGTTTTGAACACTATTAAAGATAGTTTTGTTTTTATATACTGTTGCTATTTGAGATCTAGTTTTAACAAAACCCAATGTTATGTTTACAATAAAAAAATCCACATAACATTTGGTTTAGTTTTGTCATATGATTTCTAATTCTAATTTAACTCATTATCTGAAACGGGACTTTAATTAGTATCAACATAACTATTATGGAGATAACTAATTGTATAGTATATAACTTTTCACTGTCTGTTCTGCAGCCATAAAAATTTAATCAGAATTTATTGAATTATCTCTGCCGGTCTGCATTTAATAATAATCTGTGTTAAATCATCAACTCATCATCTTGTATACAGCCAACAAAGGAACAATTAACTAGGCACAAGAATATAATCATTCTGCTCTTACATAAGAGAAACCTGCATTAAACCTTTTTGTTTATCTGATTATAATGGATTTGTTGAAGTATGGTTTATATTGATAAATTTACATTTTCCTAAATAATTATAATTTTCCGATGTTACTGAACATATGAACCGTGTTCCAAATAATCTTAATTATAATATCTATTATTTTATTTCAAACTGAACTCTTCCTAAGATAACTGTTTAAGTTAAATTAAGGAAATCTGTTTGTTTCTTGAAACCTGTTCAAAGAACTCCAATTATTGTCATAAAAAATTTGTTGCCTTCACAACAATGCAAGCTATTTATAAAACAGCATTGGTAACTTAAAGAATAAAAAAAATCATACTTATATCTCCAGTTTGGCAAATTATAATTATGTTTTAATGTATGTGAATTATCTTTTTATCTTTTAACCCCTTAGTTGAGTTATCTTTTTTTAATCAACCAGACGAAGTAATCATTTCAAAATTTATATTAATTTTAATGAAAATAAGTGTCACAGTACTTAAAAAAATTAATAAACGGTATGCATGAATAAACAGTAAAAAAATTATTACTTATTAGTAATTTCTAAATAATATGTCTTTTTTTTTCAGAACAATGCAAGGAATGCTGACGGACCTATATCTAGGGATGTAAGAATATTATTGGTGTTGAAGTAATGCTGGTACAATGCAGCACACATCACATTTGTGCCTGACGGCCCTGTTCAGTGTTCTGACCTCCGTACACGGCAATGTTATAGTTTATACACAGGAACTACCACACACGGTGAGAAATACTATATAGTACTTTATCTTTTCTTATAAGATAACAATAGTTTATCTTTTTATAAAAGAAAATATCTTTTGACCGATATTTAGGATGACATAAATAGATAATTATATAGTTTGATTTAAATGCTTCTAAAATTTAAAAAATATTATCTTATATCTAAATGAAATTATTTTGTGACTGAATTTAGAATAAAAATATTTTAATCTTATTAGATTCTAAATAGCTTCCAAAGATTCTAAATAGATTCTAAATAGCTAATAGCTTCCAAAGTTGAAAAGATAATAATTTTTATATAATCTGCATTAAATCTGTCTGAAATAAAAAAAATATTAGGATTATAACTTTTTTATCTTTCATTGATAATAATTATACATGTCAAAGTTTTTTTATGGATACATTTTTAAAATAATTACATCCCTAGGTAATTAATATACAACCTCTAAATGAAACAGCACATTTCAGACAGAAACAAATCTGTTTTCCACTTCTCAGGCGTTACATTGTCATTTAAAATATGCATACAAATTTTCACCTCAATATTGCAAATGTCCTCAACAACATATGTAAATACATAATGTATTTTGAAGCGGCCCTGTTGTTTTAAAATACATAATTACATTACTACTTTCTAGTGTCTTAAATATAATATGTAAAGAATGTATATTGGATCCTACAACTTTTGTGCCATATTAACTATTGCTCCAAATGGTTCCTTCTAAGAATATGCACCATTTTTTTTTGTTGGCCGGCACTTACAGAAAAGGCCTAAAAATGTATGAAACCTGAATGATCTCCTTTAGGTATAGATCAGATTGACCTTTGACTCTGACATATACTATGTTAGTGAGATGAGTTATTATTGTATGAACAAAAATAAAGCTAGGAATCATGATACATTATATATGCATTCCATAATGTAACATATGGGGGGTTATAAATATTCCAGCTATTTATGTGTCTTTGTTTGATGAAATTTTGCTCTATCTTTTGCACATTCTATTTTTATATTTAAATATAAAATTTAAGTTCACTCTAATTTTTTATCCTTATGCTTGATAATTGATATTATTAAGTTTTTAATTATTTCAAACCAAAAAAAATTGTTGTGACATAATATGTCAAATAAAAAAATGACATTTAACTATGTCATTTTTTTTATTTGACATATTACGTCACAACAATTTTTTTTGGTTACGTTTATTAATCGTTATAAAAATCCTGTTATTTAGTAACAAAACACTATACTCTATGTTATTATTTTTCCTATTGATATATTATCCATTGATCGTCATTTTCAATCAGAATAAAGTACGAAAACGTAGGACATTGTAAAGAAAAATTGATGTACATTTCGCTAAATACGTTTAAAATAACTGTCAGTAGATGAAACTTCTCGCACGATTTTAATATTATTTTCAAACATCGTGTAATTATGGAGTAACATTATATTAGCGTTAATTTATTGTATTCCTTTATATCAAAGACTGTTTCACAGATAAAAACGGTCGGTATGTAGAATGAATTACAATCCTTACCCTACACCAAGGTCAAAATGATATCTTTGACATGACAGGATAAAGTTATGGTAGGTAGTCTAAAATAAAATTTGATGACATTGGTCTACCACAGAAGATTATTTATCGTATAGTAACTTGTTCCTATGGATCCTATGGATTTTTGGAATAAAATATTTTAAATAATTAGCTTACAAATTTATAGTCGATTTGGGATCTTTTGTTTTGAACTCGTTTCAAAAGTAGCCCAAATGACTCAAGGATATTACTCACAAATCACTAAATATCTGCGAGCGAAATTCCCATCATAATCGGTCCAGAGATTAGCCGGAACAAACACACCGATAAAATATTTATAAACATGCAGTTCTCATATACTCCTGAATTATACTTTCGTAGGCGTTTAGTAAGATCTGTTAATTTAATTTTACTGCCGCACAAATAAAAAATTGGTTGTTTTTGTAGATAAATAAATGAATAGATCGCCTTACGACATTTTATTATGTAAAAACATTTTAAAGTTTCATGTGATCGGGTTTGTGTAATAATGAATATACGAGTATTGTTTTTGTTTCAAATTTTTTTAATGCTCGTCTTTAACAAATCTTTTGTATATGATAATTTATTTTGTATATGATGTCTTACTTCTTTACGTAAAATATTAAAGATATTTGTTAAGTTAAAAACAAGAAAAAAAAAATACATTTAAATTCAAAAATAATTATCTTCCAGCGACAGTAATTTGTTCTGTATTAGTCACACTAATTGTGCACTTAAATCATGATCGTACAGGAAGCAACACAAATAAGTTACTGAACAAACAAGTTAAACCTAAATTGTTCTTCCGCTATGGCGTTAAGGGATAATTTCCCGCAAATGTATTTGCAATTAATATATTGAATACTTCAAGTTATTAAAGTCCCACGCGTCTCGTTTCCACGTGTTCATAGATTGTATTAGATTATGTAAATGTAAATAAATGTACTACAATTCGACACACTTCAGCGTTTCTCAATGATAGCTTATCTTGTTGGAATATTACCGACTTTGGTCGACAAATGATTTGTTTGAAGCGAACAGTTTAAAGTGCGCGGAAGTCGGGTGAAGTTGTTATATTCGGATTTTTTTATATGTAATAGATAGTTTATTTGTTTAGAATTCGATTTTATGAAATTCTTTTAAATCTCTTCAAAAGAGGTGTTATAAGTTGGACTTTTCATCGTAGCTCCCAAACGGATAGACCGATTTTGATACGGTTTTCTTACATTTAAAAGTTATTTTGATCGCGATGGTTCTTAGCTGTGTTTGTGATTATCGATCGTAATTAAAGCGTATTCCCGTTTTTCCAAAAAGATTTGTTTCGTTTTTGGTCTATGACCACTCGGTTAGGTTATTTAAAATGACCATTGAATTGTATTTTTTTTTTTCTAATATAAATCAAATTTTGTTGTTTATAATAATTAATTGAATCCGCGTGTGTTATTTTGATGTACAATTCAATTGATTGACCAAATGTCCGTGTCTTAAAGGGCGATAATCGCTTAATATCTTTGTACTAAAATAATACCAGATTTTTATTACTTCATACCTTCTCGAGTTTATTTTTAGAATATTCTTAAAATTGCGTATACTTAAAACTTTGTTGAAAGTTATTTTTGATGTTATATTGCTTTTTACATTATTTTTAAAGTAAAGCGTCGACACGAATATCCGTTTTTAACTTTCAAGTAAAAGTATATTTTTATTATCAATCGTCCTTAGTAAGGAATTACGTCGTTAACTTAATACTAACAGTCACAAAGTTTGTCATTAATAATCTCGGATTATAAATAGAACGATAAATATAACATTAATGAGACTGCTATTTATAGAAACACCTCGAATCTGATACAGAAAAATAATTAGTATATTTATTTAAAAAGAGTTATATGAATGTATGGTCAATACGAGAACTACCCTCACATACATATATGAATACCGCGGATGCGTCTGTCAGCGGTAGATGCGGTGTCGGATGAAATTAAATAAGTTAGTGAGAAATAACTGGAGATAAAATGATGTACAACTCATCAATCAACAGTATAATAGTGATGCATATAATCAGTATGCAGCACTTCGTAAGTATTCATTATTAAGGTGCAAACCTTATTGTGACACTGTATATTATATGATGGCCTTGTTTCATATTAATCTATAGATAGTATATTATCTATGAAATATATTTTAACACTCAAACATACCCACGAATAATAATAGGAGGATAAAAACTATCCTATTTTCTTTCTCAAGATCAACTCCTTCTCTGTACCAAATTTCATTAAAATCAGTTCAGTGGTTTAGGGATGAAAGCGTAACAGATAGACAGACGGAGTTAGTTTCGCATTTATAATATTAGTAGGGATGTCACTTAATGTTGTGCCCTAATAAAAATTCCCCCGACTGCAATTCATATAGAAGACTGGTTTTTGACTGCGGTTTCGTCCGCGTGGTTTTCGTAATTAATCTCAAAAATATATAAAATATGGGCAAACAAGACTTATGTTAAGTGATCTCCTGACTTCATGCTAAATACAACTTTTATTTTCGCGAACGCTAAACGAAATGGTATATGATTCTATTCTGATTTGAGATACGTTTCTATAGAGTTTCATTAAAAATTGTCTTAAAGTTTTTGTGTAAAATATTAACGAACATCGATACATCCTATAAAAAAATTATTTTTTTATATTAGTATGATAATAGTTCTATGAATATTCGCGTCAACTGAAAGCTACGTTAGTATTTTTGTGACGCTCTACATAACGAGAACCACATAATTATGATGATTCATATTATGGGCGTTTATTTAACATGAACCTTCCCGAAAATTGTAATGTGACATCTCCCTTATCTTAGAGAGCTGGTCCCTGAACCAATTAGTTAATCAGTTTGCTTATCCTAGAATTGTATCGTCATCACACAGAGCTATTCCCGTTTCTTAATCAATAACTTACTTTGATACTACATATATGTGACGGGATTTATGTATGAAAAATTCTTAACGCTTTTTATATATTGTGCCATTTAAACTGGTCATAAGCATATAATACTTTTATTGAACTCTAAGTCATTGAAATGAAAATAATATTTTTGGAAGTATTACGCGTTTTCTATTGTTTTATCTCCCTACTCTCGACGTCTAGGTTACTTCGCAGCAACCGTAATCATAATCCCTCTCGTCTATACCCTACAACCATGACATAATGCCTCTCGTCTATACCGTAGATAGCGGAGGAGTTTCTAGATGTGCCAGCCAGCTTCGGTCCGGAGCTGCCGGCGGATGGTCTCCGAGGGTACCTGGTGGCGGGCGAGCCCCGGGACGGGTGCTCCGCCCTCGAGAAGCCACCCCTAGACGAGAACTTCACTGGAAAATGGGTCGTATTGATAGCCAGGTGGGTAGATTTATAATATACTAGTTTTTGTCCGTGACTTCGGTATAAGTAATATATGTATAGCTGATTGAGCGAAATCTATTCCGCCCTAGAGGCAGTAAATAACTAGATATTGGGATATATTAAGTCTTATTTTCTTTCTCGATCGAACAGAATTAAATATCCTAAATCCGTCTCCTAGTTCTATCTCCCACTAATTTTCAACCATATCCCTACTACCGTTCTCGAGTTAAGAATAGTGTAACTAACACAACTCATACACAGGTATATATATAGATTTTATATTTCATTATATTAGATTTAAAGTATAATGAAAAGGTCAAATGTTATAGAATGTATGAAATAAATCGTAATACTAAAGTATGATATATATTATTATATTGATAACATACATGTTGTTTATTATATAGTTATCTCATTTTAACGGATATCTTTATGTATTGTTTATTTGATATCAAATTTTTCTTCATAAGGTATTTTATATCTTAATATAAACAGCATCTGATCGTATTACACACAAAGCTTTTGAACCCTGAGTGGTATTTGTCTGATTTCTATATACATATTTTATAGACCGGGCGAACTTCGTATCGCCCTATAATCAAGAAATATCTGTTTTGAAGTGCGACAGAATGATTGACACATTAGTTAGTTGTCAAATCAGTATATATCAATAACTACTAATAAATTTAAAATTCATTAAAAAAAGTTTGTCCAGCCGCCAAAATTGTGAATCTAAACCATTCCCAGGTCCCCTTGAACACACACAAAAAATTTCATCAAAATCGGTCCAGTCGTTTGAGAGAAGTTCAGTGACATACACACTCACAGAAGAACTTTTAGTAATGAAAATCAAAATTGTCAAGATCACTTTTTTAAGAGTATATTATACTTTTTAATGTTTATGTTTATTTTTAAGGAAATTGAAGTTTTTCCCATGGTTTGATTGGTTTGGACAATTAATAACACTTTACCCTTAACACATCTATTCATAAAAAATAATTTTTTTCCTCAGTTTTTATTTTCGACACTAAAAACCAAGTGGGCCCTATTTTGTTTTGACTAGTTTATATATAAAGATATTATAAGGCTGACTTTTTTGTTTGTACTCGATAAGCTCAGTAGATACTGGAAGAATTTGAGAAAATGTGTCAGTGGTCATAGTTCATATGTCTAGGAGTGCTATAGACTATATACACACATTTTACAATTGATATTTGAATAGTTCCAAATAAATGTATAACTCAAACAAGTTTGAGAAACTCGAAGTTTCGATTTTTAATAAGTGAATCCGAAAAATGTACAGTGTTGGTTATGCATATGCAGACTAAACCGTGGTCAAGAACTAGTTAATATATATAATATATTTTTTTATCTAAACAGGTACAACTGCAGTTTCGAAGTGAAAATCCGCAACGCTCAAGAAGCGGGCTTCGACTGCGCCATAGTACATAATGTTAACTCCAGTGAACTTGGTGAGTTACAAGGAAAGCAATCAGAAAAGATATAGCTATTTAAATATCATTAGACGCAATATTATTAAAGCACTTTAAAGCGCTTTTTTTTATAAATGTACCATGTATTTCGATCCCCTTTCCAGTTAATTTAGTACGGGAATAACCGGATTAAATTACTCATAGTATGCAAATGTACAGCCTATATATAAAAAATGTCGCCCCGCTAACAATGTATGTCATATAAACAACGGTAATTAAATCCGATACAAACTGCAACAAAAATAACTTCAGAGAAATAAACGTTAAAACATTCAAACCATTTTGGACCTTATTGCTTAGGAATAAGTGTTAGTTAGTGACTCGGGCACTCTATAGCAGATAAGTTGATTGAATGTTGCGTTATCTGGTTAAGTTCTACCGGCAATAGTTTTAATGAACTCGCCACAGACGGACGTGTTTAAATATATGAAAAATGGAGCTCTCAAACAGTCACAGTGTAAGTGATAGAACTAACACAGTTAGAAAATCGTTAACCACATTTTGTTATACTTTTTTACACTATGTCAAGCATTAAGTTAAATTTTATAGTAAGAATACTTGAATATATTAAATAAGGGTGTGTGAGTTTGTGTGTAGCCTATAGTGTAACACACACACACAGACAAATGATGACGTCATATTTTAATGTTCCAGAGACGATGTCAGCGAAGGATCCCGACACAATAACGATACCGTCCGTGTTCGTGAGCGACCTCGCCGGCATCATACTTGGCGAGGAGTACGTCTACACCAACCAGTACGTAATTTGTAATGTATAGTGAGTGAGAGAGACAGATATACATAGGTAGAGAGAGAGAGAAGTAAAATATGTCATCAGCCTATCAGAGCCCACTGCTGAGCAAAGGCTTCTTCACACATGGAGAAGGTTTGAGCATTTATCACCACGCTCAAGACGGGTTGGTGATTTCAAACTTATAATTGTGTAATTATAAGTCCAGGTTTCATCACGATGTTTTCCTTCACCACCTCTCAGTGGTGTCTAAATATTCTTAGAAAGTACATAAGAGTCGGAAAAATCACATTGGTACTTGCGGACTGAACCCGCGCCCTCATGCATGAGAGGCGGAAGTTTTTAACCACTAGGCCACCATTGACTATAATACATATAGAAATATTAATTTTAAGTCTACGCTTATGACGTCACTCTATTAGATGACGTCATCAACGGTCGCAAGTAGATGGCGATGATAGTGATGGGAAGAACCTACAGATTTATATTAGAATATTGTATACTAATAGTTTAAAGTGACGTCAGTTACATTATTATATATTGAGAGGAGGAAATGTAGTTTTTATATAATAGTAATAATTATGTTCATACATGTAAAGTTAACGAGCGTAAATCACTCCACATGTACATTGTACACACTACTAACGTTTTATAGTGGAACTTGTAATACGACTCACTCCTGTTCTTGGTATGTGTAAATAAATAATTATAATAGTAAAAAAATCCTTGTATCTTAATAAATTCGAATTCTAGCCATTGTTACTATGTTTGTAAGGATTAACAAAAAAAAATAGTGAATTTCAATGAGATAAGATTAACCCATACATCGGTTATATTTTGTATAAAATCACGTGACTGACGATAGATGTCGCTAATAGTCAGTAAAAAAAAATTATTCATTAAAGTTTAAAAGATATTTGCCTCTTTCTGTATATAACCCCGTAGTTAATGTATGATGTGGTAGTCGTAATCTAATGGTAGTACATTTGTTATATTTCCAGTTACTATATAATGGTGAACGGCGACATACCATTCAACATCAACACTCACCTACTGCTGCCGTTCGCCGTGGTGGTTGTGTTGTGTCTCGTCGTCATACTTATATTCATGGTCAGTAGTTATCATATCATACCATTATATAAGTTGTATGTGTGTTTGTTACGCTTCTATAAATATGATGGACCGATTTTGTTGAAACTGTCCTGTTATATAGATGTATGGATTGTTGAATTTGGTTGTTATGAAATAAGTAATACTTAAGTTGGTTAGAATTCAACTCTAAAAGTAATGTTGTGGAGCTCTGATTAAAAAGTTGAAGATATAAATATATGTAATTAGTTGTTTGATGGTTTTCCCTGATAACTAAATTAGTTCCAAGCACCATAATCACATTTTATCTCTAAAAGTAATACTTATTAAAAATTCTTACCAAAAATCTATAGAAATGTTTTTTATATAACAATATAATGTTCCACAGATAGTGAAGTGTATAAAGGACCGCCGGCGGGCGCGGAGACATCGTCTTCCCAACCGCTCCCTGAAAAAAATCCCCACGTGTAAATTCAGTAAGGGAGACCCTTACGACACGTGTGCCATCTGTCTGGATGACTACCAGGAGGGGGAGAGGCTCCGGGTGCTGCCCTGCGCTCATGGTGAGAACACTAACATGGAAACAATACTCTATAGTATATACTTATTGGTGGTACAATAAGAGTATAGTGTAAATGAAACTAATATTTACGGATTTTACTTCGCGTTTTTATTTTTGATTACAAACTACATACTACCGACGTTTCAGCTACTTTTCAGCAACCGTGATCACGGACAGACGAGATGTGAGTGTAGTTTGTAATCTATACTAATATTATAAAGCTAAAGAGTTTGTTTGTTTGAAAACGCTAATCTCCGAAACTACTGGTTCGAATTGAATAATTCTTTTTGTGTTGGATAGTCCAGTTATCGAGGAAGGCTGTGGGCTATATAACATCACGCTACGACCAATAGGAGCAAAGATATAGTGGTAAATGTGTAAAAAACGGGAGAAATTATTTCATCTTTGAAGCCTTCCGTTGCGTGCGCCGTGAAAACGGTTCAAGATACACAAAAAATATGTGTTAAAAAATGATAGCTCTTTTAATGATCTAAAAAACAGTCCGCGACGGTATATGTCTATCTTTTAAGATTAACTCACAAAAACCGTTTTTATGGTACCTAATTTGGTCGAAATAATTTGTTTAAGTTGTATCAACATAATAATATTAATCTTTATTCAAATAAACAAATAAATATGTTGTTGCTTAAGAGTACTTCATTGTGAACAAAAAAAACATTCTTCTACGGGAACTCGACCATTCCGAAAACCCCGCAAGAACGGGAACTATGTGGGAAGAACCAAAAATCTGCCGTATGTCACTATTCCACGCGGACGAAGTCCCGGCAAAAGCTAGTCAAAAATAAAAACGCGAAGTAAAATCCGAAAATATTAGTTTCATTTAAATGAGTATTCGCGAAAGTCTTAGATTTCATTAAGCTTACAGTGTCTTAAAAGAGCTGTATAGTGTATACATCTGTATGAATATTTTTTAAGTGAAATATATACATGCTTGACTTGAGGAGAGAGCTGGTGAAAATAATTGATATCGTGAAAAATATTATATGTCGAGAGAACAGAACAATGAGGTTTTCCAGCACTAAGGAAACAATACTCTATAGTCTATACTTGTTGGTGGTACAATAAGCATACAGTTATTGTATATGAAATATTATATACCTATGTACTGGTATAAACATATAGTAATATTGTATGAAAGTTTGTAAGTCTGTATTCATATTTTTGAAGTGAAATATATACATCTGTGAGTGAGTAAGTTGGTGGATGATATATGATAGCGTGGAAAAATATGTTATAGAGAGATAGATAGTTGGGCTTGGTATATTACTGTAAGCATACGAGAAAGTACATATATTTGATCTATCTATCTCTTTCCCTCACCCCTCCCCTTTCATAGCATTCTACATTTGAACTTCAGTAATACATAAAGCATTCTAATAATATTATGTTGTCTTTCAGCGTATCACGCAAAATGTATCGATCCATGGCTGACACAGAACCGTCGCGTGTGTCCCGTGTGTAAGAGGAGGGTGTTGGCTGCGGACGAGCGGCCCGCGGACCTCGACCTGGACCTGGACTCAGACGACACGCAGCCGCTGCTGGAGAGACGACAGGACACGCAGGTGACACAGTCACCACGATCATAATGACAGTTAGGACGTGTAGGGCAACACTCATACTCACACGGAGAGAACACTTGATATGATAATAGAGCATACACGCTTGAAGAGAGGTTCTGACATGATAATAGAGCTTTGGGTAATGGATGAGAATAATATTCGTTCTTAGGGAATACAATGAATGAGGAACTAGTCATAATAATAGATCTTCGTAATATCTTCTTCTACCTGACAATTTCTCAGCTTTAGCCAGGGTCTGCCTTACATGTTGTGAATAGTTTTGGATAATTGTTATTACGACCGGCCGCCTGCGAGACATCAACCCTCTTTGGGAATGCATTAATCAGTGATGTCTAAATACTATTATAAAGTACATATAACTCGGAAAAATCACATTGGTACTTGCCAGGATCGAACCTACGCCCTCGAGCATGAAAGGCGCGCCTTTTAACCACTAGGCCACCACTGACTTTATAATATGCAAGAGAAATATACTTAGGACATATTATAATGACTTAGAAACGACTGTATCTAATACTAAATCAGTGTTATATAATGTTGTTGCTGTTACAAAATAATTATAAGTTTGATGTTTATACAGGGTGGTACATTTCAAGAGCAACGCGAGAATCCGTTCGTGAGGGCCGCGAGGTATATATACAGACTACGGGGAAGAAACGAAACGGGCGAAGAAAACGACCCTGAGGTTAGTGAACACGAGATGATTATCATTCATTATATAACTAAATGGACATATGAATGATTTAAAAACCATCAAACACCCTATAAAATAAATTCTAAATAAATCTGCATTATTATTAATGTATTGTATTTTTATATAAATGTATTTTAGTTCCATCAAATGATTAACTATTATATTTCTCATTTTTCAGGTGGCGCGACCTACCGAAGATGGCAATACTAATAATGAAGACAAGTAAGTCCTTAACAATCTAATCTGGGTTTTTTTATAATATATATATTGTGAAAAATTAATTTACTTGGATGCATTAATCTAAATTATTATTATCATTGAGATAATACCTCAATAATCAGTGATACCCTTTAGTATCGCAGGATGAATGCAAATTTAGTATAACCTACATGTTCACAGGACACACGAAAATAAACACACATTAACGTTATACAAAAAACTGGTAGAATGCAAGTGGAATTTAAAAAATATATGTATAAACTATACTCTGAACCGATTGTAATAAAACTCTGCATTGCTGTAGTTTTAACTTTTAACATCAGAACATGTACATTTTATTAATAAAATTCGTGTAGTTCCTTATAAAACACTGCATAGAAGAATTGTATGAAGTCATGAATAGATTATAGATGGCGTTGCCAGTTAATTACTATGTTTATTTATTTACAACAAGCACACTTACAACACACATATTGAATATTTACAGTTAAAGTGACTATATTAAAACATCAGATATGTACATCAATGACAAGTGTATATGTATAACATTTAGTAACTATAAACAGTGCACAATTGACGATGTTAATTTAATTTAATTTCTCTCTGAAATAAACTCTGAAGTCCATGTGGATGAATCTTATTTTAATATAATGTTTTTAACTCCAGTGTACCGGAGACAGCTCCCCTCGTGCCTCAGTCAGAGCCCGGCCGCCGCCGCGGACGGAGGTCCCGCCGGCGTGCGCGACAACAACACACACACACGAGCGTCACACGCTCAGTCAACGACGACTCTACGGACGACGACGGCGAAATAGGTAGTGTATTATGACAAACTATAATATACTAGCTGCGCCCCGCGGTGTTACCCGCGGATTTCCGGGATGTAAAGTAGCCTATATGCTATTCCTGGACGTCAGCTTTCTGTATACAAAATTTTATCAAAATTGGTTCAGCCGTTTGAGCGTGAAGAAGTAACAAACATACACACACACTCACAAACTTTCGCAATTATAATATTAGTAGGATATGGCAACACTTTCTTCTATTCTTTTTAGTCCTACGTCCCCTAGATGGGGCAGAGGGCGTTACAGTACGCCGCCATCCCGTTCGGAATATGGCAACACCTAGATATATTAAAATCTATAAAAGAAATGGCAACATTAGATATATAATTTAACAAAACATTATTGACTCTCTATCTCCATTAAATTGTAATTTTAATTTATAATTTAAAACCTAATATTTGCATGCCTTATAGTAGAATGTACCTGGAACATATATTGCACCTTCATTTAGAGCAAATAAATATTATTATTATCTCTTTCATAACAATTAACAATGTAAGAAATGTTCTGATGTATGTTTTTCGTTGTATTTCAGTCGTGGCAGCCCTGCCAGCCCAGTCCTCCGAGCCGCATTACATAGATTTATGAATACACGTATTATAAATTATAGTATATTGACACTGACTCATGTTCTGAAACAATTTTATATCTTGATGTATTGTGGGATCGTTTAACTTGACGCTTGTATAGGACAAGGTAAATCTTCAGCCATTTATATTATTTACTTCAAATAAACTATTGCCATATTTAAAATAACTAACGATATATATTTAACTTTTATTGACAATAAAAATGACTCATTGCATGGTTAAATTAGATAGTTAACAACATTTTACTTTTATTATTTTGTTTAGTTTTACGTATGCAAGTAAAGAATGTCTTGTATCAAATGACAAAAGAAATAAATTTGAAAGCCTCCTTCATAAATAATTTTTATTTAAGTTTTAATCGGCACAAATATTGTCTATGCCCTAAAAATTACTAATAACAACTGAAATGTATCAGATTTATGTATAATATATGCTATACTCCAGTATTTATAGTTTCTGGTTGTATATTATAATTTGTAAGCGTCGAAAAAATTATGACAACATTTACTCCATAATATTTCAATTCATGTGATAATTTCATTCTCAAAATTAGGACGTGTTGTGACGGGATGTAGTCAACAAAATTATTATTGTTTAAGCTAAAAATAATATATCATAGCGTTTATATGTATAGGTTAAATTTTAGTTAGTATTTAGTAGATTCGACGATATAGCTATAAATATATAAACATAAATATATCTTCCAAATTAAGATTTAAATATAATTTGTACCTAATCTCATTTGAATGAATAATTTGCCCATACGTTTGACACAGGTTCTGTAAGCTGGCTATTATATAACATGTATAAAAGAGTAATATATACTTCAGCATAGTTGTCTTTAGAATTTATATATTTTTATATCGATTCCTCATCCCAGTTTTTAATTGTAAAAAATCGATTATCTTTGAATTGTTATTTTTTTATTATATGTATAGGGAAATGTATAAAATCCATGTATATATTTAACTGACTTCACATCGATAGTAAGGGCTTATTATTTAAATGTTTACTAATAAATATAACAATTGTTGGTAAGATAGAAATAACTATGGCTTGTACGATTTTTTTGTTATAATATTTGAAGTTATGTAAATTGCTGTGCGTTTGTACCTGAATTTCTAGATATTAAGTGATGTACATTAAAAACTATTCAAAAACAGTGCATCATTGATGAATTATTCTACTAGTTTTTGTCTTACCAACAATTGTTGTTCATTATTTGTTTGTCAAGACATAAATCGCGGTGTAAGTTAGGTGAAATTAGTTCCGGTTCAAATCGAGGTCGCTGTTATATTATAAAACCAAAGAATAAATCGTTTCACACGAAATATTGTCTTATTTACATAAAATGGACGTAGTTATGCTACGTTCCAATCCACACGCAGCTCGAACTGAGAAAATCGCGTTTTCGTAATTTTGTGGTACGCTGTTTTTTGTAACGAGTACAACGAAGTAGTATGTATCAACTAAATAAATAAACATTATTTTATTATATACTTGTCATTAAAATCTTCTATATATATAAAATTGGATTGCTGTTCCTTAGTCTCGCTAAAACTCGAGAACGGCTGAACCGATTTGGCTAATTTTAGTCTTGAAATACTCCTGGAAGTCCAGGGAAGGTTTAAAAGGTGAGAAAAATTGGAATAATTGCCGGGAAAACCCTAGAAACAGCCCTTTTCTATTTCCCATACAAACGTTTTTTTGACATTAGATTTGACAACTAACTAATATGTCAATCATTCTGTTTGATTGAAACAGGAAAAACCTGATTATTTATGGCTTCTAAGACGGAATAGAGTTCGCCTGGTTAGCTATACCTACATATATACCTCTTGACCAAACTAACGCGGACGAAGTCGCGGGCAAAAACTAGTGTATTAATATTTCTCATACAAATTATGAATTATGGCTTTTTGTATGGAAGTAGGTTTTAACTTAATTTGCAAAAACGATCCAATATCTTAACATTGGTATATTTTGGTTGTTAATATATATATTAAAAAAACATAAGTATAACAATGAAAAAACATTATTAAAAAAATATTTATTAAGAACTAGTTGTTCCAAAGCATCCAGATCGAAATCCAGCTTATTACCAATTTACCAAACCCATCGACATCGTCAATGGCGTCATTAGACGCTTTCAATGTTTTATAAAAACTAAGGCAATCTGCTGAAATAAACTGGGTTTCCCGTTAGGCCATAACTGTTTCAGATCAGATCTATGTATAGCCGAAATCTCTCCTTTGGTCGTTTTTTGATGTTATTTCCTTATAATCCTCATCAAGGGAAGTTTTCATAAAAATAGAATATAATTTAGCTTTTTCGATCTTTATCTCTTTTGCCAGCAGCCCATTTAGTTTACTTTTATTTGTGAATTTCTTACGACTTACTATGTTTTTCTCAATATCTTCAGTGCTATAAGTCATTTTTGTCCATTCTATACAGGGTGACTGGTGAATTACTATCAATATTTAAGGAGCATACTCGGTACATGATTCCCATTCGAATTATGTAAAAAAAATAGGCATTTAATTTTTGACAAAATTTCCGTATAAATAAATAAAGTGTTGACACGTTCCAAGTGTTCCTAGTGTGGACGCGTACGGCGGCGTGCTGATACAAAACCACGCCCCCGCTGCGTATGTGTGTGTGTGTGTGTATACCTAATCTGTAGGGTGTTCACACGATGCGTAATTAATTACATAACTTTTGGTTAACTTTACTCAGAAGTTTATTAATATTTGTTATATTATTTTTTATTTTGTCATATATGACCGTCAACTACCACGTCCTCAAATATCGATAGTAATTCACCAGTCACCCTGTATACTTGAAATGGTTTTTTTTTCTAGCAAATTTCATAATTTCCCTATAGGTATTTATATTATTTTCATTATCTAATAATGTTCAACGTCACGTCCAGTTGTCTTGATAAACTTCTGAAGCCAGTATTTTTAGTTTTCAAATACCAAGTGACACTTGCATATTGGCATACAATGGTTCAGTACATATTAGAATTATTAGGATCCAAGGATTATTGGACGTTATAATCAGTACAGCACAAATGTCGCCACTTGTTACACTAATCCCTAGTCAATAAACTAACAAGACTATATGCAAAATATTACATAAAGTTTCAGTGTAGACAAAGAAAGTCTTACATTGTAACTTGCAAATTGTAATTTACTTAGCCAAACAAATATCATACCTATTCAAATACATATCACCTAATCTAATACAATGCTCAAAAAACTTTTCGTTGAAGTATAATATAACAAAAAAAATAATCAATAAAACAATTCAATTTCAATTCAAACGCTTTATTCACACACTGATGTAGATGGCCGCCATATAGGTGTCCAACCCGGCGGCGCTCACAACAGCACGCAAACTATCAAGAGTAAGACAGTATGTTTTAGTCAAAGAGTCCGAAGCCCATGTCATCATCACTCTCGGATTCTTCCTTCTCGGGCTTCTTCTCCTCTTCCTTCTTGGCTGCGGCAGGAGCAGCAGCAGCGGCCGGAGCAGCGACGGCAGCAACAAACTTGCTGGGGTCCTGTAGTAGAAAGAATATAATAAAATTCTAGTATTGTAAAAGCTCAAAATTTGTTATAAGCACAAAAATAGTTTTATAGTCACTTCTGCAAGGTGGTGAATTTGTTAAAGACAATATCTAGTAAAAGGTGACAGCCTATTGTGACTTTGAAAACAATTAATTATGGAAATGTATTTACTTAATTTAAAAGCTTTTTTAATTATTTAATAGTCTCAATATTAGATAGTTAAATGTATCTTTAAAATGCCAGTGCAATTTTCACTGATAAACAATTACACTAGGATAAGTTTAAAGAAGTTCGTCTAGTCTGAAAGCGAAGCCAGGGAGTTATATCAACTCCTTGGTATTTGAACAGACATGTACTCAGTTTAGAAAATAGCTGACCTTGATGAACTCCTTGATGGTGTTGGCTTCCTTGAACTCAACCTCGGTGACGGCAGCGATAGCCAGGAGGTTCTTGAATCCGTTGGCAATGGAGTGAGGAGCAGATGCCACAGTTGGGTAACCAATAGCCAAAGAAAGAGCAGCAACATTGGCTACTCCCTCCTGGAACTTGGCACGCAAGTCCTCGGGCTTGATGTCAAGGATAGCCGGAGCAAAGATGGTGCCCGAGTCATAGACCTACAAAAATGTTAGATATAATATACCATTTCTAATAGTGACGTCATATAATCTGTATTGAAAAAGATGTTTGATTGCGGACACAGTAACAGCAATAAACTGTGTACTAAACAAATTCACAATCAAGCGCTTTCCCAAAGGTAAATTATCAGATTATAGTTACAAGATACAATCTGTACTCAACGCTTTGGTTACATCCACTAGATATTAAAACTAACAACTCAAATATTATTAGGTAAAAAATCATTATATACCTGTTTAACAACTAGACCATATGAGAAGGGCGAGATGTTTAACATGTTGAGAAGAGTTGCCTCAGAAGCTCCCACTTTGTCTCCGGGCTTCAAGATGTGGACATCATTGATGATTTCAATAGTACCTGTAAGAAACCGAGTTTATAGTAACAATGAAGATTCTTTGTAGAAAAATTTTTGTTAATTACTGCTATATTAATTACCCTTGGAAATCTTGGTGGGGATGGAGAGAGCCTGGAAGAAGGCAGTTTTCTCGGGACCCAAACCAGTGTTATGAGCTGGAATGACAACAGCCAGAGGAGCAATGGCTCCCGGACGAGCTGGGGCACGAACTTTGTTCTCCAGCAACTTGTCACGGACCTACAAACAAACCTTATTAAGTTTATATCTATATAAAACAAATAATAAAAGTACGTAAGTTTACTATTTCAGTTATAAAGTTTGTATCTTCAAAATGCCAGTGCAATTATTACCAATTAAAAAAAACACTAGGATAAATTTGAAGGTTTTCTCTTGTCTGAAAGCGAAGCCAGAGAATCAAAATGGACTCACTGGGATTATAACAGACGACTATGTTGTAAACACTATGAAAACTCGATTTGCGACTTATTATTGTGATAAACAAATTAATACATACCTCGACAAGATCTCCGCGGGTGAACACAAAGCCTACATTGCCTTTGATGTGCGGCAGGAGCTTCTCAAGGGCTGGGTTGGTCTCCAAATGATCCTTGATGGCCTTACGCATCATGGTGTTCTTGCCCATGAGCACGATGCTGCTCCCACGAAGGGAGATACGGATTTGCTGCATTTGCTGCGAGCCCACGTTGTCGGCACCCACGATGAAGCATTTTGGGTACTCGTCTAACAGTTGCTGGAAATTTCATTTCAACAATAAGCACATCGCACGGAATTAATAAAATCATATTACGAGAATTTTAAATATCCTAACCTTACATGTTTTAACCAGCTAACATATTGTATGTTGAAAGTAACAAATACTTACGATTATCTTAGTGAAGTAGTTGGTCTTCCATGTGGCCTTGTCCTCCCTACCCATCTTGGAGTGTGTAGGGACTTATACAAATTTAAGGACTGTAAAAATATGTTTAAGATAAGACGCGTCATCGCTTCAAATTGCAAAATATACACTTTAATTAAGATCAAATTCCGTTAAACCGTGAATAAACCATATATATTACGAATGCATTAAGTGATTGCTTATATATCTTACGATTAAACTATAAAATATATCAACTCACCAAGACAGAACGCAAAACGCACAGTAACCGTGCGCGGTGCGGGACAAGAGAGAACTAATGGAATTTAATTTTCCATTGACAACATAAATATGTCTATGGTTTAATTGCAGCAAAAAAATATACGTTAATAATTAAATAATTGCTATACGTTATAAAAAATATTTTTATTAATATTGTTTTAAATTATTCCATTCATTCTAAATTTTTCTATTTTTCATATTTGAAGAACCCACACCGTATAGATAATTACTTTTTGTATGTAACAAAAGTGTCACCTGTCCAATTTTCAAATGCTTTGACGTACCACTGATGAACTTTAGTGTTACGTTCCCTACTTTTTTTTGGTAAAAACTTTAATTTAAACTAGAATTATGTTTGTGTCTGTTTAGACATAAAAAGTAACATTAGCATAATACACTATCTATACATATATCAATACCGGTTTAATGTTTAGGTGATAGTGTAACAACATCATGTCCATGTTTCGTAAACCGAAGAAGATCCAGCGACGAGTTTTTTGTGCGGACGATGAAGAAGACGGCGAGCCGGAGGCACCGGTGCCGCCGCCGCCGCCGATTATTAGTAATTCGAAGAAGGAAAACAAACAAGTTAAAGTAACAACGCTATTGAGTTTCGCCGATGAAGGTATGAGTCTGCACGAATATTCTCAGTAATTTGTTTTGGTAGACCTTAAAAGTATTCACTCATGTTAGTATTACGCTCCTAACTACAGACACTACTTCAATTTACAACCTACAGCCGTTGTCGTCCGGCTTCCGCCGACCTGTCGGCATGTGACAGACCTCTAAACATAAACAGGTTATAATACCATAATAACGAAGACATGAAACTTACATTCCTTAATCGCTGAAGTTTCATTAAATTTTTTAGATAAGAGATTTTTTTTTTTATAAAAAATTAAAGTCTATAAGAAAAATATATTTCTTAATACCAATGTGTATTTTGTAAAGAGTAACAATTTCCAGTCAATACTGTTTGAAAATTGAAGTATAATTTTGAGATGATTAACAAAAACATGTATTTAAATATTGTAAATAATCTTAAACACAGTATTCACGGATTCAGTATTTGTGAGTTTGTGACATGTGAGAGATGAATATTACATTTGTTATTTGAATAAATGTTGTGACAGCAAGGATAGTTGAATAATTCATATGATATTATAGTTACTACTATCTTCAATCTCTATGTTACTGAAATGTAACAGTTTAAATCACAAACTATTAAAAAATCTTTTTCTAGAATGAGTTAAACCTATAATTTAAGAAATCATTACAATAGATAATTTTTAAATTTGCCTAACAATGTACACTAGGCAATTATCATTATGGGACAAATTTGACACAGTAATGTGTATGTATTTTGAATAGTGAGCTTAGGAGTACAATTCATACCAACAGTAAAATTACCCATTAATTAGAATTTTATGAAGTATATGTAGAGAACTAAAACTATTAGTATAACACAAAAAGGCATCTCCTATAAACATTGAATATATCTATAACACAAACATTTGCTAGTGTTGTGACTTTATTGCATCATTAAAAGATCATGAAAATAATTAAAATCTTATAAGAAATGTATGTATAGTGTTTTTTTGTGATTTATAATGTCAACAATCATATTTGAATCCACAGAGGAAGAAGGTGAGGTGTTCAAGGTGAAGAAGTCATCACAGAGCAAAAGATTAAGTAAACGGAGACAGAAGGAGAAACAACGGACAGATGGTGATAATAATAAATATGACAATAACATGGCCGAGGTAATGTATACTTTGATATATATCGACAATATTACAACTGATCATATTCAAATATAACACTATACTAAATGTGCAGTTCAAACCCATTAAGAACCTCTTTAATTCTACAAATAAGTGTAAAAAAAAATATTAATTAGTTTTTATTATTTGAATAAAGAATTTATAATGTAATAGCAGAAACCGTCAGAGGAGATAGAAGAACCGAGGAAGAAGGTTTCCCTCGAGGGTCTTATCTTATCCGGGCGGGAGGCTCTGTCTGCGGAGGGGGCCGGGGACATGTCTGAAGACAGTGAGGAAGATAACAGGGGGTTCCACACGTACCGAGCCGAGAGCGTGCGGGCCGCGCTAGCAGGCGCGGGGGGAATCCCCGACGCCGCGCTCATACACGCCGCGCGCAAGACCCGACAGCAGGTATGAGAGGTGAGGGACTCGTGGAGCACTCACGACGATGATCACAGGCCTCCGCTCCATACATTCACCTTTGACAGGGACGTCTCGGACTAATTTCATCCCATAGGATGGGATGTCTGAATATAACAAATCTCGTTTCCCACATCTCGGACTCCTTACATGTATGGGATGGGATGTCTGAATTTAACAGAACTCGTTCCCTGGGAATCATTGATTCCTCTCCAGTGTTTATCTTGTATTTTTTCTGACACTCCAGTCTAGGTTTTTTTGTTTTGTTGTAGATTTATTATCTCAACAACTAAATGTATTCAAATAAAGAGTTATTATTTTATTGGAATTAAATTCTACTTTTTGTCATTTATTTGACTCAAATATTTTTTATCTTTTTTGGTTAGTGTCTTCTTTGTTTATAAATTCTTCCATGCTAATAAAATAATATATTTATTATTTTATTATGTTCATAAGCACTTTTTGGATTCGAATATCTAGTGTTTTGGCTTCACATTTATGTGCCTTTGGCTCATTGATTTTGATAAAGTTTAAGTTTTAACTCAAAGTAAGTATAACGAAAGCAACAGGTTTTTGTTAATTATTATCAATATAAATTATTATGTGTTTGATGTTGATTCGATATTGCTAGATCTTGTTAATAACTTATTATTATTTCTTATTACCAATTTAAACTTAGAATTGAATATCTATTCATTTTCAGTGTTCTGGCAACACGGAATATATGGTGTATGAAACTACAATAATATTTATCATTCCAGGCTCGAGAGTTGGGTGACTTTATTCCTATCAAGAGTGACGGTGGCTCACGGATGATGAGAGATGATGACGCTGATGATGATGATGATGATGAGGCGGACGAGGGACGGATACAAGTTAGGGGGTTGGAGCTGCCGAGTGATAGACCTGAACGTTAGTACATCACATTCTGTAATACATAGTTGAATAGTTATAAGTATTGGTGTATACAGTTGATTTTATATCTATGAATCACTCAAAAATGTTTGTTTGATTAATATTTTTATAAATATTTTTCTGTTGGAATGATTTGTCCATTTATTGTAATTGTTATTTTCATATATATAAAATCTGAGTATCTGTTTCAAATGTTAATAACTCAAAGTACTAATTTTAAATGCATATAGGTGTATATTTGAAATTGAAAATTTTCGTGAGTATTCATTTGAATGAAACTAATATTTTACGAATTACTACGCGTATATTATTAAATATTTTGAAAAACTGAAATAATAATATATGAGATATTTAGCATCTCGTCTGCCCGTGATCATGATTGTTGAAAAGTAAAAGAAACGTCGAGGGTATATAGTTTTTTAAAATAATAAAATACGCGTAGTAATCCAAATAATATTAGTTTAATTTAAGTTTATATTTGTTACATTCATCAATATATGTTTTTTAACTTGTTTAGTTTGTTTAATTCTTTCAGGATTTTTTTTCCTCTATAAAACGAATAGACAGATTTTGAAAGTACTTTCACTGGCAAATAATAAATATTAATATAGACTTATTTTATTATAAACATTTTTTGTGTTATATACAGGTGGTACCGCAGCCGCTGCGTCTGATGATGAAGCTCAGAGTGAAGGAGAGGAGTGGGAGGAGCAGCAGATCAAGAAAGCTGTGCCTTCTATAGCTGATATCACAGGTTATATCTTTATATATATAATTCTTCTGTGAGTGTGTATGTCACTGAACTTCTCTCAAACGACTGGACCGAATTTGATGAAATTTATTGTTTGTGTTCAAGGGGATCTGGGAATGGTTTAGATTCACAGTTTTGTCCGCTAGACAATGTTTTTTTATTTTTTTATTTATTAGTAGTTGTTGATACAAACGTTTTCTTTTTTGCATTAGATTTGACAACTATCTAATATGTCAATTTTTCTGTCGCACTTCAAAACACGGAGATTTAATGCTTTAATAGGTAAACTCCAAAAAATATAAATAAAAAAACGTAACAGATATTTCTTGATTATAGGGCGATACGAAGTTCGCCGGGTCTTCTAGTATAACAAGTAGCATTTGGTGTATTATATGAACATGCTTTATGTTTGGAAAGTATACAGTATACACCCTGTATACCGTTATAGTAATCAATTCATATTATTTCATATTTGATAGAAATTAGGCAGAGTGTTAATTTAAATTTTATAAAGTCGTTATGGACTTTTTGTTAAAACTATGTCTAAAAGAGATTTTATATTTTCATTAAAATAAACTGAAGAATTAAATATTTATGTTATCGATGCCTTCTATGACGTATCACGTGTCATATCTTTATTCACTATACTGAAATAAAATAAAAAATAAAACGTCTATGTCACAGATTATATAAAACGTTAGTGTTGCCAGGTCGAAATTTTACGTCATATAATGTGAACTGTCATAAAATACCACAGATTGTACGAAGAATAAGTGTTGCCACATACTAATATATTTTTCCTCCAGGTGACTGTATCCCCCTGAACCCGTTCGCGGTCCCCCCTCCCCCGGACACCCCGCGCCACCTCCGCTCGCTCGCGCGCCCCGGACAAGCGCCGCCCGCCACCGCGCAACAACTAGTACACGCGCTAAGAGACAGGTGAGAACAAGTCTATGATAATAATAATACAGTAATACCCCGCTTTACGTTCCGAAGAAAATCGCGTTAACTGAAATTCGCGTATATCGAGGTTTATGATTAAACACAGTCAAAATTTAATACACAAATATAAAAATCATTTTAATCAATCACTTTAATTCTAAGAACACTATACAATAAATAGGTACTCCTATTTTTTTACGAAAAAATACATGTATTGTCTTTTGGGTAGCGTTTTGTTTACGTTCTTGTAAAATACGTTAATAATACCAAACACTGTTTTTAATAGTTTGACACACGTTCAAGACACGGTCATCATTATTATCTATACTCTGCAATGTCCCAACCTGAATAAATTTTTGAAAATCGCGTTATAATGAAACCGCGTACAACGGGGTCGCGTTAAGCGGGCTATTACTGTAATAATAATAATCTTTATTCACAAAAAAATTTACCAAGTATAATGAAGTCCCTGATTTCTGAACTAGGCTCAAAGACCTGTATTACAGAAATCTGTGTCCTCTCACATATTTTAGTGTTATTGTTCTATGTAAATAAAATAGAGAAATAATTATTTCTTACTGTATACTAGAGTAGAGTGTGTATGAGTGTGTATGTGTGTGTTTGGGTGTATGTGTGTAATTAGTATACGATAGACATAAAAATCTTTGTTAACTCATAGATAATAATTCATCAGCAATATCATACAAGGTTTGTCAACGAAAATTGCTATGTCATATATCGTAGAGTATAGTGCAAATCCGCGTAACTAGCATTGAATAATTCCACGTATCTACATTGGTTGGGTTATCAGAAGAAAGTTTAAGTTGAAATATTTTCTAAATTAACGATTTTTAAATTATAAATAAATAAATATTTTTTTTTTAATGAAACACCTAATAGTTACTAAATGTGAAAAAATTACCTTAAAAGTCGTTAATATAGAAAATATTTCAGCTTAAACTCTTTTCCGATAGTTTTCTTAAAATGCAGATACCGGAGTTATCCAATGCTAGTTACGCGGTTTTGCGCTATTCCCTACGATATCTAGGATTCAGTTCAGTAATTATTAAAATATTTTCATATTTATTTAGGTAACTTATCATTATAATCATAATGTTTCCAGACTGTCCGAGCTTCACGATAGTCGTAGGAGTACATCGGATCGTATGTGTCAGTTACAAGAGCGCGCGTGTACGGCGGCCGCCAAGCGCGACAGGTGTAAGGGACTGTGTTCTGAACTAGACCGACGATACAAGCGGGCGCAGGCGGCGCGGGGGTACATCACAGACCTCGTGGAATGCCTGGACGAAAAGGTAAACATATATATGTATAGTGCTTAGTCCTAATTCCCATGGTCACACTAAATACGGAAAGTTAACAGTTTTCACTTTTAAATATTCCCGTACTAGCTGCGCCCCGCGGTGAAACTCGCGAATTTCCGAGATTTCCGGGATGTAAAGTAGCCTATGTGTTATTCCTGGACGTCAGCTTCCTGTATACAAAATTTTATCAAAATCGGTTCAGCCGTTTGAGCGTGAAGAAGTAACAAACATACACACACACTCACAAACTTTCGCAATTATAATATTAGTGGGATTATTGTTAACTTAAATACTGCCGTTACAAAATTATGACGGTTAAGTATAAAAAAACCATTAAAATAATTCTAAGGATATAATACTATATTATAATTATTTTATCCTAAGTAACTGAATGAGAAATGGTAAACGTTTTTTTTATAGCATGTGGAATCAAATTTTTACCTAGCATAGAAATCATAGATTGTTAATAATTGCTATTTTTGATGTGTGACAATAATTTGAATTTTGTATGATTATATTGATCTATAAACACCTGAACCTTGTAATGTTAAAATATATTACATACAGCATGTTTTATGTTTTTTATTTTATTTTAGATACCTCAACTGCAAGCGTTGGAGGCCCGAGCCCTGGCGCTCCATCGTAAGAGACGCGACCTGCTGGTGGAGAGGCGGAGGGCCGACGTGCGGGACCAGGCGCAGGACGTGCTCGCACTCGCCGGTACACACACACGCATACGCACACACACACACACAGACACACACATACAGACACACACATACAGACACACACATACAGACACACACATACAGACACACACATACAGACAGACACACACACACACACACACACACACACACACACACACACACACACACACACACACACACACACACACACACACACAGAGAGAGAGAGAATTCCTCATAAGTCATAATTCTTATTGTAATATGGCTGTGGTGGCATTCCACAAAGTCACGTGACACAAACGATAGATGGCGTCATATATTTTTCTCTTTTAGCTTTTTTTGTTTTGATAAACCAAATTGTACAGTTAATACAAATGACGTTTAGGGTAAAAGCTAGTTTTCAATATTCGATGTGGTTTGTTGGTGAAAAAGAATACTCCTACTACACTAACTACTTTTAAGACTAAATCACATAAATACTATACACGAAATATACATAAATTACAAATACCTAAGTCTAGAACTAAACGTTATGGTAACAAAACTATACAATTTGAGGGAGCGCTAATGTACAATAATCTACCGAAATAAATATTTAACGAAAAATCTTTTTATGAAATTTAAGGCTAAATTAAAAACATACTGTCAAACTTTATAATTATATATGAATGTTTGTATAAATAAGGTCACCATTAACTTTTATAAATGTTTATTATTATGTTACCATTTTAAGTTTCCTATGTAAGTGAACTTTGTTCTTAATGGGAAATAAATGATCTCTAACTACTCAATATATTTATATTAATTCTAATTGGCCTCAATTTCCAGCTCGCGCGGGTTCATCTAAGCCGGTGGACAGTGAGGAAAAGCGTCAGCGGACCGCGGAGCGCGAGGGACGGCGGCGGGCTCGGCGGCTGAGGAGACAGGCGGCCGGCAACAACACGCACAGGGACGGGGACTCGAGCGACGACGACCTGCCGCCCGGCCTGCACCACCACTGTGTACAGGAGGCTGGTCGGTAAACACACACACAGACATATGAAAACTTGTAATAGAATAATACATAATGTCAACAGAAGGCTGCTCTGTGGACACACACCCATACACACACAACATATACATACACACATACGTAACAGGACTTGTCATAGAATAATATATATGGTAAATTAATCATATAGACTACTAGCTTTTGCCGCGACTTCGTCTGCGTGGAATAGTGACTTCCTGCAGATTTTTGGTTCTTCCCACATAGTTCCCGTTCTTGCGGGGTTTTCGGAATGGTCTAGTTCCCGTTGAATTTTCAGGATAAAACCTATGTTTTTTTATTCACAATGAAGTACTTTTAACCAACAACATGTTTATTTGTTTATTTGAATAAAGATTAATATTATTATGTTAATACAACTTAAACAAATTATTTCGACCAAATTAGGTACCATAAAAACGGTTTTTGTGAGTTAATCTTCAAAGATACACATATACTGTCGCGGACTGTTTTTTAGATCATTAAAAGAGCTGTTATTCTTTAATACATATTTTTTGTGTATCTTGAACCGTTTTCACGGCGCACGCAACGGAAGGCTTCAAAGATGAAATAATTTATCCCGTTTTTTACACATTTACCACTATATCTTTGCTCCTATTGGTCGTAGCGTGATGTTATATAGCCCACAGCCTTCCTCCATAACTGGACTATCAAACACAAAAAGAATTATTCAATTCGAACCAGTAGTTTCGGAGATTAGCCCTTTCAAACAAACAAACAAACTCTTCAGCTTTATAAATTTAGTAAAGATTTGTTTTTGTGTTGTAATAATGCAGAGTATGTATTTTATATACCTTAGAAGGTATTGGTTCTTCTCAGGTCAGGGTACTTTCTTTTCCGAACCAGTGGTAGTGTCTCAAGTGACCATCAATAAGAAAGTGTAATGCTTCTATATTGAATAAAGTTGTTTGAGTTTGATTGGCTTCAAAAAATAATGAAGGAGATTCAGTGATATAGTTAGTTGTTATTTTATTAAAGATTATATTTTTGTGTTTAATATGTTCATATAAATTATTTTATGTGTCATATTTTATTAAATAATAGCTATTATTTAAGTGTAAAACTAGACTAAATGTCTTAAAAAAATATTAAGAGTTTAAAAAGTTTTGAAGAGATAACTGACATTTACATATACATACTACTTGTATTTATAAGTAGTGAGTTTCAAGAGATTTCTAAAATATATACATTGTGACTGGTGAATTACTATCAATATTAAAGGAGAATACTCGGTACATGATTCTCATTCGAATTATGTAAAAAAAAATAGGTACTTAATTTTTGACCAAATTTCCGTATAAATAAATAAAGTGTAGACACGTGCCAAGTGTGGACGCGTGCGGCGGCGTGCTGATACAACACCACGCCGCCGCACGCGTATGTGTGTGTGTATACCTAATCTGTAGGGTGTTCAAAGGATACGTAATTAATTACATAACTTTTGGTTAACTTTACTTAGAAGTTTATTAATATTTATGTTATATTAATTTTTATTTTGTCATATATGATCGTCAAGTATCGATAGTAATTCACCAGTCACCCTGTATAGTATTAATATATCACGTTTAGCCAATACTCTCAAATTAAAACAATTACTCTGTCGGAGGAATTATAGAAGGCATTTTTGCTATTTGGCAATTGTGCTAACTAGTTATTACACTTAAAGATTTGGATGGATCAGTTGTTCAAAATGATTGAAATTTATTTCGATATATTTCAAAGTAGTGTGTTGCTTAAGGGTCTATTTTTGCTTCATATATATTGTAGTAATGTTTATGATCGTATTTTCCAGAGGCGATCCGTTCTCTATCGAGTCAGTTGTTCGCGGATGCTCTACCAGCGTACCGCAGCGTGCACGGCGTGTGTGGTCGTATGGCGAGACTCAGGCGCACCCGCGGCCTGTACACGGACGCGTACGTCGCGCAGTGTCTACCGAAGTTACTGGCGCCCTATGTTAGACATCAGGTTAGATGTTATATACATATATATACTCATTAATATTACAGTAATGGAATAGTAAATTGTTATCTTTAAGTATATATAGACTGTTCTGTTCTAAGCGAATGATACGACGTACATTTCTTAAAGTCAAGTTAGTAGGAAATAAATAATCAATATGTAGAGACGTTGTTAATCCCTTCCAATAACAACAAACAAAATTTAATTACAATAGCATAGTTATATATTGTAATTAGACTATGTTTTTTTTTCATAATAGTCGAACAATTGTAAGTTAAACATTTTAAGTATATAATGTGTAATGTATCACAACAAACAGTTCATCTGACCAATTTCAAAACACATTAAAAAGTAAAAATTTAATTATACAAGAAGTCACTAAATTATTTTAATCTGTGTATCAGAACAGAAAATTCACCAAAATATATGTACATATAAAATTAGAGAAATTTGTCATGTAAATACCACAATTGTGTATAATGTCTTATAATAATTTTATGTCCCAGCTGATCCTCTGGAACCCTCTCGCTGATGAAGACAACGAGGACTACGAGAAGATGGACTGGTACAAGTGAGCATACAACATATATATGTAATAGTAGAGGTTATATGAGAATTAATAGAAACTTAGTATGCAAAATTCTAAAGTTAATTGAAAATGATAATAATGATTCAAAAGACTTCTCCAACAAACTATTTTTTTTAATAACGTTTTTGTACTCAATTCCTATTGAACTATCGTATACGCAAATAATCTTAGTTAGGTTTTGTTAAAAATGTATAATGACATAATTCATCATCGAAAAAATAATTTGAATCTGTAACCTACAGGATATCGTATTCCAATTGCTATATCAATTCATCCATACTGATATTTTGGGTTTTTTGCTGAGAATAATTATACTTGGTCTAAAAGATTATAAATATCATGTAATTCTATTCTATCATGAAGAAAGCTCATCTCGTCTGTCTGTAATCATGGTTTATACAAAGTAAACGAAATATAGGTAGTACGTAGTTAAAAATATGTAAAATATAAGTTTTATTTCATGTGTATAATATCAAATATGGTGTTTCCAGATGTCTCATGATGTACGGGTGTAAGTCGTCGCGTGTGTCGAGCGATTCGGAGCAGTCCTCATCAGACGAGGAGGTCGTGAGCGAGGACTCGGTCAGGGACGACCCCGACCTGCTGCTGGTGCCCACACTCATAGACAAGGTCGTGCTGCCCAAGATCACTGGTTAGTGGGAACAGAATACATACATGAGAGACATCGATATGTAGATGCGATGCAACTCTTTGCCTCTAAGTGTTGTAAACGATTTAGAACCCATATATTAGATGATTTCACTGATCTTGTCTAATATCACTACTGTTTATTATTTGTAATCTTAATTGTAGTTATAATTTTTAAAATTTCCTTTGTAAGCGAACTTTGTTCTTTTTGGAAATAAACTTCTTTAAACCTATGTTGATAACAAGATGAACTGCACCAGAAACGGAGATTATATACATATTGCCATCCAGGGCCTAAATAGCTGAAATGATATGTTGTAGAAGTTGATTTAAAATTTTCTACTACTCAAACGAAACCTCTTAGCATTCAATATTTTCACCGTGCGGGTGCCGAGTCCATCTTTGCGAGGAGAGGAGTTTCGACAGTACCTGGGACTTGTGACCCAGGTGTAGGTTTAAATCCCTATCTAACGCATTAAACACTCACCTCCACCGCCCAAGCTCCTCTCTATCCAACCAAATTTGAAAAGAACCTACTAAGACTGCCTACGAAATACGTTCCAAGAATGAATTGATGTGAGTTCTGGACAGGCTTAAGTCTTTTAGTAGGTTTTAGAGAGATATAGCTTTACTCCTCGCTTCCACTTCTACCGGCCAAGCTCCTCTCTCTACCTAACCAATATTAATTGCAGTTTCTCAATAAAGACATATATTTTATGTTAGCGCTTCCCGTTGCGCCTGAAACGGAATGCTGAATGTGTTTGTTGAAAGGTGGAACATGCCAATATTGTATAAATGGGTATAACTACATACTAGGTCTAATAGTGCTTAGTATGTTAGTTTTATAATTTTATAGTACTAACATTAGGTTTGAAGTTTTTTGTTACTAACACTCGGCTTTTAATGTATTTTCAATATGGATGTAATTGGTCTGAAATAAATTATTATATATTTGGTTATTCCCAGAACTAGTAGAGCACGCGTGGGACCCGATGTCTGTCCGCGCGTGTGTCCGCCTGCGTCAGTTGTTGGAGCGAGCCGGCCGCCTGCCCGTGAGGAGCGCGCTGCCTCGCCTCGCGACCACCGCCCGCGCTGTACTCACAGCATCACTCAACGCTGATGTCTTCCTACCCACATTACCGCCACAGTACGTACTAAATAATACTCACTATATATAAATATAGCCACCACTGACATACGGTGAAGGAAATGAGGAAACCTGGACTTATAGTTTCACAATTATAAGTTTGAAATCACCAACCCGTCTGGAGCAAGCGTGGTGATTAATGCTCAAACCTTCTCCATGTGTGAAAGAGGCCTTTGCTCAGCAGTGGGCTCTGATAGGCTGATGATGATGATAAATATAGCTATTTTATTTTATATATATTTATAATCCGTGCTAATAATAAAAGCTCGATCTACCTACATTCTTCTTAACTCTATGTGTATATATTCCAGTATCGTGGAGGGCCCCGGGTCGTCGTTCTGGCGTCGTTGCCTGGGAGCCGGTGTCCGTCTGCTGCGCGCTGTCTTGTGTCTGTGCGCTCCTCCGCCGGCACTCGCCGCTCATTCAGTAGCACTAGCAGTCATAGGTGACTATGTGATATCTTAAAATATATTATATGGTCCAAATTACATCTTATCTCAAATAAACTCTTCCTTTTCTGTATTGTTATATAAGTTGTGCTTCTATTTTTGTTAGATATCCGTTTAGATTTTAGATTATAAAAACTATCTTCTTAAATAATAATTATTAATAATTTGTGAGTAGGAATAAATTAATTATATTGTAATTCAAAATATATTTTTTTTCAAATGTTTCAGTGATAATAAAAATATGCAAGTGATAAGTGAGTGAGTAATAAGTAATCAAAACATTCCGAAAATCGAATGTTTCAATCCTTTTCTTGTCTTTGAATTTAACCGAACCGACCACAGACAATACAAATTATGGTTACCAATTTTCTTGTTTATGATTAAATATTTATTCTTTGACCGTGTATCCACAGAGAGTCTGTGTTGTGCGGCGGGCGCGGCCCCCGGTCCTTCAATGGCGGCGGCCGCCAGTGCTCTAGCAGAGACCCTGCCTCGCTCGGGACCGGTCCGCGCGCCCGCACTCACCCGCCTCGCGACGCTCGCCACACTAGCACTGTCAAGGCTACACAGCGACAACCCCATGCATTTGTATGACTTATATAACCACTAGTTACCCTCGATTTCCGAGATTTTCTTGATGTAAAGTAGCCTATGTGTTATTCCAGGACGTCAGCTTCCTGTATACAAAATTTTATCAGAATCGGTTCAGCCGTTTGAGCGTGAAGAAGTAACAAACATACACACACTGACAAACTTTCGCTATTATAATATTAGTAGGATTTAGAACAATTATATATAGATTTTGAATATATATAATATATGGAGTTAAGACTTGTTTGGTTAGCGATGTCTTAATTATACTATGTATGTCGTTATAAGTCATTCATTTAATATAAAAAAAATATAATATACTAGCTATGAGTTTTATATACTAGATGAACGTAATCAAAGTAACCTACTCCCACTATAATATAATTATTATTTCATAACTCTTCTACTATATATATTTTTTTATATATTTTCAGGAAAGCGTTAGAACAAGCGAGGAGTGTGATAGCGGAGGCGCGCTCTATTGAATGAAGTCACTAGACACTATCAGAGTGTAGGATATCAACAAATTGACATATGTTGTAGAAGAATTATATTATACAACAAATTACAAATAAAAAATAATATTTTTGATGATTTTATCTTTTATTCAATGGACATAAATAAAAATTCGCTCTACTTTAAATACATAATATACCTTTTTTTTCAAATATATCTTAATGAGATAAAGTTGCAGGAACTTTCTTAACTTTTTCACCCCGCCATTATTTTGTTTTAAAATCAACTATAAACTTATTAGAAAAAATAAATAAAACCACTAAAATCAGTCATTAATCAAAAGGTTCAAAGTTTAATTTTCTTTTGTAAGTAACGTGTATATTATGTGGTCTTACCCTAGTATAATAAGTCAACTTTTATAGAATGATTAATGTTTTCCAGTTCTTATTAAAATCTGAATGGTGTGGAATAATATTTACGTACTAAAGTTTCACATGTCTTGTTATTTTTTAAATTAATTATTCTTCACTATTTCCTACATCACTAATACATTAAAACCGAATTAGTAATTCGAAAGTAATTTTTTTACAAATACACTTTATATGATGACAAATTAATTATATTTATTATTGGATATCACTTAATGCAACATATGAGATACTTTGTTTGAATTGAATTTAGGATTACATTTAAACATGAACAATTATTTTCAAAGTTTTTGGGAAAAACAAAAAATGCAAAGATAATTCAACATCCAGCTCTTTATTGTTTAACCACGAATTAAAGGTTTGTATAGACATCAATATTTAATCAAAATTTGGATATACATAAAAGTTAACAGGTAAAGTCACTAGATAGTGTATGTGAGAGTATTTGGTAACATTTATAACTATGAAATGTGATCAGTTATTAACTCCTTACATCTAATATAGATCATAATGAGATCAGATGTGGCCATTACATCGTAACAGACAGCCACTATATTAAACCTACTTCAAATATCCCTACATAGTATACTCCTTTAATATCCTAAACATGTATATCCACAAAAAAGAGTTGATACCTACTTTGATTTATTTCTAATCTTCCATAGTACAAAAGGTAACTTAATGTTTAATCATCTGATGTGGTAAACCTCATTGTATAGATAATAAAAGGCATAGACAAAATAATACTGGCATCTAGTATGCAAATGAAAGCTAGTAAAATAAATGAGATAAATAAGAATCGTTGTTTAGAAAAAAAGAACATTGAGCAAGTTGGTGTATTAAGTTTGTGTATGTACATAAGCTGTCACAAAGAGATGTTACCCATATATGTTTAAATACAACAAGGGACAGACTAGAACAATCTTAGTACTATATTGTTAACAATAAAAAAATGGTTTAGACCACATTACTAAGGTACATCTATATTTATAAGTAAAAAATATTATGCAGTTTCTGTATCTATCATCAACTTGAATGATCCATCGTTATCAACACATAGAAGTATATTTGCAGTGTTTCCTTTAACCATTGGAATGCTAGGGTTTGCTAGGAATGCCAAGCTATCAACATATGTATAGAGCCGTTTTGTGGAAACTTCTTCTAAATTATCCATCAATTCTATATTGTACCAGCATAGGATAGCATTTGCATCTCCATCATTCTTTATGGGTATATTGATAACATCAGCATTCAGCTTGAAACCGTCGCCGAGTGGTACTGGGTCTGTTATTGGAGTGTAGTCTACGAGGGTTAGGTCTAGACCAAAATTCTGTGATACTTGATATTTATTAATATGTTTCGCGACCTGGTAGCCAATATTTTTGTCATCAACCCGGTTATTCGCTTCAAGCCAGGGGCTATACACAATTTGACCTATAAGTGTGACACTTGACGGCATAAATAATCCACCCTGAATTAGATGATTGTTCTTTAGAAATAATGCTATGTCTTTGTATCTGATGTCCAAATCACCTCCGAGGTCTAAAATATTGCAGAATATTGCATGGATCTTCTCATCCTTGAAGCATTCTGGTGTCCAGTCTTCAGCAATCAAGAACGTCACTCGGTCCATATCAATGTCATTGGCTTTTAAGACTGTTTCGGTGAAATTTTTATCATATTCCGTTTTAGCATAACAGAACAGAGATTTAATTCCTCGTTTTAGCATCATTAGGCCAAATACTGGGAATGGACATAAATCAATCACATTGATCTCACATATATCTGCCATCTGTCCAAGGTAAACACAAGACATGGCAATACAACTTTTGATTCTTTGATGAAAATCAGTATCATTCAAAAATCTTAACATTTCTGGAGTAATTCTTAGGATATCTGTATCATCATTTGGGACTAACGACAGCCTTCCTAAAATCATATTAAATTTATGAGTTAACACTTCATTCTCCTTAATATTTCTTGGAATGCTGTCAAAGAAGATGGCTTGTTGCCAGGCAGTAGCCCTTGTTTTCACTCTAGGATCAGTTGTGAGTGTGATATTTTCTGTCAAGTATAAGTTGAACCATCCAACAAAACCATCAACTCTCCCCGTCTCTAAAGCTTTCAATTCAACCACATATGGTTCAACACTTGATATCTTGTTGGTGATGTCAATACAATCAGTAAAGTCAACTTTTACAACTGACTTTGGTTCTGTAACAAATTTCATATCTTGATAAAGATAAACATCATCACAATCATATGTGTCATCAGCAGACATAGCATGAACAGCAAGATTGGGAATGTTGAGGTAAGATTTAATGATGGGACGAAGGTGGTATTTGGCACTAAGCAACTCAGACTGGGCTCCCATTACAAAGAAGTCTGCTTTTTGAGGTATTACATGTGCTGGTTCTGATAAAAGATGAGCCCATGCGTGAGATAGTGAGGGTAGGATATGTTCCCCGAATAGACCGGCATCAAACAACTCGGTTACTAAAAGTGAGCGTCTTCCTCCTATATCTTCACCATCCATTGTAGTAGATGATTTGTTTATAATATCTACAGACAACAGTAAATTGTTTTCCTCTAGTACACAATCACTCAGATTGGTCATAACCTCAGAACTGTCGCAGGCTACCACGGCTTTGGCACAACATTCAGTAGCGTACATAGCAAGCAGACCAGTTCCCGTGCCAAGGTCCAAGACACTGGTCTCATAAGGAGCAACCTTTTCATGGATAGCTGCACGATAGCTGTCATTACGAATTTTATCATTTAACATACGAAAATGCCATCTCTCCACCATCAAATTCTTAACAGAGTTTAAATTCTTTTCCGCATTCACGTAGCCTGCATCCTCAGATAATGCGTTCTGGAATTGTGTCCAAGCTTCTTCATAGTAGCCGTATTTAAATAAGTATTTGCCAATTTCATTTAGTAGGTATATATTTTTAGGAAAAACATTTATAGCTTTCCCAAAATTTGCGAAAATTTCTTCAATCTTATTTGATGTAGATAACACTTCATTATGCTTGAAGACGGTATCGCGGAATTCAAATTCAAATATAGGTTTTAACTCAGGACATTTATCAAAAGCAGATACATAAACATCGATTGCCTTGCTCAAACAGCCATTTGTTGAAAGCTGCCTGGCGTACGCGATATACTCTCTCCCAATGGCCGACATCGTAAAGGAAAAACATGAAGATAATAATCCTTAATGGTTAGACAACATAACGAATTAAACTTTTTCGTAATCGTTTTTTAAGTGATTCATAAATCATAATTCATATTTATCCCAACATTTAGCAAGAACTTTTGACAGCTTCCCAGATAATAAAAAACAGTCTTCTTTCTAAAAAATAAACAATAAATTTGCAAAATTGGGCTATTTATTTTGAAATACCTACGTTATTGACAACTATGTAATGTCACTAAATTGTATAATATGTATATTTCTTCTGTTGCAACTCCCATCTGCGCAATAACTATTGTCTCTTACATATCTTGATAAGCTTTACAGAATTAACTCAAATATTTTATACCAATAAATTTATTATATAATTTATCTTGGCACTAATTTGGGATACGTACATTAACGATAATAAAAATTTATTTATATTTAAAAAATAATTATTAACTGCATTTGAACGTTCATCTTCTAACGAATACGCTGTAGTCACCTTACTAATTTGACCCTTATTATAGAAGTTTTGCTTCTATACATTTTCCTATTATTGCCTTCGTTTACGTTTCAATTTACGTGCATCCCTTAATCCAACCATTTTAGGTTTTATCTATAGAAAAAATCCTAGTGAAATGGATTTTTGTGTATATCATTATAAGGTTGTTGTAATGGAAATGTGAAAAACGATATCGATGATGTACCGCCTAAAAAATTTTAAAGGTCAAAAGTCACGAAATAGTTTTTTGAAAATATCTGGCGACCTACTGCTTGGAGGTTAATAGTGGTCATTATAAAAAAAGTTCCTAGTAAAATAATCTACCAAAAAAGTGTCTTGTATTTTTCTGTAAAATCAACCTTTTTGGAAGTAGAGCCCTGAGAAAGCGACTGGATTGCTCTCGCATACGGTATTCTATTCTGTACACCAAGGCGTAAACTCTACACTATTAGTTTTTATTACATTTATAGAGGTTTGGGAACTTAGTAAAATTTACTATAACGGTTAACCTATTTAAATGACCTTCACTGGCAGATATTCCGTATTTCATTGTTCCGAGACTTCTCCCTATATACTTAAACCTTCTACTGTCTGTCGGTCGGTAATTCATTTAAATTATTTATTGGGTGTTAAATAAATTCTTTTAGTAGAAGTTAGGTTTTGTTAGTTACAATGAAAAAAAAACTCTTGGGATATCATTGTCGATACTGGAATACATTTTCTACCAACAATATACAGTGCTCCAGATTTAGAACAATCGATAAACCAATACTGTAGCTTTGCTACGATAACAAGGGAAAGTTCAGATTTAAAATATTCCTTATTACACCTACTTCTTAAGCAGCTCAACATCATGTTTATTTATTATACTTTCAAACACAAATCTGGCTAGAAAGAAAAATTTATCGAACCATTTGTATGGTCGTTTAAATTAAAACAATACAGCCACTAACGACTTTATTATTACCATCGCGATGTAAGTGGTGGGGAAATTTGTGCATTGTCATTATATAATCGCCTTTTCAGCGCTCTCGGTTTATACAAAGAAGTTTTTCTGAAGATTGACGTTTATAATGCCTAAATTGATCCGTCTCTCTTTTTTACGAGCAAAGTTATTGCTTTTTCATGTTCTCCCACACTTCAAATTTGTATCTACAATACTACAGCAGTATCACCATTATTTTGTTTATCTAATAAGTTTCTGAAGAACCTGGTTTACATGTGTGTAATTAATGAAAAACTACAATTGGAGTTAATACTGAAAATATTTTTTATATAACATTCAAGATCTCAATTATCGATTTCTAGACGTTAGTTTTCTATGTTCGATGATTTCTTTCTAATGTTATAAAGTTAAACACATGGATATGTAATTGATTTTTTAAATCGACTAGTTAAAAAAATTATCCTACCAGGTGAAGTACATAACTTGATTCTAGTAAAAAAAATCTATAGATATTAAAGGATGTACAGATTGTTGCTAGTTTCCGCAAAAACTACGAAACTGTTTTTAATTTCAATTCTCAGTTAGGTAGTTTAGACATCACAATTAGATAAAGGCCTATGATTTATCCCAGATTCTGTCTAGGTCAATAATATAATGCGGTAGAACAGTTATAATACTGTGATGAGCCATGAAGACACCTTACATAGATTATTATTAATGTGGCTCTTGGGCGATTATCATATCAATTGTTTTAACACACATTATAAAAAGCTCTCTTCAAGATTCAAAGAAGACAAAGTCCACGGCAAAAAGTAATTGCTTAAATAATCTCATTTATAATATTCTTTTATTGATTTTTACCTATTAAGAGCTTTCTTAAAACTGATGAATGGATTTGGCATAAAATGTAAAATGATAATTATTTTAACAATTTCCAGTTCTTAATTAATGTTAAATATTTAAAAAAAGACTGTCTTGTCGGGATATCGATTTTGTTTGGTATCTCATATCATATAATTATCGGATAAATCGATGTGGATGATTAAAAGTTCATTTTAAGGCCAAAGGAAATTGTTAACATAATTAATTAATATTATTTTTACAATTATACAAATTAAGAGGACTTCGACTCCGAGATGGCGCCTTTTCTCCGATTTTAGATATACAATACTACGTTATAATTTAAATAGATTATTTTACAATGGAGAATTTCTTTAAAGTTCCCCTTTTAAATTCGAAGCTATTATTAGCATAAAGATATCGAGTGTATTAACGACTTATCAAAGAAAAATTCTCTAAAATATATACAAATATTCGTTTGATTCAAGATACTGAGATATGATTTTTTGTTTTGTTTTGTTTATGTAAGAGGGTCCAAGAAGTGACAAATGGAATGAATCCTCTTTAAACACTACGGCTGTTGCCTCAAAGTACGCTCATCTCTAGAAGCACGTTAAGCAGATTTGTGATAAAAAAAAAAAATATTTCACCATTCAAATTGCATTTAAATGTACACTATTTATAGTACTGTATAATATGCTAGAGTTGGGACTATAATTATGCACCACTAATATAATGTTAATTAAAATGGAAGGTTATTGCACAATGGAAATATATATTCATACATATTTAAAATTATTCTTACTTAAGAAATAGAACTTATTACAATAAATTATTTTGTTAACTGTAATTCTACAATAGTACTCCAGGGGCCACAGGATATTTTTGTAATACCTTCATCATAGAAAACCTTTTTGAAACATTCTATCTTCTCAAATCTCTCAGGTGGTAACCCTAATTGTCCATATTTATTGCAACCCGAAGTCCAGACTGTGTTATCTTCCAGTAATAAAGCCGTATGCCTTGTACCGCATGCTATGTCTTTAACACAAAGATCAACTAGCTGATCATTTTCATCATAAACATCAACTAGTGTTGGAAGTGTGTAGTTTTTCAGACCCTTTTTCTCTTGGCCACCCTTATTTTCCATTCCTAATTGGCCGGTGTCATTCCATCCCCATAGATATAAATCTCCGCAGTCACTTAATGCCAGGGAATGCCAGCCCCCAGCGCTTATTTTGACAATTTTAATACCGGCCAGAGCCTCAACTTCTGTTGGTAATTCCAGATTTGTTAAGTCTCCATGCCCAAGTTGTAGTCTCCTTAAAGGTAAATTTATATATTGAGTAGAGCAATTTTAAACAGACTTATGTTTCATAATAATATATGCTTACCTTCCATTCCCCCAAGTATAAACTCTACCCTCGTCAGTCAACAGCATGTAATGTTCATACCCACATACTATGTCACATACTTTACCAAAACAATGTTTTGTGTCAACATAACTTGGCAGTTGACCCGTGTATACATTTCCCTCTGATGTTAAATAAATAAATATATTATTAGTTGCCACAACCTTTATTATATCATCACTAGTTCTAGGTTTCTTAGCATTTTCTATAACTGGCCTCTCAGTAAAGTTTACTGTCTCGAAAGTTTTCGTTTCGAAATTAAAAAAGCATGCAGTTCTCTTTTCAACTTCAATAAGAATTATCATATAATCGTTACCAGTTACTAGAACTTTCGACTCTCTATAGCTCTGTATAAAATCCTCGAACATAGGCAACTCCCTAAGTTGGTTCTCTTTACCGAACCATGCTCCAGAGAAATAAAACACTTCATCTACTTGAAATATATTATATGACCAAGTTGTGACGATAAGTTTAGCTCGATTTATATCAAAATTCAAATTATTTTCACTCTCAATACAGACAGTTTCAAATTTGGGAAAGATACTTTTGTTTTTAAACCACGAAAACCATTGTCCAAATAAATTTGATCCAGTTACAGAAAATATTTTATTATCGGTCATATTTGACAATTTTTATGAATAATATTATGACATTTGTTTTATTCTACGGAGATATGTATCATAGATAGATTTGTCGTTATATCGTTCTTGAAATAATAGAAGTAACAACCCAATAATAAACAAATCAATACTCGTTTCATTTAAGTCTGACAAGTGACAATGTGAAATGGTTAGGTAAACAAATAACTAAACATCCTACGTCAGTTAAGGTATGTTTTTCTTTCATAACTACATATTAAATTATTGCTAATAAACTCTTCACATTTTTTTTATTTACTTTTGTTGTCTTTTTTATTTCTACATATATATATATATATGTTAAAAATCCAGTTATTTTTTATTGCGAATATTTACAATCAGGCAACCCTAAACATTGCTATTATAACTTGAGGTATTACTAATAATTCGCGAATGGAGGATGCCGGTTTTTAAGGTATTTATAATTTTCGTTTTTGTTGATATACTTGATATTCAAAATAAAATTTATGCAAAATAAGAAGTAAACTAAGATTTGTGACCCAAATATACTTTCAAAGGTGGAGAAAAACCGTGTGAATCAAATATGATGTTGAAATGAAATGAAGGGATCCGTGAACAAATCAATATGGCACTCAAGCTAGGAAAATGCAGATTGTGCCTGAAACTGGGTGACTTCTATTCGATCTTCACTATGGATAACAATTTACAGTTGGCGGAGATGGTAATGGAATGTGCTCGAGTTAAAGTAAGTGCGAAACATGAAACTGATCGTTGTAACATGAGAGGAATTAAAAGCTTGCCTTAAACTTTAATAGCTCATTCACAACTTCTGCGTCCATTTTTCATCGTTAAATGACTTTGCATGTTGTGTTTAACATCGCTAATTTGTTTTTCTTTATAATTCGAATCTAATGCAGCGTTTGAATTTGGAATATCGTCAAACTTATCTAATTTCTTATGATGTATTATTATTGTCTTGACAAAAATGCTTTCAAAATCAAATTTAAGAAGCAGTAATTGGTTACACATTTATATTTATTTTAAAATATCTTCAACCTGTTCTGTAAACTAATTTGATTATTTTGATATAAATCAAAAGTCTTACTTATCAGTGGGTTCATAAGTACCAATTTCATAACTTGATCTCATCAGTTGTGGATTTTGTTTGTAAATGGGTGTGTTTATAAATGTTTCAAATATTGTTTCTCTAGTATCATGTTAAACTTAGATTCTCCTGTTTGCTTTTATATAATGAGGTTATTTTAATATATATTTTTATCAATATTTTGCCTCATTTTGAGAATTGTTTGATTGAACAAGTAAGCTTAATCATGCAATTTGGTTCAATTGACTCTGTTTTGCTTCAGTGTAATCTATTCTTCTTATCTACAAGTTGCACATTAATTAAAACTATTATGTTATTATATGTTGCTCTTTGCTTTTTGAGTGACTCATTCTTATCAACTACCTATTATTTTCTGTTGATGTGCTCGCTTGATGTTATTATATTAATTATTAATTTCATATTCATCATTAGATATATGAAGGTGATGGACTACCAGACAAAATTTGTAGTGAATGTATACAGAAACTTAGCAGCGCTCACATTTTTAAACAGCAATGTGAGAGGTCAGATCAAGAGTTGAGACGCAACTATATTCCACCTCCAGGTAAGTCTGGTTATTTTGGATTTTTACTTTGTGTGATGTAGGTCATGTTCCAAAGAATTTTGTACAGATTTCAGCTCTACACCTCCGCCACCTAATAGACAGAGCAGTGACTCTGCTATATCAACTCACCTGGAAGTTTCGAAGCCTTTGTCTTCAAATGACAGCAAATTGTCAATCGCGAGCAAGGTCACGCCCATCAGTCGTAACAGAAAACGCAGTAAGGATAGTATGGGTGACGCATCGACTAGTAGCGACTGTAGACCAGGCAGTTCTAAACGAGTTGAGGAATTGAGACGGACGCGCAAGAAACCAAAAATGCTCTCGAATTACGAATCCGACTTCGATGACAGCGGCTCGTTTTACTCTCAGGAAACCGATTCAGACGATCCGCTACAGTACAAATGTGAGATATGTGCCAGAGCATTCAAGTCAAGGAACAGTCTGTCAGCACATTCCAAATGTCATAAAAGAAAAAATGCAATAAAATATGACCCGGTGACCAAAGAAGTTTCAATGTTGAATACATACGTACCAGAACTATCTAATGTGAGAGACGCTCAGGATGATGACGATAAACTGAAGTGCGAAAAATGTGGGAAAGAATTCAAATTGAAGATAATGCTCAAAAGACACAACGAGATCTGTAGCAGGCCACCAATGAAAGAACTCCTGATATCTCTAGAACCGATGAACGCTATACATAAAAGAAACAGACTGGATTGCGAGCATTGTTCCTTGAAATGTAGAACAATCGAGAGCTTAGAGGAGCACACGAAGATCGAACATGGAGTGGATCTGGACAAAGACAAGGTGTGCATGAGGGATCGCGACGGAAAATTATGTGTGCCGTGCTGTTACTGTGAAGAAAATATAGACGACTTCTATAAATACACCGCTCATATAGCTGAATGTAACAAGAAGAACAACGAAACGGACGTCGTGTGCCCCGTCTGCAAACAGACGACGACGAAAACAAATTACTTCGTACACGTTAAGGAGCATTTCTTTCCAACTCGAACGATTGAATCTGGTGCTACACAAGAGAATTTCCAGTGCAGAATGTGCAACAAAGAGCTGCCGAGTCAGGAGTTGCTCATCAAACACCTGGCTGCTCACATGTCCAATATAGATGACGCCGATGAGGGAGGCGACGAAGAGTCTCGGTAATATATTATATCTTATATGTGTATATATGTATTTCCCTATAATGAAGTGTTCATTTCCCTATAATGAAGTGTTTCATATCTTTCCAGAGCGAGTACGGTTGAAGACTGTGGATCGATACATTCTGAATACAGCATAAATACGCCAAAAACAACTTTGCGGTGTAAACATTGTGATAAGACGTTTAAATATAAAAAAGCCTTGCAATCTCACGAGGAAAAGCATAGAAGTGAAGTGAAAACAGAAGTTCCCGAAACAAATCAGTCAACAGATAGTATTAACGAAATGGACCAATCATTCGGACAGTATGACTCAGATACTAGTCAAGAAGACGGCGAAGACGATAACACTTGTGATATTTGTGAAAAACAGTTTTCATACAAGAGACAGCTGTTGCAGCACAAGAGAACCAAGCACCACATGACGTCGGGAACAAAGAGAGCGAAGATTAACTTGAAGGACTGTTCGGTCCGGTGCTTGATATGCGACATAGAGATGAAGGTTAGCGCCATCAACGAACACAACCAGACACATATCTCAGTGAACATCAAGCCCAGGAACCTGTACACGTGTCTGGAGTGCACTCAACAGTTTAAGAGCTGCAGCGCTCTGGCCAGCCACATCAAGCTGGTCCACCGGCTCAAACAACAGCCGATGGATTCTAAAGTGAAAGCGGATCTGGCGGATTTTTGTGAAGTCGTTGTGACCAAGGCGGAACCCCTGGACGAGCTCCAGAATCACAACGGCGTAAATGAAAATTCCGCCAGCGATGTTAAACCTTTAGTCAACATGAGCGGATTCAGCTGTCCCACTTGCAACAAAACTCTGCCCACCCTGATATCACTCAAGAGGCATATCAACTGGCACAATAATGTTGGTAAGAACATGGAAAAGAAATTGGAATGCTTTGTATGTAAAGAGGTCGGTAGGCTGTTCATCGGTTACAATGTTCCTTACCATATCTTCTAACGCTTAATAAATTGTTTCAGACCTTCCGGTTCCAATGTCATTACAAAATGCATATGCGCGATCACTACAAGGACACGAATCTAGACCCGGCGCTACTGACCTGCTCTATCTGCAACAGGAGGAGCAAGCACCTCCGCGCCGCTCAGGCACACATGAACTTCCATAAACAAACTCGTTTCCAGAGCAAGGATTACGAATGTTCGATATGCAAGAGAGTGTTCCAGTATCGGAAGGTGTACCTCTCGCATATGGCGATACACTACAAGCGAGGCGAGAGCGCCAGAGACACTGTAGTCGGAGCGGAGATGCCCAATACAATCGATAGAAGGGTGTTCGACGGAACCTACAGCTGCCATCTGTGCGGGAAGGTCTGCGACTCGAAAACCTCATTGAAACACCACGTGATCTGGCACAACTCGAAAACATCTCTGTACGGCGCGCGACACCAGTGTGATATCTGTAATTTGCAGTTCACCAACAAGAAACGGCTCGAGCTTCATACCAGATCGCATTTCGAAGACGACAACGGACCTTTCAAGTGCCATATCTGTGGGAAGGGATATCTAGTCGAAGATTACTTCAAGAGACACGTGAAGGGCCATAATTTTGACCATCAGTCGCATAAAAAGAGGATAGAGAGGCTCAGGAAAGACAAAGTGAAATGTCCGATTTGCTCGCGATACTATCCAGACTTGGTGAAACTGATTCGACACCTGAAACGGACCCATCCGGAGAGCAAAATGGTCAAACAGGATCCAGACGCCCCGGCGCCTCGTTATTATTCTTGCAAGTTGTGTGCGAAGGTGTTCTTGGACGAACGGAGGTTGCAATACCACGAGGAAGCCCATCTCAGAAAGCCAGAGTTTTACAAATGCAAGTTCTGTGGAAAGAAAACGATCTCCCTGAAAAATCATAGGGTTCATATAAAGGGTCACTTGACGCAGAAGTATATCGATAATCCTCTGAAATGTAGCCACTGCGAAGAAACATTTACACGTGGCTATGACCTTCAGTACCACCTCCGAGACGCTCACGGCGTCAACGAGACGTGGATAGCAGAGCGCGGGGTGCAGACTCCCGACGGACCGCTCAAGGAGTTCCAATGTTCCGTATGCTTTAAAATATTGGCCAGCAAAGGAAACTTTGAAAGGCACATCGACTATCACAATTCCCTCCGATGCAATTACTGTTTCGAGTACTTCAGTAGTTCCAGGTTTCTGGAAGGTCACCTCACCTTCAGCTGCGTTAAGAAGAAACTCCTCGGCGACTCCGAGATCTACCCTAGGAAGGTCAAGTGCCATATATGTTACAAGGCGTTCCATTTGCAAGTCAAGTTAGATTGTCATTTGCGCACGCAGCACGATATAAGAACGTTCACAGAAACTTTCGTAGGGAAAAAGGAAATCGTATGCGATTACTGTTTCAAAGTGTTTGAAAACGAATACGCTCTCAGCAATCACAAGATCTACCATCGAACTGTCGGGTACTATGGCTGTATATACTGTAATAGGAAATTCAATACTATAACTCTGTATAGGAAACATAAAAATCACCATTTCTCTCAACTCAATGTGGATAATCCCATTAAATGTGAACACTGCGATGAAACGTTCGTAGCCTTCAGGAAGATGATCTACCACATGAGGGACGTTCACGACGACAATAAGGAGTGGATTGTGCTACCGAAGGAATCCAAAGAGGAGAAATGCAACATCTGTAACAAAACGTTCTTCAACCTTCACAGACATCTGGACTATCACGAGGAGAACAAGTGCCACAAGTGCGGGGAGTACTTCTACTCGCGGGCCGACTTCGACAACCATCTCTGTGCCATAGACAGCGAGGAGGAAGTCACCGAAACTAACACGAACGGTGACCGCAGCCCGTACGAGGAGTGCGCGTTCTGTTTCAAACCGGTCACCAAGAAAAATTCAAAGAGAATGCATCTCCAGATCCATAGAGGATCCGGCTCTATATCGTGTCGATTCTGCGACCTCAAGTTCAAAACGATGGACGCGTTCAACATACACGCGTTTTCGCACAGAAGCAGAAAATATAAAACGAAACCCATCAAATGCAGGAAGTGCGGCGAACAGTTCGTCAAATACGGCCCCTTCATACGACACATGAAGTTTGTTCACAAGTCATTGAAGAAGCTCCACTACAGAGCGACCGTGATGCCCGAACAGTGCGTCGTCTGCAAACAAGACTTCCCCAACCTACACAACCACTACCGAGCTCATCTACAGAACCAGTGTCATCTGTGTCTCAAGTACTTCACATCATCAAAGTTGTTTTCGTTGCACCAATGCGACAAGGAGGACTCTGATCCGACCAAAGTGTTCACATGCGACGCTAACTTGACGGACCTCATCAACACTTACGTACCCAAAGACGAAAAAGACGACGAGAAATATTACGGATACGAAGACGAAGGCGAGAATGTGGATGAAAAAGTTAATGAGAAATCGGAAGTGACGTCACACGTGCCATCTCAAGACGAGGACAGTCAGAGCTCTGTGAATATAGAGGAAAAGAAATTACATTCGTTGGTGCACGCGCCCATTATATCAGACGTGCTGTCGCTGCACAAAAATAAATGTAGCAATAATACTATTCACACAAAATCAAACAAGAACAGCGTCAGTGAGAACGTCGTGGTGCTCACTGACGAAGACTCGGTGGAGTATGAATCTAATGGAGCCTCCGTCATCACAATAGACTAAGATAATACAGTGTTTAAGTTTTACATGAATTTTGTATGAAAATCGTCAGGAGTACTATCCAGTACCGACATTTATATAATGAATTTATCGTCTGGTTTCTGTGAAACTGAAGACTTAGATCATATTGTGTGTATTCAGAATTAAATGTTATCATGACAAAAATATCTCGGTTTCCGCGAATCCTGTATTTAGTTAGACATTTTTATATAGACTAAGATCTCGCGTGTAAATATACTTATCACCAGCTATAACGCTGCCATGTTGTAAATAACCACTTTAGTCTAGGATTTATATTATAGTCGTTTTTATTATGTAAGGTGTATTCCCGTGCTTTGCGATTTAGACATTGTTTTAATACATTCTAAATATTTTTTATAATGTATATTTAAGAAAATGTACAATATGTTTTTGTTAGTCCCGTTTGCTTCCCCCGTCTTGAAGTTCAAGACATTTTATTCCAGGGGAACTTACTTAATTATTTGTAATTATTTTTTTGCGGGATATTAATAGGTGTAGTATATTAATGTTTTCATAGTAAATACTGTGTTGGTTATAGAGTATTTGTTGGGATTCTATCAAACATAGTCTTATAGCTTTAAAATGTAATAGGACGGTGTTGAGTACATTAAGAACAATTTACGGAGTTAGGTCTGAGTATGTTAGTATGAACTGTTAGACCGAAGATTAAGATTAATTGTTCTCATCATATTTTTTATTTGATTTTGTTGTGATAATATTATATTAATTTTATGATCAAAATACTTTATATTTCCTCGTTCTTCTCGATCGATTTCTTATTTTGGATGAAACATTTAATAAAAAAATTACATAATTAATATGATTATTTATTTTACATCAACCGAGTCTGGGATTTTCAGGATTAGTTCAATATGGCGGCCATTGTATGTTAAGTCAAAAATTGGATGAAAAAAATGTAAATAACGATATAAAAGTAATAATCATTTATTTAGTCAACATGGTGTTTACAGATGGTTATAAAACATTACTCAGACGGCTCCATATCATACACAGAACAACAATACAAAACGATCTCCGTATTATAAAAATAGCTTTGCGTCTTAAGTTTAGTTAAATGCTACACTAACATACATACAGTTACACGTGCCGCATGCTCAGCGACACGAAAGGCCGAGGATTACTATGATATGAAGTTAAAACGGTTTATTAAATACAACTGAATAATAAATAACTATTGATTATCGCTCTATAATTATTGAATCGACTATACAATACGTAGATAACACATTCGACGAACACCACTAACTGAACGACAAAATATATAATTAGTTTATTGCTCTAATATAAAAAGGTGCTTATAAATTAGTTTCAAATTACAAAAAAAAAAAGCTACGGCAGTCGAATACCGAAATACAACTTAGTTTATCACAAATACTCGTAACAGAATTAAATATACTGTTAATATTAAATACATGCTTTAAATCACCATTTATAATCAGTCGATTATTACCTTTAACTATATACAGATATACATTGTATGAAACGGTTACAGTTAAACAAAATAACTTGTTAGTTGGAAAAATAACTTAAACGCATTTCATGCGAGTCTACGTTTTCATTTTTGATTGAATATAATATTCTCTTGAGCAGCTAATTGGCCGTAAACAGATTTTTGGCAAACGTATTAAGATGTAAATAAAAATCTTTTTAAAATATTGAAAAATAAAACAAGTTATGTGACTTCTACATAAAATAAATCAAGTGACACATTAACTTAATAAGCGTCAAAATTGTTTTTTCTGTGGTCGTTTGGTTACAATTATTTGTAAGTTACAAAATCTTATAGTTATTGCTCAGATACAATACAATATGGTGTAGGACATAAAACAGTTTTAATGTCCAAATTACTCATATGTTGGCGTTGTGAGAGGTGTCATTAACATCGATAAAAATAAATTAGTGTGTGAGTGTATCAAAATCTTAATATATTCAAGTATTAGAAAACCGAATCTTGGTCGTTTTTAATATCTTATTATATACAGCTGTTTAGCGCCAAACGATCCTGTCACATCTGTCAGTTCTAAAACGTTATTCTCGTATGATGTAATGAGTGTATGAACCTTCTCTCTCACACACTATTTCTCTCTATCTCTCTAGAAGTCCCACTCTCCGTCGCTGGTAGTATTGTCAGTGTCGTCTTCGTCGTCCGAGGAGTGTATCGCCCTCGCTCGTTCCTTGAGCGCCCTGGCCAGAGCGCCGGCGAGTCCGCTCGCATTTTCTACGTTGTTAGTAGTCTTCTCGTCGTTGGCAGTGACACTCTCTCGCCGCACCTGGTTAAATTATCATTATGTAGAAATCAAATGTACAAATGTTATAAAGTGTTTGAAATAACAACATACCGATTTCAAGGTGATCCCTTGACGGATTTCGCTCAGTAGGTTGTTTCTACTGTCGTCCGTGCTGGACGAAGACTTCGACACGGAATCTACGGGCTGGAGACGAATACTTTACATTAGTACTATTTATTCTTACAAACTCAATAATTCCATCAATATACATAGTAACATCTGCTTCGTACCCTCAAGTTCTTGTTGCCGCTCCGTATGCTCGCCATGAGCGCGGCCCGCGGGTCGCTGCCAGTGGTCGGGAGCTCCGCCCGGTCCTCGGAGCTCGGCGGGGGAGGCGCGGGCGGGGCGGGGGGAGGAGGGGGCGGCGGGGGCGGAGCCAGCGACGGCGGGGGAGGAGGGGGAGGCATGGATGGCGGCGCCGGGGCCGGGGCTGGAATAATATATACATAGAAGAGATTAAAGATACTGATATTATGTAATCCAACAGGGTGTAAAGAACATTATTAACGATACCTGGTAAACATCACATAAGACTGATTTAAAACTACATTTCATAATAATGTTATAAAAAGTGAAAACCGGGGCAAAACAAGTGAACAATACAAGAAAAAAATAAGCAGAAAATTATTACAAATGTAAACATATTTGTTGCTTTTTCACGCAAAACCACTGATTTTATATCGATGAAACTTTACTGTTATGTACATGTTATACGGCAACTACACTTTATTCATAGAATAGTTCCTCAATACTGTGAAGTTATCCCTGGATCACGGATCACCGTTGTATTTTGTATAAGATTACTAGTCATGGACGATAGAAGTCGCTGTAATGTAATCTATATTTCACTGATACAATCTTTGACAATTGTGTGTATGTGTGTGTGTTATACATACGTTGTGTGGGTCTGGGCGGCGGGGGGTTCCTTGGCGCGAGGCTCGCGGGCGGCGGGGGAGGGGGAGGCACGGACCGCGCCGGCGGCGGGGGCGGAGCACGAGACGCTGTCCGGAGAATAGAATAGAATATACTTTATTGCACACCACAAACAGTAAATTTAACACGGAAAAAAAAATATAAATAAATGGAAATGTACAAAAAGGCGGTCTTATCGCTATGGAGCGATTTCTGCCAGACAACCTTCGATTTGGGGAAATTGTGCAGCGAAAAGGTAGGTGGTGCCTATACTATTTGCGCTGTAGCATGGTGCGGGTGACAGTTTCAATAACGTTTCGTTTCACTCTTGAAAGTTGCCGCGATTTACAAATTATGACTTAGTATTTCAGCTGTACCACATTCGTAATAAATTAAATCATTAATTACTGAAGTAGTTTAAATTAAACCAAACCAGAATGTTCTAGTGTACAAATATAATCTAATGGAAAGAAAAATTAAGCAAAGTATTATGCGTTTAACGTAATGCCATAGACGTATTTAGTGATGGGATGTACTGCTACAATGGATAGTCGATGTTTTTTTTTATAATAAAAAAATATACATATATTGGCTGTAGTTCAATTATTATTGTAAAAAGTCTATAATTATATTAATGTAACAACAGATCTTATATAAAGATGATTTTATTCGTCTAAACTCATATCAGAACCAGGAACATCTGAATCGTCAGTAAATTCATCATCTGTATCTGTGACTGATATTATTAACGATGAGTTAATAATGGTGTAATTAATGTTGTTACGAAAAAAAATCATAAACCCGATTTTATTTATTTTATATAAGTACTATATTATTTATACTGCGAGTATCGTAAGTGATAAAAATGAATTACGCAACATCACTAGTCATATGGTATTGACAGATATTAACGTCATATAGGCAAATGTCACCCGCACCAAGCTACAGCGCAAATAGTATAATCCTTATATATACACTAATACTATATAAATAGACACTAATACATATACAGGGTGACTGGTGAATTACTATCAATATTTAAGGAGAATACTCGGTACATGATTCTCATTCGAATTATGTAAAAAAAAATAGGCACTTAATTTTTGACAAAATTTCCGTATAAGTAAATAAAGTGTTGACACGTTCCAAGTGTTCCAAGTGTGGACGCGTGCGGCGGCGTGCTGATACAAAACCACGCCCCCGCCGTGTATGTGTGAGTGTGTGTGTATACCTAATCTGTAGGGTGTTCACACGATGCGTAATTAATTACATAACTTTTGGTTAACTTTACTTAGAAGTTTATTAATTTTTATTTTGTCATATATGATCGTCAACTACCACGTCCTCAAATATCGATAGTAATTCACCAGTCACCCTGTATAAATAGATACATACAATACATACAAATATACATATATACATAAATATATATTCTAATAAATATATATACTAATAAATAATAAATATATACTAATAAATATAAATGAACAATTAGACATATAAATATAAATGAATATAATAATATATAAGTCGTCTCAAATATTTACGTAAATAATATAGACACAAAAGTTATGTTCCTCCGTATAAGAATAGATATTATTATACGGAGGAACATAAGGGAATGGAAATAAAATAATACTGAAACATATTAACTGACATAGTAATGACACTTAGAATTAATTAGTTGTTATAAAAATACGGTTTCTTGTTTGATCACGTGGTTAGTGATAACTGATAAGTAACTGACATGGAGAAACGCTATAGCGTTTTGTTAGTCGCGTTTATCATATAAACCTTCATTGTGATTTTAATAGAAAATATAGAACTAAATATGTTGCAATATAACAATAGTTTCATGTAAAATATATAAATATTCCTAAAATCTGTCAAATAGTCAATACTAATGCATCTTGTGACACACTAAGACTACATATTCGCCAAGGCGTAGTATTATTTGACCTTAGTATGTAGTAAGTTGACGTTTAACCAAGTTGGTGTCTACATAACATATTAAGAATGTTTTTTTTATTATGTACGTACGTGGTGCTGGCGGGTGCGGGGCGCGCGCGGGGACAGGTGGCGCGGGGCTCCGGGACTCCGCTGGAAATTAAAGAAAAATAATTAATTATATACATTGCCATTATATACATTGAAATTGCCAGGAAGAAGAAGATACGTATATAGTGATTATAAAAACATGTAAAATGCATTTATGCGGAATTTATTTCCCATATAATATAGTAATTTGAAAATTTGTAGGAGTCTTTCTTTTAATTCGAACTAGTAATTAGTAATAATTATTATTATTAAAATTCCACATATACGTGTACGTGTTAGTTAGAAATAACCACAGACTATCATGATAAAATTTTATATGAACATGAAAATTATAATCATTAATGAATATTTACAACTGAATTATACATATAAAAACGACTTCGTCTGCGGTACTTTCAGATAAGAAATAACAGAGCGAACTCTATTCCTCCTCAAAGACAGTTAATAAGAAAATTTTGTGTTTTATCACTTTTTTCTTGGTTCTAGGCTGTCTCTCAACTAAATTTCAGCCAAACCTTACAGACGTTATAAATAGTGTAACCAATACGACTTTCCTACAGTGCCGGCGTTAGGGGGGGGGGAGGTGAGGCGACGGCCCAGGGCGCCGAATTTGGGGGTACGATTAGTGGAGGTAGGATACTTATAAATGAAAAAAAAAATAGTAGCTACATAACTTTCTACGTCCACGTCGTTAGCTCTGGGTCACGCTAAAGGAAAGATGGTAGATGGAATATAGAATTCTTAATACACGTTCAGTGTTCACATTGGTTCAGAAAAAAATTAATACTCGATTTTGATTTCTTCAAGTGGGCGCCAAAATATTCTTGCCCAGGGTGTCAGTCCCTCTAACGCCGGCACTGCTTTCCTATATAAGTGTACTAACAGTAAGGCGGCGGCGGCTCGTCGGTGAGGTCCTCGTTGACAGCGTCGGCGCCCCCGTTCTTGATGATGAAGTCGTATATGAACATCCTCGTCTCCTGGTCGTTCAGCTGCGTCTCCGACACGCCCGCCTTGTCGAAGAACCAGCGGAGCTTCTCCTCGGGCAAATCCACGTCGAAACCTGCACATGGTTAACTTTATTATTATTGACTAAATAAATTCTTTTGAAATTTGCTTAGATAGAGAGAGGAGCTTGGATGGTGGAGGTGAGCATTTAATGCGTTAGATAGGGACTTAAACCTACATCTGGTTCTCAAGTCCCAGTCACTGATGAAGCTCCTCTACCTACAACGATGGACTCCGCCCCCAAACGATGAATACATTAAATGCTAAGAGGTTTCGTCTATTTATGTTGAGCGACATCTATCGCCTTTTTTACGTAACTTCATACTACTTGTAACTGTTGTATTTATTTGTAGCCTTTATAATACCTTGACTACCAAATATTTTCAAATTGTTTAATGTCACAATAACTTTACTGTGAATGGTTAAATAAAAATTAAAGTTTTTTTTATATTTGAACTTTTCATAGCCTTATAGTACAATGGTATGTATTTTGAGGTAATTATATTTTAGTTATGGTATATTATAAATCGTTTATTAATTATTAATGACCTTTGTTAGCGTCCCACCCGACGTGTGACACGTGCTTGAAGTCCTTCGGCATGCCGATGTCAGCCTTCGTCAGTTTGCGCGCTTTAGGTTTCCTACCCGAACCTTTCAAGGAATCTGTAATTTACATATATTTATTTAAATATTTTTTATGAATATGGAAAAATTAGTTTATAACTTTTTTTATGAATATGGAAAAATTAGTAATTAAAAAAAAAACAAAAGGAATAAACATGGCATAATTAATTTTAAACTTTTTAGTTACATTAGGAATTCATAATATAATGTTCGGTGTTGACAACTATAAAAAAATCGTGATTTGTGGATTAAAATTTACAGCCAATATAAGAAATAATGTTACCATATAAAAAAAATATATGTATACATTTATCACATTATATTAAGTATTATGTTTATACTCACTTAGGGTGTTAGTCTTAGTGTTTGTGGTAGTTGTTGTGGTGGTGAGCGGCGGCGGGGGAGGAGCACCGTTGTACCTCGACGAAGACTCGTGAACCGTCGAGTTATTACGAGGGACCATCATCGAACGATTGTTACGAACTGTCATACATATTTTACAAAATGGCGCCAAAATAGTAACATATACAAACTATTTAGAGTAAAATCATATTTAAAAACGATTATTATTGTCGATTTTTTTTTTGTTTTCACATAATTAGCTAATTATTCATCTGTTATGTTTTTTCTCGTATGTTTGTACACAACGCCATTGTTGGCGGGATAATTTGTCGTTTGTAAACATATAAACAAATATTAGGATGAAATCATCGTGTATTATTTTGATTGACGAGCACTAATGCTTTTGTTGAATATGTACTAATTTTGTATGATTTATGAATATATAATGAGAAAATTAATTTTGGCTAACGGGCATCGAACCCGCGTCTTCATTTATAAGTCTAGTTCACACGAGTAAGAGCATGATAACGTAATTGGAGAAGTGACTGGAACGGGATATCCCGGAAGTCGCAGATTCAATGCTGATCGTGTGAATGATAATTTTATACAAAAATATTATCAAAATTTTAATTTAGACCCCATTATTTATGAAAAATAATTTATCTTTTCATAGTCAACCATATTATATGTTATTCAACGTCGAGTGTTGATCTTGTACCCAATCAAAATCTGGGTCTAGTGGATGCTCATGTAGTATATATCTAGACTCTTTAATTCACATTCGAACGTAAAGCCACCAACCTTGTCGTCTTTGTTTTCGTAACTCAATTTTCTCTAAAAGAATATTTCTTAGCACCGTCGCTTCAACTTCGTTTGCGAAATTAAATGCCGTCATGTATTCCTAAAAGAACAAAATATATAAATTATGGATAATTATTAAGAAACTTTCTTATTTGCTAGTTATTTGTTAAGGTAATTTAACAGAAAATAGTTTTCTTAACACAAGTTTGAAACGTCATATAAATACGTAACGTGTCCCGTCTCACATTCAATAACCTACGTTTATACTACGAGAAAAGATTTATGAATGAAAAACTGAAATATATGAAAAACGACACATTTTTAATATGACAGAATATTGATGCAACAAATACTAGTAGGTAAAACATTTACCTCCGCTTCAAATGTATGTAAATATGGTCTTGGATTTTTGTATTCAATCTGCAGATAGACTTCATGTTCCCAGATCAACGACCTCCGATAGAGGCAGTAGATCCTGAAGAAGTATGATCGTTTGCTATTATCTTTTATAAGGCACAACACCCCCGTGTCTTTCTTCTTCCATTCCGAGTGATCTGGTCCCTCGGTGGTGAATAATTGAACTACAGCTGTCGCTAGACTCTAGAATAACAATTTTAATTTATCATACATACATTTTTGTCAAATTTAAATACTAATAAAGGTGTTTTTTCTTATGATCAATATACATATTATTGTAGTGATGTCACTATAGCCCAATTACCATAATATGTGGAATGAGTTTGGGTGTCCGTTGGTACCAATAAATTTATATATATATATATATTAAAATTAAAGAACTAGGGGAATTTGAGTTAAAGATTTTAAATTTGCTAATAGTTCAGTGTTTATAATGAACATTTTTATTGACAGAGCCATTACTAATTATGTGCAGTTAAACCTAATGAAATATTGCTAAATTATATAATGATGTTAATTAAATAGAAATTTGTTTTCTGACCTAATTACTTACTATAATTGAAAGTTGTCATACAAATGGCTTATACAATATTAATATATAATGTTTTTCTTTTTATTATCTGTGGATTATGTCATTCATAGCGTTATATAGTCTGTGACATCAATATGCAAGTTTGAAACCAGACAAGTGATCTCAGGAAGTTACTTGATTACTTCCTGGCTAACTTTCTCCAAGTCGTGAATACTAATGAACCAACACTTGTTACCATTGTATTTACAACTGATAGAAATTATATATCATATATTGTGTTAAATCTTTATTAATTAATTAATAATTCAAACAAAATTGTTAAAAATATCAAAAGAAATGATGATTATAAGGTTTAATTTCGATATGCAAGTCAATATTTTTGTGTCACACTTTATATGCTAAAACTCGTTAATATTTAATCTCTATATATACAATGGGCATTTAATTATAAAACAGTTTACGTAATAGTGAAATGTTAAGTTTTCTTTTTTTTATATTATACAACAAGTGCAACAAGTGTGGAATAATTCATGACATTGTCTCAGCAACTGGTTATATGACATTCAGAGGTCACATTATACTGGTGTGAGAGATTTGACCATAGATTAATTTTAATTATCTAATATAATGATTTGAATGCAAAAGCTTATGTTATAAGTCCAATATTATTTGAGTGTAGGCTAATTTCAGTTTTATGTAACTATTGATTTATTATTGATATTTATTCTACATATAATTATTTTAAATAGCTTTATTATATTATATCAAGGTGAACATTTTTTTATAATATTGATCAAGTTTTTAATGGTGTGGCTAAAGACAGTAGTGGATGTCACAAATACCTGAATATAAATTAGGTATTGTTTATTATGTAATGATACAAATACACCCATCATTAATCATCAGTGACTAATATTTTTTTAATTTAATATCTCAATAACTTAAAATTTCAAATTCCATGTACATAAAAGTCAGATAATTTATCTATCTATCACTTTGTAGTGTTGTGTGATAAAATTTTTGTATAAAGTATTTGTAAGAAAGGTAAAGTGGTAACATGACAAAAATTTCCAATACATCAACCTGTTGACATGACTATCTTTTATCTTTTCGCAACACCTCTATCTAGACATAACTGATAAACGCTGATAATGATTTTGTTAATCACCAAACTTAAATTTAATCGAAGGCCACATAAGTTCTAAGTCACTAACCTGACATTTAGCTCCGATGAGACTAAACACCAGATCGTTCTCTTCCGGAGTCAACAGGACGCTCGGCCTGTTCTCTCCCTTTGGCATCCTGGCGCTCTTGCACAAAAACACTCATAAAATCACTGTAAATAGGCACGAATCGAAGTGTCAGTCATCACCATTCCCAAACATTTTAATTTACTTATTTTCCCGTTTTGGCACTCCAGTGAATATTGTAACACAAATGAGAGCATTTCTCAAAACACAGAACTAATAATTACACCATCGGACGCGTATAAATTACTAAAAAATATAAATTTACTTTCTCTACATCCCGTGCGTGAAACATCAATCACGAAACTGTGTGTTGCAATTTATAAAAAGTATAACTGTCAATCTGACCACATTTACGTTATAGCTTTTGACAGTGACAGCAAAATATTGATCGGTAACATAATTACAATAATTTTAGCATATTTTAATATTTTTTAATTGATTTTAATCAAATTGACCATAATATAAAATTAAGTGGAAAATAAATTATATAACGTTGCTTATCAATTTAAATTAAAAGTTATTTATTTTTTGACTTTAAAATATGATAAAATTAAAAATATTTTAATACATACATGATTAAAAATGTAGGCTTCTTTGTACTATTAATAAATACTGTAGAGCAGACTTATCAAAAGATTTTGGAATATTTGAACCACAAGGTTTTTTACACTACTACTATTGACGTTTTTAAATATTTTTGTTACAAAACTAATAGAATTATTAAAAGTTGGTTAAGGGTATAACATACTTATAATAATTTGTTAAAAAAATAAATTTTAAGACACTTAAAAATTGCATAAAATGCTTGTTTAAAATCGTCTTATTTTTTCTTCATTTTTGTGCTATGACCTCATTTGCATTGAAATCGTGGAATATTTCGCCAATGTCAAAAATTCATGTTGGAATAATATTTACAACTTCCATTCTACACGACGCTGGCAGAATATGCTGCGCACGTTTTTGCACGAATGAAGGCCTAATTTTAAACAACCAACCATTATTTACAACTGTTCACGTTTTTCTTGTGTCAATTGAAATTCTTAATTTTATTGGAATGAAATAAAAGTAACGAATATGATTATCTACAATAAGGGTGAATGAAACCAAGTTTCTTTTATAAAACATGTATTTTATATGTACACAGCCCAAAAGAAATAACATTGCACGAACGTAACAAAAAGTTTTTATTTATAGATCTATTCAATAAAGGTACATTAAAATGTCTACAGATATCACTATTGCTACGATATTGTAATGACTAATGTTGTTAAGGGTTGCCTCTGTAACTTTATATATAAAGTTAAACGTCGGCGATACTAATAAAATGTATGAAAGATGTTCATATTATTGGTGTTCAGGTAAAACTCCTACTAAACGCAAATATATTATTCCTCGTTTTTATTTGTGCTTTACGAATTACATTGAAATGAATCGCTAGATTGACTGTTGCAACTATGATGAGGAAAGCTCTGAAGCTTGAATAAAAACGAAATTTTATACTTAGCCATTTTTTTTATCTTAAAAGCTTTCTCTCTGAAATTTATAGGTTTTGGTTTATATAAAATTTTATCGTAAAATTGATAGAATTTATCATTATACGTTACAAAAAATTGTGTTTAAAGAGTAAACGCCAACACGTTCCTAATAGAAAAATCTTGTAACCGTACGTGAAAAAACTAACCGTTCAGTAAAACGAGGATAAAGTACGAAAAAACGATTATTATTTTATAACAAACTCCAAAGAAACTTAAACATTTGCTATTCAGAACCTTAAAACTAAATATGTGGAACAGAAATATCTTTTTTACGGTATTTTGTTTTACATTTAAGACAACACAAAATGATTAAAATTTTGACAGATGACTTCTACGTAATAAAGATATTTTAAAAAGCTGTCACATAATTGACATAGACATAGATGTGCGTTTAAGTTCTACAGATCTTAACAATATATAGTGGCGTTAGTTATATATTTTATTATATAAATGTACTTTTACATGAAAAAAAAAACTATTAATTTATATAATCTACATGTATACAGCCAATCAAACGACGCGAGTACAGTCTAGTCGATGAATCATGAAGATATGTACAGATTGACAAAGCGTTTCGTTACAAACGTACAAAAATGTTACACTACATACAATTAATTTACATCTATTCTAGTAAATACTGGACTATCGTGGGCTACATCATGCATAAAAAAAAGATATGTTTCATAGGAGTACCTAATAAAAAGCACAGATCATAAACTATTTCACCAAAGAGTTCCGTGTATACACAGATTATACTACATAGCACAGAATATAAATACAGTCATAGATAACTCGAGAAACGTTGATAACAATTCGATGTACAGATAGAAAGGCAATTTTCGTAGTACATCGATTACAATATTAATAAAATCATTGACAGATTAACACATATATAAAAAAAAACAACTATTTTATTGTTTATATGGGTATATACAGAATCAGGACAATAAAAACATGCTTGATGTTTGAGATTTGCTATGACTATTGAGTTGGTACTACACTTGGCGTTGCGTATTCGCCGCATTTGTCCAAATATTTGTACGTAGTCCACATAGCGCAAACACGACATCCACACTTGGCATGCCAACAACACGCCTTAACGTGTTTTCGCTTATTTGTGTATGTGTCTTATTTGTGCAAATATGTCAAATGAAGACGAATAAATCATCCATACATGGTCTTATTTGGCCGAACACAACAAATACGCGAATACGCGACGCCAAGTGAAGTGCCACCTTTAGGACATAAACTATCAACTAAATATCTGTTTAGTTTTATTCATAGTATGAATGATATTTTTAATATCAGAAGATATTACTTGAATCGGCTGTTTCCTTTATGTTGTCACTATGCTTCAATCATACAAGTGACGCAAATTATATTAGCAAGAACTCAAACAGAATACTAGTCCATATATTTCTAACTATAAAGATTAACTTCTTTGGAACATATAAATCATTTATTAGATAAATTATACTATAGTTGCGTCACTTGTATGACGTCACCCGATTATAACTCAATATAATACAGATAAAAAAACATAACTTATTAACTAAAACGAAATATCAGTATCTATAATCTGTATGACTTTTAGCTGCTAACAAAAAAAAAACAATCTAAACTATTTAAATACCACACTCGAATCACAAAAAGAGTTTGTACTTGACGTAAAGAAAAAAAAACAATAAATAAATTTCAAGACAATTTCTTAACAAAACAATTTCTCTAATACACAACTAAATATATACATTTTTTTATTAAATATTTGAGATACAATGTAGCGTTAATTATTAGATTCGATTGTTATTTTCATCGAACGTGCTAACAATCTACCTTCCTGTTAAGGACATAAGAGCTACATTTGTATGCACCTAGTTCTACCCAGTGCTAATATTATATAGCTGATTGAGATTACATATAATTTGTATGGAACAGTTCAACTGCAGCTGTCTTTCTTCTCAGTGACGTCAGAGCTGGATTGTTCGAGATCGCTCTTGGAAGTGCTCGGCTGAGGATTATCTGGATCTGAAAACGAAGAAAATCTTCTTAGATTGGATAGATAATGATATTTTTATCAATAGTTTTTGGTATCACAAATGTATGAAAAAAAAATGTTGGGGAATAAAAATAGTCTATGTTAATCCAAATTTTATCATCTGTCCGCCAAAGTCGCGCCAAAATAAGTTCAGCTTTTTCACAGATTATCCGGAACAAACAGACTGATAGAAAAAAATATATATTGGTATGTATAATATGTATACATCGAAATAATAAGTTTGCTAAAAACAAGTAATTTCAATAACACAGAAATGCCATTTTATAAGTATAGATATTATATTATGTATGTATATTCCGGATGTTTAGCAGTTTAAAACCTCACATCAAGACTATCTCGAGCATTACAAATCAACAATATGGCCGTCCTTATCGGTTAAAACTTATTATCTAAAACGTTAACCTTTTGTATTCTATACTATAACACACCGCGTGTTCAAACTGTGACAAATCTAACATCTTGTGATTTAGACATATACAAGGACAGGTCCGTGGAAATGACGCGGCAAAACAATATGGCGGACGTTCAACATGATCACATTATAATGAGAAAAATAATTACTATACATTTGAATATTGCGCGCTGACGTCATACAACCATATAATTCTAATAAAGTAATAATTATAATTAAGTAAAAACTTATATTTCTAATTAATTAATATGTAGAGTCCATAACGATATATAATTTCGCTGTTTGTTTATTGTTATCATCATGTATAAACTTCTAACAACGATGACATTCACATTTCTCATGGGACCTGGTGACGTCACCGGTTCTAAATTTAAATTTCAAAAACTATTCGAATCGAATTACAGCTATTTCACTGGGAATACAACTATTAAGGTTCTTATTTCGAAATTTAAGTTTTGAAAGTATAATCTCTCAACCATGCACTCATTATTACGTATTAATTTATTTTAAGATCAAAAATACTAAGTTGAATAACGTTTGCAGCGTATTAAGAAAATTAAAATAAGAACATAATCTTTTTGCCATTACGCCTCGCCGCAGGATTCTTTCTAAGATATTGATAATCAGCTTATTGGCCATTAGCAATCAGATTTGTGTCATATTACGTCAAACAGATAAAATGGACGTCATTGCGGCTCATTCAGCCGAGTCATATATCTTTTGTCACTAAAGATAGTGCACATGATCGAATATATCCAATTAGTTAGACATTATATTAACATTAAGGGTTGCTAGCTGTCGAGTTAAGATAAGATTGCAGTCACTTGATATATGATGTAATAAATATTAATTTATTTATATTGATAGTTATGTTTGTCTGTATTTTTTTTGCCGATACTAGATACAGAGTAAGTTCAATTAAACTAATAACTCCATACATACTGTGTACCTATATGAGTAATAGTGAATGAGTAATACCCGTATAAAAAATATAAAGCAGTTACAATATTAATATTCATATTATTATTGTTTTAACCAAATTAATATAACGAAATACGATTTTTAGCAAATTCTTATTTGTTAAGTAAATTTTTAATTCATTTGATATTTTTTTTGTATAATTACTATTATACAGACGACAGTTTCATCTAATACTGGTTAAAAATTAGTATTTTTTTCCATAACAGATATTAGTATTTTGTATAGATAATCATAATTATATTGTTTATTCTCATAGACTGTTCCGAATGACCTTCCATTCGCTGTCCTTCGAGCGACTCCATACGAGAGGGAAACATTGGTTTATTTATAACTGACACCACATACGAGGCTCAGCCGCAGAATTAATAACACAATAAATGCTTACGCTTTATACCCGTGTATTGATAATTAAACACTTATACTTTTTTAACGTATTTGGAAATAAAAAAGTTAAATCCAAAGAGGTCGCACTTTATTCATTTGTAGTTGACAATTAAATCTTACTTGTATTTTTTATTATTTATTTAAATTTTATATTATTGCTTTTATATTACTGAAGCGAATTTACAATAACAAATATTAACATTGTACATATGTATATAAATAATTACTAATTGATTTAACAGATTATCGTGCTTATAAGTTGAAACGACATATTAGAATAATGCTAATCGGAAAATGAACAAGAATGCCATTTGCTTTGGATTTCGGATTTACACTAACTTTTAGGCAATAAAGATTTGAATATAAATTTGTTTAATATAAATAATAATAAATGCATATTATATTGGTAGTCTGAGAATTTCGCGCCAATTAATCTGTCAAAAAAAGAAAAGTTGTTTTAAAGAAAGCATAAGTTCTACTCAGATACAAACTTAATTTTGCCGTTAGAAAACTGTTCCAATACGTAGATGTACGTGAATTTTAATTTGCTGACTGTAAATAAGCTTGTAATCGTAAAATATTGTTTAACGTTCGTGCTACCAGAAACTGTCTTTTTAGTCGGCTTAAATAATTCTAGGCCATCGGGAAGTCCCCTATACGTAATAATCACCTCGAAAGCGATAAAATACGCAAAACACCGAGCCTGAACGACCTTAAAATACGATTGCGTCGATTTGGGATATTCATTATGAGTTATGACTTGAAAGTATGAAGGATTTTATATTAATTTAAGATCGATATCTTTAAGCGTTCTTACGAAAAGTGGAATTGATAGACAAACAGAGAAAATTATCTTAATAAGGTTCAGTTTTCGTAAACAAAATCACATAACCATAAAGGTTGCCTGCAGTGGCGGCTGGTGGGTTATCAAACTGGTGGTTCACTTTACTAAAATATTGACAAAAACAACAATTGACATAAAATATGTTTATTTTTTGTACATTAAATCAATGCGACGACATTTTTCTGCAGCGAAATGTTCTATCACCTTTTTATTAAAATCTGATTCCAGTTTCTGTCCAAATCGATTCTCCGCCAAAAATAATGCAAGGAAAACAAAAGAATGCATTAAGACGCTCACATCCACACAACCATTTCTTTCTATTATACATTTCACTTTTAAAACTTCGTATAAATGCTTTATTTTTCGATTTACACTCTTGTTTTAAATTTAAAAAGGGCCGTGGCGGCCCGGCCAATTTTATGTTCACTTTACTTTGAAAAATTTTGTTATTTTCTTTAATATAATCAATATTTATACTCATTTTCAACTAATAAAAAACACAGTACAGAATAAAAGTTCTATTATAAAAACGAAATAAAAACTAAAACGAATTACGGAAATAATTATAAACAATAACGAATTAACGCGTCACGCATACAGTGAAAGTTGAAACAAGACCAATAACGATTAACGAAATGTCAATCATAGCACCCATCCTTTCGGCCGGCCCCTTGCCGGCCGGCTCAATACGTCATACATCGGGTGCTCTCGGTAACCTTCGGCCGCTTCGTGCGGCGCGCGAGAACCGACTCGTTACTCGGTACATTTCTATGAACTATCTTTTGTCTCACGCGTCAGGCGTTTTAATGCGTGTCTCATACAAGATGTATTAGCAGTCCTCGTGCACTCGCCGGAGCGCACGATATGAGTTTAGTAAAGCGCTCAAACTTTTTGACCATAATTGGAAATTAAATTTTTTAAACCTTCTTGTATGTTTAAAAAATAAATATTAAAATGGTAATTTAAAAATTAAGATGACATAATATTTTGTAATTTTAAAATATTTTGAATTGGTGGTTCAGCGCACGGGCGCACTTAAGGTACAGCCGCCACTGGTTGCCTGGAAGAGATCGCTGTTTTAGCGATAAGGCCGCCTATTTCGATACCTCCTAAGTATACTGAGTCAACTAACAAATTTAGGTATTTTTATATTTTTATATAAACGTACGTGATAAGTCGTGATCTTAACGTTTGTGTAAAAAAAAATTAAAAAAGAACGATAATTACCGAAATAATTTCACGTATACTAAATCAACTGCAACATCAGTAAAAATCATACATTGTAAACTGATCTAACTAACATTGTACCAGTGTACGCGGGGCGTGAGGGAGGACGCGTTGATACAACTACATCGCAGCTCAACATACGACCATGGGCGTCGAGTGCTATTAGTAACAAAATGGAGTCACACAGTACTTTTTATTATAAACAGAAACTTTCTTTGTATAATTTCACAATATTCAATCTGGGATTTCGTCAGGGTTATTGTTTTTCATGGCATCAACAGACAGCAAAGAGAGGCGCTAATGAAATTTCCAACTGTGTTTTCAAGTTTATAGAAGATACGGTGGGTAATGGTTTCAAAGATTACCGGTTCTGGTCAGACAACTGTGGAGGCCAAAATAGAAACAGAATTGTATTCTTAATGTATATGTTAGCTAGTTTGAAGTTTGTTATAGATATTAGTTGTGGGTCACACTCAAAATGAAGGCGACAGTATGCACGCTTTAATTGAAAGACAGACTAAAGATAAGTTGCTTTATACGCCTGATCAATGGTATACAGCTTTTAGATTTGCTAAATCCGATGAAAAGCCACACAAAGTTACTAAAGTGTCGCAGGATTTAATTAAAGACTTTAAATCACAGCTAAAACTTATAAATAACTGGACAACTACCAACGATGGACCCAAAATGCTCTGGAATAAGGTAACGGAAGTAGAAGTTAAAGCGGAATGTCCATTTAGGCTGTTTTATAAGACGAGTTACCAAGATGATTCTTACAAGTGGATAGATTGTGTAAAAAACCTAAAGCTACACGAAATCGAAAGAATTAAATATTGATGTAAACAATATTTCTTTAGCTTATCAGAGACCCATTCCTATTGACCAAAATAAGCACAGAGACCTGATGGACCTCTGTAAGACGCTGGAAATTCCTAAGGAGTACCATTTATTTTTTAATAATTTGATTTCAACGGACTCTAATGAAGTTAACGACAGCGATTTTGACTGATCTCTAATTTGTTAAACTTTATGTTTTTTGAGCATTAGAAATGCCTTGACTGTTGTGTTATTAATTTCTATTATTTTTATTAAAATTGTATAATGTAAGTTACCATTTTTAGTTCTTATTATTTTTGGTGACGCACTAGAGAAGTACCTGTTTAGTTTCTTTTTATTGATTGCTCATTGTTTTTCTATGAAACTTTGATGATGGAACATCGATATTTTGTTAAATGTTTATTTGTTTTTTCTTCTAGCTTTCTATTGTATCTAACAATAGCGATTCTGACTTAGTTCTAATTTGTTAAGCCTTGTCACTAATTTTTGAGCATTAGAAATACCTAGACCGTTACGTTATTAGTTCCTATAATCTTCATTAATGTTTTACGTAAGTTACCATTTTTAGTTCTGATTATTTTTATTGACCTACTAAAGGAGAAGCTGTTTTAGTTTATATTTTGATTGATAATTGTTCTTTGTTTTTTATGGAACTTTAATGATGGAGCATTCATATTTTTAATAGTGATTAGTTTACGCTTAGCATTTTATAAAACAATTATTTTAAAAAGATATTCCTACTTAATTATGGTGAAAAGTAAATTATGATTCTTTAAAATGAGTTTTTTTTTTGGTTTATAATTCTTGTACTTCTTCCTAGCTTTTATTAATCGCACATATCGTAAAATATAAAAAAAAATATTAATAAAAAACCTCGCGTAAATTACATTGGTCCAGTATACGTTGAGGTTTTAAATGCTAACATTGCTAGTACTTTCCTCGTATAATGAGTCAAGTGATATAATTTCAACATTTTATTATTAAGTGAGACAGAAAACCCCGAAAATGAATAAAAGTAAAAATATATTCATAAAATGATCACCATATTTCATGTGGTTAGGTGTAAACGATGGATTTTGGTGGACAACGTATATGAATATAACTGGTAGTTAAACCATTTCACTATTGAGCCCCGCCGGCGTATACCCAGTCATCTACATAAAATGTGATTTAAAAACAAAAATCAGCAAAATCATTATATGTCAAAGGAAGTGCTTACAATTTTTATTAAAAAAACATTTTTTTTATTTCGAATTAATTTGATTTCATTAAAATATAAACGATTTGCCTTCAAATCACTCTCCTGTAAAATTACAATAATGTCAGTTGACTCATTATACTTAGGAGGTATCGATTTGTACATTTTTCTTTTCTTTGTTTTTCTCCTATTATTTTTGTCTATATTTTTGTACAATAAAGAGTATATAAATAAATAAATAACCTTAATATAGAACTTTCTAGAACAGACATAGAACTTTCTAGAATCTAATCATTGAAGATAACCAGCCTAAGTTGATCCATAAGGACGAATTATTATTAAAGTTTTAGCAACGTAGTACAATAAAGGCAAAACCATTAATCTCACCAGTAGTAACTAGCTGTTGTAGCCGCGACGGTAAGTCAGCGGTGGTCACCTCCGCCCCTTGAGGGTGTAGTATGTCCGGCATAGCGTTCCTCCGTCCCGTCCGACCAGTCTCTAAGAACTCCCGCGGCACCTCGGAACTGTTCCTATCCTGCATGATTGCCATCATTCTCACCACTGCAACATTACATCAATCAATGATAACTAATACTTGAGGCAAACCCGAAAAACATAGCTATAGTTATGTATTATGACTTATAACAATCATGCATTCATATAATTGAACACAATTTGATTTAAATGTAACATAGAACATAACAGTATGTAGCAGAAATATTGAAATTTTACATACATATAATTTGGTTCTATAGATAGGAGATTAAATATATAAGGTTGTACTGAATCAGAAAAATTAATATTGATGACAACTCAATGTAAAATCCTAGATTGTAAACATCATATAATAAATTTATAAGCTTTCAATACTAAATGCTCACTGAATAATTACAAAAACATTACTCCATAACCCAATTTTAAGGCACAGAATCTATATTTAGTAATATAGTACAAGTAGAAAGTTAAAGGCTGTCCGCCACTTTGCTAATTGCAAGACTAATTACTTAGTGCTTTCAAAAGAATTATATTCAATGAATGACTACAAAATGAAGTCCAAAATTTCGTGCGATAACTAAAACTTACAAGGGCTACTGAATGGATTCAAATATTATATTTTTAGTTTAGAAATGTATAGTTTTATCTTCTTATATATAAAATTCTTGTGTCGCGGTATTAGACAGAGAACTCCTCCGAAACAGTTTGACCGATTTTGATGAAATTTTGTGAGCATATTGAGTAGATCTGAGAATCGGCCAACATCTTTTTTCTTACCCCTAAATCATAAGGATTTTTCACCCTTATCTTTTCTTTCAGACGAAAGTTTTTGTTATAATTTTATAAACGAAAATTTTTACTTTTTTATCACTAACCCCTATTTTTTTTATGAAGCAAAACATTGTTTGCCGGGTCAGCTAGTATTATACACATTTCTTATACAAATACATAAATACATTTATCAAACAATTACTTGCTAACAAACTAAAATGTTAAATAAGAAACTATTCATATAAAGACAGTGGCACACATTCCTTGAAGGCATAGTCATAATGTTTATGCTAATGTAGATATAAATAATAAAATGTTGCCGTTTAAGTCTCAGGCATTATGCAGTGAGTAACTGTGAACGCCTTATTAAGAAGCACTTAGTATAACTGTTCAATGTTGTATAATTTTTGCATTAATAATGATTTTTTTTATATTAGTCTTATTTATCCTCCATCGATTAAAACATTAAAAAAAAAACATTAATATATTATTTTTTTTCTATTCAAGTATAACAAGAACAAATCAATTCATTATAATATCCAATTAACTTTTGGCATTTTCGGTTTTGAACCCTTGCCAAAATGTTTTAAATTTTATAAATTAAACTAGTAAATATATTTCTATACATGCTAAGACCAAACACCATGCTGAGGAGCAAAACAAATTTAATGTACAAATTACTGCAAATTCACTATACTCAAGCAGAACCAAAAAACTTAATGCATATCCAAAGTTTAATAATAACTTTTCATTAAGTGTATAAAAATAACTTATGTATTATGGAAAATAATATATGATACATAAGCTTTGCCCAATTTCACCAACCATAAAGATATATTAAAATCCAAAAAGTATTTCAAACAAATAGGTTTAATTTGTAATAAAGAGGTTTTATATCTAAAATGCGATAAATTATTGGATGATCAGAATAGTTCAGTGCTGAAATGAATAAAAAAAAAGTATGAGAGGTTGGTGAAAAGTGGCAGTTATAATCTATAATGTTGGTTAAGTACCATTTCATTCCAGAGTAGTCCGGCGATTTGAGCTTGATGCGTCAGGATTATGTGATCATCTTTACTCTCATGCACCTCAAAGTCCTGGATCAATGTGTCATTGTTAGTATTTCACATTCTTCACCACTAGTCAAAGCTCCAATTAGAATGATGGTTTTGTTACACTTTATTATTTGCTGCTATTATTATTGTGTTATATGTTTAAACTTTATTCTAATGGAATTATATAGATAAATATATAGTCGAAATTTTCAAAAAGTAATTAACAAAATTGTTACAATATCAATGTACCTATAGGTATGTTAAACTGTGGGTACATGTCCCATTGTTGTTCTAAGAATAAATATCATAGAAATCTGACTATCTTATGTCTATAGTCATGAAATAGTGTGATATATTTTATCCATAGTTAAATATATAACAAGGTCATTATGAGACAATGCTGCTTATGTTAGCTCCCGGAATTAATATTCTCGTATCTAGTAAAAATGTAGTTTACAAAGAAAAGTTAATCAGCAGCAAATAATATCGAATAAACACCAACTAATGATATATCATTCAAGCGCTACTCTATATATGCCTAAGCAAAATCATGTCCACAGTTGAAGACAACGGCGGAGAAGCACCAGCATGCAGGCTACTTTACCTGACTGACGCTTTACGCGCTGACCTCTCCGGCGCTTCGGCACACGACCGACACGGACTCCGGTCATTTTAAACTAGCCAAGGAAGATCTATAGTTTAAACAATTACCATTCAAAACAATTGATCGTTCCCTTTGCACGTTCACTAAATCTTGAACAATTTAAAATCACTCCTAGCCGGTATTCTAATGTAACGTACTAAATGAGTTTACATTCATTTACGAAGTGATTGAAACAAACAACGAAATTATTTGAATTCGTTCAGGGACGTACGGGAAAGACAAAGAGTTGAGAGCGAAATGTAAAATGAAACTAGAGGGCTCCGACTGTGACAAATGGTTTGTTCGACAGTTCGACTGTTCAGTGTAGACAGCCTACTGAGAATTATTGAATAGTCATAGACAATGTTAGAACAGAATAAGAAGAAGAATTAATAAAATAATTCATGTTACTTATTTAATTAACTTTGATATCATTGAATAGTTAATACTTTTTTATTATTTAATTTTAAGTGCGACTTTGCAAAATAATCATATGTACATATTACGTAATGTCAAGTAGTTGTCAAACTTGTCACTAGAGCAGCTGATCGAGGGCTAGGCTAAAATACAAGAATTGTTATTTATGTAATTGATTGGCTATAACATCTCTTTTGAGGTAGGTTATAATTTATAAACACAAGTGCGATCTGTCTACTGTTAAGTTAAATAATGTTATATTGAAATTCTATTCAGATGCTTCGTAAAGTTGTATTTGGTTCTGGCTTAGTGGCTTTTTTGCCAACTGTAAATGCCGCTACACCTGTGCAAGAATCACAGGAACAGGATAAGGCTCCTCCGCCGATGAAACCTTCTGATTTACTGATTTACGATGCACCTCACGCCGAATATATGGAGTAAGTCTTTGATACAAAGAAACAGTGAGTAATTTTGTTAGAGATTAATATACAATTTATATTTTAGACAATTAGCTGCGAAAGCCAAGTCAGAACAGACTGGTTATCTGCGATCAGCTCTATTGGTCCCAGTACAAGCTGTTCGTGAACAATTAGAAACTGCCTGGCAACACACTGAGTCACTGAAGAATACCGTTAAAGACAATGTTTCAGAATGGCAAGACAGGAGCGAATGTATGTTTTTAATCTCATTCTTATCTCAATTTCCTCTTTATAAATAAAAAAATATTTGTCTAATATTTATTGTACATCTTTATATAATTTGAAAATGGTCCAGGGATCAAACAGTACTTAAGAGAGGAGGAAAATAAAGAAATGAGGTATGGTGCTGTAGCGATGGGCGGTCTCACAGGCTTTATATTAGGACTCAGAGGAGGTTTTATTAAGGTGAAACTCTTTTAAAGACTCGTGTAATTACAATGTCTATATAAGTAAATGTATTAATCACTATCCCTTGAATATTTACAATGTAACTAACTTCTGTATAAAAATCATGAATTAAATTGCAACACAACATTTATAGATTAAATTAATTGAAATAATTTACAATTAATATCCATAAGAAAACTTTATTTTGTTTACAGAGAATTTTCTATGCTGGTTTGGGCACTTCAGTTATGGGATATGTGTGTTTCCCGGAAGAGACAAAGCAAATATACAAAGACAATGGAGCTGTTGCAAAGCAATACATTAATATTGCTTATAACTTTTTGTATGGAGGTGAGTTAATAAAGAAATGGCTATAACATACATTTTTCTCTCATAGGATACTTTACATATTATTAGAAATGGTGACATTGAAATAACTATTTTATTTTTATGAATAGTAAAACCTGGAGATCCTCAACTAGAGGTCAAATTCCCTGAGTTGTCTTTACCTAAAGATTTCTCAGAGTTTGTTGACCTCTCTGTATCTCTGGCGTCGTCCATCAAACAGGCTGTGATGCCTCCGTCTAAGGAAACTGATAAAAAAAATGAATAAATTAGGTATATTTAGTGGTATCTGCATGTCTTTTGTGCTTATTTTGCTTGTTATATTTGAGCAGATTTCTTTTTCTTCTGGGTATACTTGGAACAATCACTTTATACATGTTTTTCCACTTATGTCCTCTCATCAGCCTTTCATGTGTTCCCATGTCTTATACTACTGATGTTTGAATTATCATGAATATTCCTATGTTTTTTCAATATTATGAGTTACAGCATTATTGATATCATTTACTTAAAATAGGTACAAAATATTTATTTATTTATTTATTTATTTATTTTTGTACCAATCGAGTATACAGAAAATTATCAATAACAGATGTGTACAAAGGAACATCTTATCTCTTACAAGAGATCTCTTCCAGAAATCCTGATTAATGGGAGACCATTTGAAATATAAAATTTTCGTGTAGGTACACTATCAACAAACTACTGATTAATTATTATAACATTAAGGTAGACTTTTTTTTTTTTTTATACTAATACATATCCCTAACATACATACATTCAATTTACATACATACAAAAATACATATATAAAAATATATAAATATTTATATACATACATTTTATATATACATATACATACACATATATATACACATATATATATATACATATATACACACACACACACATATATATATACTTAATTCGAAAGAAGGTGTTGCTTAACTCTGATTTTAAAGGTTCTTATTGTAATACCATTGTGGAAAATACCATCTGGAAGAGAATTCCATAGGCGAGCGGCAACAACGGAAAACGAGTTACCATAGGAAGTACTATTGAAATATGGTACCTCAAGACTCTTCGATGCCACACATGCGCGCACTGGTCTTTCACGAGCAGCACAAAAAACAGAAAACGCTCATGTAGGTAACCAGGGCTTCTATGTTGCAATATATTAAAAAGAAGGGATAGTATGTGCAAGTTCCGGCGAAGTCGGATAGGGAGCCACTTTAACTGACGCCGAAATTGAGAAATATGATCAAATTTGCGCAGACCGTAAATGAACCGAATGCACAAATTTTGAAGTCTATCTAGTTTGTCAAGTAGCTCTTCATTCGCATCAAGATAGCAAACATCGGCGTAGTCCAGGATAGGAAGAAGAAGGGATTGTGCAAGTAAAATTTTTGTTTGGTAAGGAAGAAAATTCTGCAAACGTTTTAGTGAATGCAAAGAGAAATGGACACGTTTACTGACTTCGTTAACCTGAGCCCTCCATGATAAATTGCAATCCATGACTAACCCCAAATTAGTTACTTGGTCACTAAATGCAATTTGAGTTCCATCATAGACAATTGATGGTACAATGTCCCAATTAATTTTGGTACGTAACTGTCTGCTGCCTATTATCATTGCCTTTGACTTCAAGGGATTGACAAGAAGCCCAAAAGATGCGGCCCAGTTCTTGATTTTTTCAAGATCATGATTGATATCATGTATGGTCGAACACAGATTTGATAAGGTGGTGTGTCTATAAATTTGTAAATCGTCTGCATAGAGATGGTAGTGAGAAGAAATGACTTTGGTAATTTCGTTAATGAAAATTGAAAAGAGAAGAGGAGAAAGTACGCCGCCTTGCGGAACGCCAGCAGAGAGATCAGCCCAGTCCGAGGAAGCCTCATCAGACTTTACCATCTGCCGTCGACCACGAAGATAGGATTGGAACCAATCAATCACAGGCAGAGCAAAGTTAAGTGAGCGAAGGATACCAAGCAATACATCAAAGTCAACTGAATTAAAGGCATTGCTAAAATCGAGCAAAATGAGAATAGTAAATTCTCTTTTGTCCATAGCAAAGCGAATGTCTTCAGTGACTTTGAGCAGTGCGGTGGAAGTACTGTGACCGGAACGGAAACCGGATTGAAAAGGACTAAGGAGATGATTATGTGTTAGGAATTCAGACAGTTGCTTATAAACAACGTCTTCAAGGATTTTTGATAGGAGAGGCAAAATAGAGATGGGACGAAATTGTGAAATAGAAGAGGGATTTGATATTTTAGGTAAAGGAATCACATGTGCTAACTTCCAAACTGTTGGAAAGGTATTGGATTCTAAGGAAAAGTTTATAATGTGGGTAATAACAGGATTTAAAAAGTCAAGGATAGGTATTAACATATCCCGACTAATATTGTCATTACCAACAGCCTTGGAAGTGATAGACAGGATGCTTCTCTTGACTTCGCTCTCTGTGACTCTATGAAAATTAAAAGGGATACAGTCAGGCGTGATGGCGTTCGCCATCTTTAACAATGTTTCAGCCTTCGTTGAGGCTGAAATTGTTAAAGGGGGAGTAGAAAAATGTTTATTGAGAGAATTCAGATCAAATGAATGTTGAAAAGATTTAGAGTGATTACCCACGCCTAAAGATTTAAAAAATCTCCACATTTGTGAAGTAGTCAGTTTATCGATGGAGGAGTGGATGAAACGGCGTTTAGCATCTCTACACATCCTATTGCAGAGATTTCGCAATTTTTTGTACGTCGCAATATTGAGGTCAGTAGGATTCCTTTTAGAGACTCTCTTGGCTTTATCACGTTTTACCATAACATTTTTAATAGTTTGAGTAAGCCAAGGTGCAGGTAGATGTTTTACCTTTATTGACCTAAATGGAGCATGCTTGTCATACAACTTTGTTAATGAGTCATTAAAATAGGCCACCATATCGTCAACATTCGTAAACTCATAAATATTAGACCAGTCAATGATATTAGCGTCGTAACATAGATTTGCAATATTCATATTTTTCATGTTGCGTCTTAAAATTGTTTTAGCCTTGCGCTTTGAGAAGGAGAGTTTATAGTTAACGAAGAGTAAATCATGGAAGGAGAAAGGAGCTGTCAGCTGACCATGAGCTGACACACTGTGAGGGTTGGAGACAATAATGACGTCAAGAAGAGACGGAGTGCAATCAGGTGAAAAATGGGTTTCTGATAGAGGAAGAATAGTGAAGTTAAAAGAAGACACGATAGATTTTAATTTTGTCGCTCTGTGATCATTTTTCACGAGACAAGTGTTAAGATCACCCATTATGATCACATGTTCATAAGAGGGAGATAGTTTTTCAAGAAGGACTTCAAAGGTGTTAAAATAATTAATATTTAAGGATGGACAATAGAGGACCCCTAATAGGAGTTTAGAGTGACGGGAAGAAATTTCTATAAAGAGGTATTCAAGGATGTTAGGGGAAAGGTTTGAGGATTGTTCTACTAACCTAAAGGGTATATTATTTCGTAAGAAAATGCAAACACCTCCCCCTCTATGGGAAACTCTGTCGTTACGAATTAAAGTGAAATCAGGTAAAGTGTAAAGAGTGGAAGGAAGAGAAGGTTTTAACCAAGATTCAGAAACAAGGATACCGTCGACCTGCACGTTGCTAAATGATGCGAGAAAATCAGAGTAATGTGCCGGAATACTTTGCGCATTTATATGTACAAGATTAAGACAATTAGAATTGGGGGTAAAAATAGAATTTAATTGTGAATCAAGAGTCGAGCCTTCGCTCTCAATAGATTGATTATGGCTAGAAACACTATGAAAATCATCAGAGGAGCATGAAAAGAAATCATCGTTTATACAAGCATCACTTAAGTCAGACATATATATATAAAATAAATATCAATATATAAATATACTACTATAAAAATAATAATATAAACGAAATAAAAAAAAAAAAATACTACTAATCACAAACGATACAAATGATCTCCCACATTATCTGGCCCAAAAGAGAAACATAGAAAAAATAAATTTATATCTATGCTACATACAATTATACAAGCACTAAAAAAAAAAAAAAAGAAAAACTTAGATGACATAAATATTAAGAAATTCTAAATAACAGCTACAAATTATTAGTAAGAAATTTTTTAAATTATAAAATACAAAGAAAAAAAGAAACATCGCTGCTTATACAACACAAATATAAATATTACCGAACAGAATATCCGAACGCTAACCTGCTGCCAAGCGTGTCAATGTCAGTTGTCAAACGTCAGTGCTATGACTGTTGTTCAAGTTTTTAAGGTTAAATTTTACTTTTTAACAGAAAATTAAAGAATTTGACGAATTTTTAGACTACCGACTCGTAAATAAGAAAAATAAGAATAACATATTATTAATTGGCATACATAGACATGAGTGACGTAATGAGTGGCAGACAGGAATTATGGAAACATATGAGAAACCTTTACTTTGTAGTAACCTTAACCCGCCGAGATCTTGTTTTCTGGTCCGGCACACTGGAAACTTGAGGAAACTTTTCACAAAGATCCTGGAATTCGGCCGATGTAATGATTTTTTTACGGCTTTTATCTGGAAGCGCGACAATGATTACTCCGTCAGATGTCCAGCAATTCTTAAAACCGAAGTGTTTCCGAGCAGCAACGAATAATTCTTGCCTGGGTTTAGTCAAAAATTCCGATATAGTAACTCCAGACCCTTTTAGAGATGTTTTAGAATTCCAAACAAGATTCCTGTACTTTGTGGCAATAAAACGAACTAGTACTGGTCTCGGTTTTTCCTTCTTTGTGCCAAGGCGATGACAGATATCCAACTGTGATGAATCAATACTGGTCAGCTTTAATTGATTGTGCAACACGGATTGAATCCTGCTCTCCACTTGCTCATCAGTACTCTCCGGCAGACCATGAAAAAGCAGTACTCGCCTGCGGGAACGAGCTTCCTGAGCATCAAAGCCCACAGAGAGCAGCTGTAATTGCTGACGAAGCATACCAAGCGTCTTCCAGATTACTTCTTTAAAAGCGGCATAGTCCGAGGCAAGAGAATTAAAGTCTCCAAATGTAGTGGTCGGCGGCTTAGTGCTTCCCTGTACTTGTGTTGACAGTGAGAGCATTTTATCAAATTGATTCATACGGGACTCAAACATTTTAACAATGTCATCCATGTTCTTGCTGAGTTGGCTATGTAAATCCATTGTACTTGTATTAATATTGAAAATTGATTGTGAACCAGGTAATGTGGGAATTTATATTAACTTTAACACTTCATAAATTATTATTGGTAGAAAAATTAAATTTTAATGAAATAAAAACTTAAGAGCAAAAATTTTTGTTGTTGACAATTCAACCTACCCACCAAGAATCATTTGATTATTAAATACTTTGTAAAATGTGTGAAATTACTACATATAACCAGGGCATTTTTGTTTATTATACATCTTAATGGTGTGCTTGTCTTATTTCATAAAGAACCTTTTATATGTGTCTGTATTTTTTTATATCATCGCTTTTCTATTTCTCACTTTGCTTGAATGTTGTCTGCTTACTTATTTATCTATTTTATCTTTTATCACAATTTTAATAATGAACTCTCAATATTTTACAGACACAACACCCAATGTAATACAACGGGTAAATATTATTTATTATAGATTTTTAAGTTGTAAAAATATATATTAAACCTTTTTATGTATTTCTTTTTCAGGTCATAGAAACGAGAAGATTTAATGAAATATGGCGGAATTAAGAAACATAATTTATTGTTAATTCAGTATAATTATACTTTGACAATTATAAAGTGTTTTTTATTGTAATGTTGCCTACGCTACATAATGAAACTTAAGCAAATATCATTTCCTCTCTTCTCTTCTTGGTGACCACAGTACCGGGTTTGTGTTGAGCCTCGGGATGGTTCATTAACTCTGGAGGGCATGTGGAAACTGAGCTAGCAAGTAGCACTTGCTTCAGGTCATAGTATATAGCAGAATCCTCTTTAGTAACAAATGATACAGCCTTACCAGTCTTGCCAGCACGACCGGTACGACCAATGCGATGTGTGTAGTCCTCTATACTCTTAGCCATATCATAATTAATGACCACACTGACATCTTTAATATCAATACCACGACCGGCTACATCTGTAGCGACTAGTATATCCTTCGAACCATTTTTGAGGGAAGCCAGAGCGAAGTCACGTTGTTCCTGGCCTTTACCACCATGCAATGTACAAGCATTGAAACCCAGTTTCTCCAAACCTTTCGCGAGTACATCTGCACCCTTCTTTTGGTTGACGAATATAATGATCGGTGGTTCGACTCCGCGTTGTAATATCTCGGTTAGCTTCCTGCGTTTCTCATTCTCACTGATCATGAAGACGACCTGTTCTGTTCTGTCGACTGGTTTGCCAACCGATCCGATGTACACTATGGCCGGCCTGCGTAAATATGTTCGAGCGAGTCTCTCAACGGCCGGTGGCATAGTAGCCGTGAACATCACGGTTTGACGGAATTTCTTTTTAGAGTTGTAATTAGCAAGAAGTACTGATGCGTCCTCGGCGGCATCCGTGTCGGGTTTGATGTTAGACACAGGCATGTATTCGAGAATTTTTTGTACATCAGGTTCGAAACCCATGTCTATCATACGATCGGCTTCGTCAAGAACGACATAGGTGCAGCGATTGAGCACAAGATATCGATTTTCTAGTACGTCAATAAGACGACCCGGTGTGGCAATGACGATCTCACATCCTAGACGTAACTTGAATCCTTGCTCCTCCCTCGACAGACCTCCCACAACAACGACAGATGTTATGCCAAGCGGTATACCGAACTTATTTGTTTCTTCCTCAATTTGTTGTGCCAATTCACGGGTAGGTGCCAGAATTATAGCGTACGGGCCTTGATCAGCATCCTCCATCCTCTCGTTTTTAGGCAGAGACTGTATCCAAGTAAGCAATGGTATGAGAAATGCTAATGTTTTACCAGAACCGGTTTCAGCAACACCAATTATGTCCCTATTTTGGAGACCAATTGGAATGGCTTGTCGTTGAATGGGCGTAGGGCTTTTGTAGCCAACTTTGCTAATAATTTCCATAATATCTTCGTGAAAGTTAGCTTCTTTCCATGAACGAATCGGATTAGGTATTCTTCCACCTTTCAAAGTAATATTATAATCCTCTCTGAAGATTCTCCAATCTCTTTCTGTCATCTCATCTTGATCTTTCTCCGACCAGTGCCTGTCATCCCATTTCTGTTTGTCTTCCTTCTTCTTGACTTTCTTTAGACGAGATTTCTCCTGTTCTTTCTCCAATTCCGTTCTCCTTTTCTCCAACAAATTGCCATAGAATTTGCAGTAGTCCTTTTTCTGTGATTTAATATCAATGCCAGCAATGTGGCCGCGTCCGAAAAATTGCACTTGATGTCTCTCCTTATAAAGTGCATTGTAATCATTTGATGTGTCTTCAGAGGCATCCCAATCAAATACAAACTTCCTATCATTTAGCCGTCTCACTCGTCGCTTTTTCTTTACTATACCCAAGTACCTCGCTTTGATAGCTTCTTCTTCTCTTTCTTTGTCTTTAGTTTTGCTGTATTCTTCATTCTTGTCTTTTTTCTCATCTCTGTTACGATCATTTCCTGACTTTCTCTCTTCGTGTCTTCTTTCCCTTTCTTTCTCTCTCTCCCGCTCCCTTTCTCTTTCTCGCTCTTTTTCGTGTTCCCTCTCTTTTTCTCTGTCTTCGCGGTATTTTTTCTCATCCTCCTTCCTTGAAGTTCCAGTAAGATCTATAGTCGCCACCGCAGCTGGTCGTTCCGCAGCTCTCATTGCTTCGACTTGTTCTCTGCGTCTCTCTAGCGCCAGGGCTGCTCGTTGTTCCTTTGTTAAAAACACTGGTTTACTTCGCGCCTCTTCTTCAGCTTTCTTTTTGGCGAGTAACTCTTCTAGTGATAGCGGCTCCCGTTTAACTGGCTTAGGTTCTTCTTCCATTTTGGGTTCGTCCTCAGGTTTTTCTTCTTCCTTTTTAGTTTTATTTTTCTCTCTGTCATCTGGCCGCCGGTCTTTTTCTTTGCCATCACGTTTACGTGGACTTCTCGAGCGGGCGCGTTCTTTACGAATCGGACTTCTGGAACGTTCTTTTTCTCTTCTCGGGCTACGAGAACGAACGTCTGATTCCTTTTTCAAAGGACTACGGGATTTCTCTTTCCTGGGGCTTCGGGATCTATCACGTCGTTTTAATTTATCTTTATAAGTATCGCGGTCATCGTGACGATCCCTCTCACGTCTATCTCGAGAACGAGATCGTCGACGTTCTGCGCTTCTTTCTCTACCCATTGAAAATTATCTAACAAAGGATACAAATAATCGAAATTAAGAAAACTCTATATGGAAATCTTCTAACAATGTTTTATTTTGACATCAATTGACATACTGCTCGACACAGTATAGGATACAAATGTATAGATAAAAAAATCTACTGTAACTTAGATTACAATTTATTGATATGTATTATTAATAATGTTAAGTAAAATTTCAATTATATATGAATATTATTTACTAATTTTAAATTGTGCTAATTAGCAATGTAGTTTTCTCTGTGTTGATTATATTGGCGGCTGGCACCAGGTGATATGAATTATGAAGGTTGTCAACTGTCTAATGACTGGAATAGTAAACATGTGAACTCAAGAGTAGAAGTTAATTATTGTTAAGTTTAAACTACTAAACATTATTGTAATATTATGTATTATTATAATATGGCAAAGTCAAAAATCGTTATTACATCGGCGATCGCTGTAGGTTTTGTTGGTATAACATATGTGGTTTTGAAATATAAGATTAGATCCCGAAAAGCCGAAGATATCCTTAAAAATCTTGATATAAATATCGTAACAACAAAAGTTCAATGTGATGAAGTGGTAAATGAACTACAGAGGTATTAATTTATACTACCCAATTGAAAAATATGCAAAAACCTATTATAATTTTGGAAATATAATTTATTTGTAGAAGGAGTACTTTACATCAGGCTATAGGTTTCGATTGTGAGTGGGTGACTATAAATGGAAACAGACAACCCATAGCGCTTCTACAACTATCCACATTTAATGGATTCTGTGGACTTTTTAGACTAAATCTTATAAAAGAAGTTCCTCTTTCACTGAAAGTAAGTACATATAATATTTAAATACACAACCATTTATTACTAAGTATTGCTACACAAAAACACTACATATTGTTTTCCTCCAAAGAAAATAAGCTATAATTTTATTGTTCTAGGAACTTTTAGAGAATAAAAATATTTACAAAGTAGGTGTAGCTCCCGTTGATGATGCGAAGTATTTGATTCAAGACTATTCAATTCATGTGAAGTCTACTTTGGATGTGAGGCATATTGTTGAACTGACCGGCCACACTACTGGCGGGTTGGCAACATTGGCTAACACATATTTAGGTATTGTGCTAGATAAGAATTGGAGGGTAAGCATTAGTTATAAGTATTGTTTCATGCCGTAGTATTCAATAAAATATATTAAATTTGTCATCCATGTATTGTGCTAATTGGCAAGATAGAATGACAGAAACTAATATAATAAAGTGATCAAGATATACAAACTCAAAACTCAAATAACTTTATTCAATATAGAAGCATTACACTTTCTTGTTGATGGCAGATTTTAAACCTGATGTTAGTTTGTTATGGTGGCTTACGTTATCTATCAAGATCAAGAGCATAAGCTTATTTTTTCAATGGCTTTTTGATACCAATCATAAAGTACTCGAAATAAAAATCACTTTTTAAAAGAAAGTTCTTCCAATGTGCATTGGTATAAAAAAATAATTGTGTCTATGGTTAGATATAATGTGGAAACAAGTACCAGTAACTAGTAATCTGTATAATTCTTAAAAAGTCGGTTTAAAAAAAAAGTAAGCAAACCCACAATGAGTTACCTTCTAAAATGTTTGAGATTTCTAAAATTACCAATTTTCTTCAGATCCGTTGCAGTGACTGGGCAGCAGAAGAGTTGACGGAAAGGCAAATACATTACGCAGCGACCGATGCTTATGTAGCAATAAGAATATTCGTTGACATTATAAATACATATCATAGAAACTTTTGGTTTTGTCTGTGGAGTGGAAACAGTGAGACACACTGGAGCAAAATACATGATCTATGTTCAAAATATGCCGATGTTGGTTACAAAGTGAAAAACATTAAAGGATCTCATAAAGAGTAAATAATATTTATTATAATTACTAATTATTTCCATAATAGAGGACTTCTATTGATTAATCTAATTATTAAAAGCTTTATATCTCATTTAATAATACTAAGTAATGTTAACATTAAAGGTATATTTTTTGGTGTTATTTGGAAATCATAAAATAAGTTCAAGGCTGGTGGGTGGTACTCTAGCATTTTATAAAATATAAAAATATAAAAATGTTAAAAAAAATTAAGTTTATAAAAAATAATACTGTTATACTAAATTATAATGTGACAACCCTAAATATGGTTTCAGAAACAAGAAAAGTAAAGACAAGACTATAACTAAGAAGTATTCTCACAGCCCTCGCTCGAGGCCGTTGTATCACAATTGTTTCATGGAAGCTCCTGACGGGGAAGTTCTCTGTACATGTGATACTAAAAAAGCTAAATGGTACATATTATGTATAATATGATTTAATAAACTCTTTTATTATTCCTGATTAAACATTAAGGCAAAGATTGTTCAAGATTATAGATGTACCTATTATACTAATAAGGATTTTTTGCCTTGAAGTGTTACTTAGCCCACATTATTCAAACATTAAACTGGCAACCCTAACTAAACATATCATAAAAACTATTTATATGACAAATATCACAGGTATTTGGACAATAAACTAGCAACTCTAATAAAGGACGATCCCCTTACAATTCGTCTTGCATTCGAACCGGCCGGCCGGTCTGTGGGGGAAGTTGGTCGCTACTACACGCTCGTGAAGGAAAACAAATGCGTTGTCTGTGGGGCCAAGGACTCTTATATACGGAAAAATGTTGTACCCAGAGAATATAGGAAATATTTCCCAGGTAATATGGTTTCATATATATACAGGGTGACTGGTGAATTACTATCAATATTTAAGGAGAATACTCGGTACATGATTCTCATTCGAATTATGTAAAAAAAATAGGCACTTAATTTTTGACAAAATTTCCGTATAAATAAATAAAGGGTGGACACGTTCCAAGTGTTCAAGTGTGTACGCGTGCGGCGGCGTACTGATACAACACTACGTCACGACACGCGTATGTGTGAGTGTCAGTGTATACCTAATCTGTAGGGTGTTCATACGATGCGTAATTAATTACATAACTTTTGGTTAACTTTACTTAGAAGTTTATTAATATTTATGTTATATTAATTTTTATTTTGTCATATATGATCGTCAAATATCACGTCCTCAAATATCGATAGTAATTCACCAGTCACCCTGTATATGACTAGCTTTCCACCCGCAGCTTCGCCCGCGTGGAGTTCGGTTATATCGCGTTTCCAAAAGAACCTTTCAAAAGTCTGGGATAAAAACTATCCTATGTTCTTTCTCAAGGTCAACTCTATCTCTGTACCAAATTTCATTAAAATCAGTTCAGTGGTTTAGGCGTGAAAGCGTAACAGACAGACAGACAGAGTTACCTTCGCATTTATAATATTAGTAGGGATTTCAACTTATGCAAGGTATGAGTAACCTTTATAGGCAACTACTGTGCTTTAAATACGAAATTTCTTGATGAAACTCATATTATTCGGATTACAACTCGTATTTTATTATTAAGAAATAGATGATCTATCTAATCTTCTCGTGATCACGGTTGCTGAAAAGTAACCGAAACTTCTGGAATATGTAATTCGAATAATATTAGGAATATTCATTTAAATGAATATTCCCAAAAGTCTTAGGATACTTATATTTCTTGTTTGTTTGTATCAGATGTAATGAAGGAGCACTCGTGTCACGACGTAGTGTTGTTGTGTAGATCGTGTCACCAGAAGAGCAACATGTTGGACCGAGGAGTGAGGACCAGCCTCGCGATACAATGTGACGCGCCCATCGCTGAACTGGGAGTTCGGTATATTGAAGACTCAGCAGCTAAGTTAGTATAACACATAATAGTATGCATTTTATAATAATGCTGATTCCCAAAAAGAGGCTTGATGTCAGTCAGGCGGCCGGTCGTAAAAACAAATAGCCAAAACTATTCACAACATGTAAGACAGACCCTGGCTAAAGCTGGGAATATTGCCAGGTAGAAGAAGTATGCATAGTCGTCACATTTTCAAGGCCTTCATCTATTTTAAATCGATATCAAAGTTTTAGAAAATGATTTCCGACAATATATAACCGCCTTTACAATCGCTTCTGTCATTCGAATATCATTATTTCATTGCTATATATAGGTCATATAACCTGCTTTTATATCAAAAAATTTCGTTAATTATAGGAAGCTCCGTTCAGCGGCGCGTGCTTTACTCTATGAGAGTAAAAAGAATAAGCTGCCGGAACAACGTGTGAAGGAACTCGAGAAAATAGTGTTGGAACATTACCCCGAGGAAGATAAAGTTACAGATGATATATTGCAAGAAGCTGCGAATATTGACTACAGGTATACAGTAAACAAATAAATAAATGTGTGCGTGCGTACTTGTGTGCGTGCGTGCTTGTTGTGTGTGTGTGTGTGTGTGTCTTCAAAAATGACATTTTAATTTATTTAAATTATTAATGACATTTGGCACACGATCCATAGTCAAAGAGCAAAACATATTTACATTGTAATGTCAAAATTATTCAATTAGATCTAATTTTTTGTTTAAAATATAAAAAATTAAATGACAGAACATTGATATAGTTAATTAAATAACTATTTTTTTAGACACGAGAAAACGGATTACGAATCTCACGGTTCGAAAGTTGTTAATTACTACATAGAAAATGAGAGTTTACTGCGGCTCGAAGAAATCTGGAGAGAACACTTCTTGAAGTCCATGTCTCCGATGTACATGCCTGAGCTGTGGTCTGTCAAGCATAATGAGGAGAGGTAATGTTTACATTATATAAAAACTCTTTGGTTTGAAAAATTCTTTTTATTGAGACGAAATCTCTTAAGCATTAAATGTATTCACCGTGCGTGTGCTGGGTCCATCGTTACAAGGAGAGGAGCTTCAACAGTGCCTGGGACTTGCGACCCAGGTGTAGGTTTAAGTCCCTAACTAACGCATTAAACGCTCACCTCCACTGTCCAAGCTCCTCTCTCTATGTAACCAAAATTTGAAAAGAACCTACTAGGGCTGCCTTCGAGGAACATTCCAAGAATTAATTCATATTAAATATTAGCCAAATTCTTGTGTTTATTTTTTTTCAGGTTGCGAGTACGTTTCAACGAAGGACGTATGTCTGATAAGGACGTTATGCTCACTGGATTATAGTTCTTCAATATTTTGTGAATTATGAAGTTGTGACAGAGTGTTTTCAAAATAAATATATTTATATAGTTTTTCAAATAAAATTATATTTACAGCATTTCTTAATGACGATTTTTATTTCTCACATCGTTGCCTCGAACATTTTTCAAATAAGGATAGCTTATTATTTATACTTAGTTTTTATGTATTATATTTAGATGGAGCATAAATATCAATAACAAATATTTCTGAACGTTGTTTTCATATTTAAGGAAATCATTTTGGTGCGAAAATATCTAATAACTATTTCTTTTCTAAAGGCTCTAGGAGGGACAAAAAACAGTTGGCTAGTACTGGTTACGACTTTTAACAATAAAATATGTTATTTTAATGTATGTATTCTACTATATAAAAATAAGTCCGGTTTTCCTTCCTGACGCTATAACTCCAGAAAGAACGAACCGATTTCCACGGTTTTGCTTTCTTTCGAAAGGGCTCGGGCTCCGTGCGGTTTATAACAAAAAATTCAGGAAAAATTACAACAGAAAAGCGGGAAAATCTTTTTTCACATACAGCGCCATCTTTGATACACAACACGTACTACAAATACAATTGTTTGACACATACTCATTGTCCTCTGTTCAGTTAATTTCGTATGACAAACCGGTATTGTGTTTGTAGTTTAAACTCTTAAAACCATTTAGTATTTGCGGGATAAATTTTTAAAATCATTGTTTTTCATATGGGCAGTTATATTTTGCGCGTTCACGAGTTGGGAAACCATCCACTTTATTTGTGTTAACGTTAGACCAAAATACGAAAAATGTGGTTTACAAAGGAGCACTTCAATGAAACGGACAATTTGCGGACACGTATTATAACGCTTCGATTCGGTATCTACTTTGGATTCACTTTCATTTACTTAGAGAAGCTCAACTAAATAACAGTTTATTTTTGTAATCGAAATGAATTCATTACTGTTGTGAAATGAAATAAAAATTTTCCTTTTGAAATATAAAACAAAAATATTTATTCTTCATCTTTTAATCACCAAATGAAATGTTACATAAAACAAAGCATTCTGGTGGCAAAACGGAGTTCGCCGGGCTTACTAGTGTATTATAAAAATACAAACACAAAAGTTAATCAACCTCAAAAAAAATGAGGAAAATATAGATACACCCCAATATTCTCATACATACAAAACAACACAATCGTAAGGTCAGTACAAAATATTTAAAAGTACGTTTGTCTCATGTAAAGTAAAAAAAATTATAAAGTTATATTATTCTGATTAAGTATTGCCAAAACAAAGGAAAAAAAAAATACAAAAATTATTAGACATATCATTGTTTTAACATGATATTCGTTGTTTCGTTGTATATATTTTAGTTAAATCTTAAATAAATAACAAGGTGTTACTTTTACGACGGTCACACACTATACATGCTCAAGAATACTAAAATGTGTGTGGCCGGCATTGAAGTACCGACCTTTGCTTAGAGAGAAGTTTATTAACTCCTGCGTTGTGCAAAGGCATTTAATATTTCTGTATACCCTTATTGTTCTTACGGTTGGACATATTTAAATTGTTAATATCTCATGTAAATATTGTAATTTGTAAACACCACGAAAGAGTCACATAAAACTATGGTTCGTTATTTGTTTCACACCTTGATGTTTGACAAAATTAAAGGAAAAAACCTGGAATAAAAGTGAGAAGAACTGGATTTTTAAACAATATCATGTATTTTACACTCAGAAACGAATACTTAATTTACATAACTAAGACATTCTGTGAAGAAAAAAAATTCTTAAATGACTAGGCTGCATAGTCTGAGATCTTTGCCGGTCCAAAAAAAAAGTTTAATAAACGTCAAACTTTTAAAAACAAGTCGTTACATTTTATAAGTTACAACATTCAGACCAGTGTTCAATACTTGTATTTGTTTTGTTTTTCATAAAAATGATTAGTGAGATCTAAATATTAATAAAATAGCTACAGAAAAAAAATCCTTCAGTATATTGTACTGGTTACGGCTGAGTTCACCAATTCTATCATTGTTCTTATTTTATCTGGTGTTGTCGTAGAGTGATAAGAAGAAAAGTAAGGTTTAATTATGACCAATCTTAAGAAACAAATGAAAATAACCAAAATATTCCGAAAAGGCAGTAAGTATTGAAAACAAAGACATGTCATTTTTTTTCAGTTTTAATTGGCTCTTTGAATATTGTCAGTGATACTCTAGAGCAGATTTGTTCAATTAAGTTAATAAGTAATTACTTATTTAAAGCATTATTAACTATACATTTTAGATACAAAACAACCAGAGGATTGTGATGATTTGCAAGAAGAGGTTCGGCAGTTAGAGGAGAAATTAAAAGAAAAACATAATGAATTATTTCAAATACAACGAAATACATACAGAAAGAAAAGTTGTCTGCCCAAAAAGCGAGACGAACCATTCGTTAGGCCTCAGGTGACTAACAACATTATCCTAAAACATATTTAAAAATACTTTTAAGTGACATTACAATTATATTTCAGAAAATAGTAGTCAGTAACTCTGTAGAAACTCTGAAACGTAATTTGGAATTGATGTCCATGTTGACTGGTATGGAAGTACAGTCATATGTATTGGACGATCATTGCTGTATAGTGTATCACATGCAACACCCTTCAGAAACATATGTGAAGCACGGTCTTAGAATTGATATGACATCAGGTATAACAAATATCTTTAAGAAAAAGCTTAGTAGCCATTAATCATTACTTTTGTTCTTGACTATATATTTGATATTTTCATGTAACAGATGGTAATGTGGTCACTAAATCATCATTGCCAGTCGGATTCAGTATAAAGGCTGTGATGGAGGATTTTGATAATGTAATGATGCCGGAATGTCTTTGCGCTGTTCGGAAAGCTTTAGTTGCTTACTATGACAGATTGGGACAATTTGAATCATTAAAGGTGAGCCTATAAGGGCATAATCAATAAATGTTGTATATTTTCCCTACAAAATTGTCTTTGTTGTAGAAACTTTTGAGTATTGAAGCAGAGTTGTTCAAAATATTGGATGGTTCTCATGTAGAAATTTCATTTAATGCTAAAAGTCATGTGGATGAAGAAGATGAACAGATCAATATCACTCTTATTCTGAATTATAGGGTGTATGATATAAGACCCAAGACTTATTGCTTCAAAGAAATTGGTAATTCAAGATTTCAATGTAAATTAAAGGTTTTTAATATTAATATGTCAATTTGGTTTACATGATTTTTTAATATCAATAGATTTACCAGAGGGAGTAGCAGATATACTTAGACAACAATGTTCAGTGTTTAAAAGGAAGCCATTACATAAAGCTTTCAAAGAGGCCTTCATTGATGGCATCGGAACATACAAGCTTGTTCGACAGGTAATAAATAAGTTTAAATCATAAAAAAATATTTTTTGTTAAGAATTCGGCTAAATAAGTTATTGATAATGCATATGTCCCAATAAAATTGATTTCATGTATTAAATTCCAATAATACTACAGGGTACTGAGATTATTATTACTTACAACTCCTGATTGATTTGTTCTAATTAGACTATATTATGAAATTAAGTTAAAATGATTATTGTATATGTTTTAGCTTGGTCCGAGGAAATCTGAGGAGCAACTCAAGAGTAAGCCAAAGAGGTTCCGACCGAATAAACATAATTATAACAATGATGACACCTTTCAGCCCGAGGATTGTAGTGATCAAGGAGAAGATGTTGCTGAAGAATGACCAGAAAACTCCTTATTCATTTGTCCAGACCAAAATAGGAGTTGAAATTTACTATGAAATAAGAATAATATATAGCTAATATTATAATTCCGGTATTAAATAACAATTCCTATATTATAATTTTTATTCAAATAAAAAAATTAATTTTTACAACACCTCATTTACATACATATCATTCATACTTATTTACTTTACAATCAAGTTATTATTTTATATCTAAAATTTAAAATGATTATACTTATTTATTAAATATACAATAATAATTTTGTGCGACTGAAATTCATATAAATATAGAACAATTTTAGTGAATTAAGGAATACATATAACTAAATATATTCTTGAATATTAAATTATAGGTATATAAGCTTAGTATAGACAAAAATATTTAAAAGGTTATTTCATATTTGTAGTACTGTCATAGTTGAAAAGACAATAAAAAGTCGCTGATGCCAATTTCATATTAATAATAGTTAAAAAGGGAACAGTAGGATAAAATCTATCATTCATATGCAAGATATTTTAAAAGTATAGTTCAGAAATATCATTGAATGTCATGGTTGCACAATATGTACAAGACGATATTAGTTAACAGAAAATTTAGAAAACCGTTATAACTATTGCATGTATTACTGTGCACGCCCATGTAGAAATTTAAAAAAAGGTTACACATCTAAACTTGACCTTACTTTATGATTATACACTTTGAGACATTACTGTTTGTATCACAAATAGAAATGCTAGATCATGTAAAGTCTGACACTGGAACCTACAAAAAAGTCGTTAACCGTATCCTGAATGGTACAATCACACCAAAATAAATACACTCATAGGAGCCCGCGACTCCGGCCGCGCCCGGGGTAAGTCCGCCGTCTCAGGGTCCGCTACTGTGCCACTACTCCGTGAATCTCTATAGTAATGTATGTTGGAGCGCACGGCTCGCCCCGTGTAAGGACCCGCGTCTTTCGGCCGCAAGTTCAACTTGCTCAACTTGATGACCTTGAAGTCTAGCTTGTGGTGTGGCGCGCGGCGGGGGCGGGGTCAGTATCACGTGGTCGACACTCAAAGGCCGCGGTTGGGCAGAGGCTTGACCTTGTAGACGCGGACCAGCCAGTGCTCGGTGGTGTACGCTTCTTCCAGTACGTCCAGATTGAAGTCCTTGTTGCCGATCTCGGCGCCCCGCACGCGGTCGTATCCCGGAGGCCGGCCGCCCTCGGTGTACACCAAGCCGAATTTGTAGTAGCTCATCTTGTACATGAGACAGTTGAGCAGCGCGGGCGCTCCGTGGGCGTCGACGCGGAACTCGCCCGCGCCGGTGTAATAGTCGGCCTCCTTGATGTGCGCGCCGCGGTCTGTACTGCCGCCGATACGGACCATCCACAGGAACTTGTTGATGTCTGTTATAGGATAGATCGATGTTATTATTTATTCAACATGGAAATTTTGATTATATAGTAAAATATTTGTTCATTAGTACAAGTTCTTAGTACATGGATGAATAATTATGAATTTTATATCGGCAAAAAATGCTGCTTTATATTAAGAAAGATCAAAAAAGTAATTGAAGGCGTACCGTCAGAGGAGTATCCCACGAGTCCTCCAAATATAACGAGCACGTAGTCCACGTCCAGCTCCCTCATGATCTCGTAGGCGTGCTCCTCACTGGACGCCATGGCCTGGCCCACGCGTGAGATGTGAGTGTTGTTCCACGTGTTGTTGTCCACTATCACCGTTCTGTTCGCCATCGCTGTTATCTGATACCCGTAGTCCCACCATGACATCACTTTCGCGTCCTAGAGTGAAGGAATGACAAAACTTGAGTTAATATTCATAATAATGTAGCTAATATAAATACTGTTCTTGAGGAAATATTCACAAATTTTAGTTCCAAATTTAAACCATCAACGAGATACTAATATGAAATATTTTTCTTCCGTTAGATAGATGTGGATTATACCTCTGGAGTGTTCATCTTGAGCCAGGTGTAAGCCTCCCTGAAGTCGTCGAATATGATCCTGGCGCCGTCGTGAGCCCGCGCAGACAACACTATGGAGGGAGATGAGTACGCCTCTGAAGTTACCCACGTGCAGTGGAACACGTACGACACCAGCAAGCCACAGAGCACCATCACGAACAGAGCCCCCACCTGAAAATTGGGTGAAAGGAATTGATAGTACAAATTGAGAATGTATTCGCAGTGTTACATGATTGCAACTATATTTTCATTTCACTGTGAATTTTATGGGAGCATAAATCAAGATATGATTGACACTTTTTATGGGCCAAGACGTTGGATATTATACATTTTTTAACGTGATTATTTCGAGCTGATGTTACCGTTAGTAGAAGGAAAACTTTTTGCAAAATGACTAATGACTGTTATAAGGGATTAAATTCAATATTCTTTGATTTGTTTGATATAAGGACTATTCTCCATCAAATAGCAATATTTCCTCACCTCAGACCTGAACACCAGATTATTTTCATGTTTCTTCTTCTTGTCAGGTTTTTCAGCTTTAGGTTCGATGTCCTTTACGTGTAGACTCAGCAGACTGGAGGCGGCCACTCCTGACACGATACACATGACGGGAGCAAGCACCAACATTAATCGGACCATCACACCCTAGAACAAAAGTACTTTCAAACAATGTTCTGGAATGTTCTAAACTCTATTCAGTATTTGAAGGTCAGCGATCAAAGTGTAAAGGTCACGGCGCGGAACTGAGAGCTTCCTCTACCAGCTCGACGCGCTCCAAGCTTCGTTAGTCATCATTGTTGTTTGGTTTATACAGGGTGACTGGTGAATTACTATCAATATTTAAGGAGAATACTCGGTACATGATTCTCATTCGAATTATGTAAAAAAATAGGTACTTAATTTTTGACCAAATTTCCGTATAAATAAATAAAGTGTGGACACGTTCCAAGTGTGGACGCGTGCGGCGGCGTGCTGATACAACACCTCGCCGCCGCACGCGTGTGTGTGTGTGTATACCTAATCTGTAGGGTGTTCACACGATGCGTAATTAATTACATAACTTTTGGTTAACTTTACTTAGAAGTTTATTAATATTTATGTTATATTAATTTTTATTTTGTCATATATGAACGTCAAATATCACGTCCTCAAGTATCGATAGTAATTCACCAGTCACCCTGTATAGTTATGAAGATGAGGGTGAATATGAAATTATTATATGTTTTTGGTAATAATCATAAATAGAAACAATAAGATAGGTTTTGTTATCAAATGGATATTTGAAGAATTGTATATCGAAGTTTTTAATTGACTTCATCTCTGTACCATGCTGAATCTATTTTTCATATATTCACGTCTTACGCTACAAATTAATGTCATTTATCAAGTGGCCAAATAGATCTTAGAATAATTGTACGTAGGTTTGTTATTGAGTTCAGTATTATGTTAAATAATTTTTTCTATCTTTTAAATCTTAGGCTAGAAATTGATGTAATATAAAACGGTTCATACCGCAAAGTATATGCTGAGTACTCCGTATAGTATGATGAAGATGTTGGCGTCCGTGAGTTTGGTGAAGCAGAAGTAGAGGCCGGCGGGGAACAAGAACACAAGCACTTGCAGATCGAAGTAGAACGACGACCATGATGTGGGCTGATGCTCGGACACAGACGCTAGGAAACAAATTATTTAAATACTAATATCAAAGAGATCTAAGATCTTAGCGAGTATTGATACAAATGAAACTAAAATATTCGGATTAGTATGCATATTTTATTATTTTAAACTCCATACTCCTGACGTTTCGATTACTTGGAGTTGCAACAGCAACCGTGATCATGGACAGACGAAATGTGTATATAACAGCGTGGTAATTCGTTTCATATATTAGTTTCGTATATTCTTAAAGACCATCTGTATTTGTGAATTTTAGACTTCCTCAATAGGGGTGTAAATTTGTTTGAATCCATGTAGAGAGAAAAAATATTTACCAATGATAGGAATATGGTTCTTAGCGTACGACGGGTCCAGTAGAGAATAGAATCTGCCGGTCCATGGTGATATTTTGCCTGCAAGAAAGATGATTCATTCATCAACCCATTTATTTGAGTATATATGTATTTTTAAGTATGAAGTTACATTCTATATGATTTAAAAGATCATTACCGGTGACAGTTAGTACTACGAGTGCCGTTCCGAGTGTAGCTAGTAGAGTAGTCAGTAGAGCCTTGAACAACAGCTCAAAGTTTGATGGAGACAGACGAGCTCGAAGATACTGAGTGAACAAGTACAGTTGGCATAGACCGAATGTGCCTAACGCCTGGAACAATTGACTAATTTAGTTGAATCCTTAAGAAAAAATATGTCATATGTCATCATTTTGTTAGTTTTCTGATTGTTCTAATCTGAATATTATTTATTCCTCCCATAATTTGGATTTTTTGTAATGTTCAAGTTGCTTGAAATATTAATTACATAAAGGAAAGACAGAACATTTATAATAAGTCAATTATAGTTTTAATAAATAGAATAATTTATGTTTTAGAAATTTAAAATCAATTATATGATGAACATAGATACAAAAAAGATTGCAATTTTTGTAGATACAAAAATATGTTCTGTTCCGTAATAAAAATGAAATGTTACAAATTCCCATATAATAGCTATTAAAGTTGCTCAGTGTTTACACTTAATAAACCATTTCAAACATTGTTGTAGGTATAATTCAACATGTCATGCTTTAATAACAGACAATAAAAAATTTACGTGAATGTAAGTGTGGCTATTAAATTTTTATGTACTTGACATGTAATGGTAGAATGAAAAACAATTCATAATACATTACCTGTAACTATGGAAACATACTTTTTCTATGACTTTCATAGAGCATATGAAATATTTGCATATTAAATCTTAGTTACATATTGAAAATGTTCCTTTACTAACTAATATATGACTAAAATTCATATAAAGTAAAATAATAATAATATATACTCACAAGCATATGCTCCGAGCTCTGTACCGGCTGGAAGCCAACAAAGCTGATCTGCATTGAAAGTACCGTTCCTACACAGTATAGAGTGCTGTAGGCTACATACACACGGTGAGAAAAACGGCCAAGTAAAATCAGAGCCAGGACATGAAGAGGGATCAAGTTGATTAGGAACACATATCCACCCCATGATGACACCTTGAACAATATACATTCATTAAAGATTGTAATAATAGCATATTTACTTACATATTAATAAATACCTATGCATACAACTATTTATTAACAAAATTGTAATGTATGATAATAAGTATAACTAAAAATATGGAATAAAAAAATGATACAAACAGGAATCAAACCTATGAATTCTAGGATATCATATACCCATTGTGTTATTCAAGGATATGCCCTAATTGCTGCTGTGTGTAAACAACAATCTTATATATTGTTATTTATTTTTTCTTTTCAAATATATATATCTTACAAACTAAATAACTGTATGAAAGTGCAAAAACAAAGAAGTCAATGATAACTAATTTGTGTGAATCTTTCATCTGAATGATCTGTGATTGAAAGAACAATATTGTCTGTACAGTACAAAACAATATGCACCGAAGTACATAGAGCTTCAATCACGTTTTTCAAGACTTACATTTGGATAGCAAATGTAATATCAAAATAAGACAAATGGTGACAATATCTACAAAATGTATATAAATACTAAATCCAAACTATGTCTAGCACAAGCCAAGTTATATGACATTTATACTGAATAATTTCATATACATATAATTCTTAAAGATAATATGATAAAATAATGTCAACATACAAAGTGAAAGAATATATCATTCAAATCACTATTGTTTTTTTTTTACAGTTTAATTATTCATCTTCTTGTATTTACCTCGTATATTATATGCAATAAAATATACAAAAAAGTAAAGTATGAAAATTACAACATTTTACTCACCATATAAAAGTATGCCAATGCAGTCATAGTGGCCCACAAAATAGTGCCAGTGTTGACGGCTTTGATCCAGAAATAATATGTTAGGAGCATACAGAAGATGGCAATACCCTCGTTATCATAACTGCCTGCGACTGAACGACTTATGTAGCCGGGGACTATGGCAATCATTGCCGCAGCAACCAACCCTGCACCTTCATCCTGATTTGATGATAAGCTCATTGAATACTCATATAATGTTTAAAGATATTTTTCAATACAAATCAATGCAATCCAGACAAATAAACACAATTGTAGTGTATGTTTTTAATATTAAAATAACCTCCATTTTATTAAACATGCATTGAACTATTCAAAGCACATATCAAATCAAATTTCATTTATTTGTGTGTCTTTCTGTCGGAATGGGCAGTTCAATCTCTGTAACAACTAGACTGATTCTGATAGGCATTTGCAAGTGTATGTACATATATCTGATGTAATAAGGAGTTCTTCTTGTAAAGATTCTTCATGGAAAAGATAGCATTCATAACTAGTAAATACCTTCAACTCCTTAGTCAGCAGGTAGGTGACAATAGTTGTGAGTGATGAGAAGAACGGAGCCAGGAACACACATACATTCCTGATGTCTATAGTAATGTTGAGGAACTGCATGATGTTGTATAATGTAGCCGATGTCACCATCAGCCCAGGGTATATTGTACCTTAAATATTTTAATTTAACAGTTAACTTGATATGTATGTGAAACCCTTTTAAATGTTTTTGTAATCTCAGAAGTTAGGCACCATGACTATAATAAAAAAATCTGAATATTTTTCAATAACATAAATCCTAATTTTGAGAATTTAAACAACAGTTACCATATAGTTTTAAAATCTAACAAAGTTCTTTTAACATTTCCATATTTTAAATACGACAAGCAAATTATCTTTTAACTAAAATTATGATGGTAATATGGAAGAACCGTGGTACTCACCACCAATAATACGTCCTAGAGGGTACCATGCTCTATCATCAAACCAATTGTGGAACTTATAGAACCCTTCTTCTGTCAGATAACGTGTTGTTCTGTAGTTAAAGTACGGGTCGAACTCATGTATCACGCTTTCGAAGCGTAAAACAGAGAAAAGACGTGTTCCAAACGCTGTAAATAAATAATACTATGAATGAAGTTAAAGATTTGTTTAAATATTTACGATACTCAGATTAACTTTTTCCTTTAATAGCTTTTGGCAGCACATTTGCCGACAGTTCTTATCTAAAGTTAGGACCACGTAATACAAAACAGTGGTAACAAAAAGGCTATTACAATTCTTTCTACTTATAAAATCTTTGATATGGTACAATTATAATGAAAGAACATTGTATTTTGCTTACATAAAATTGCTGCCATTGATAAAACAGCCAGTTTTATAAAAGTAAGTTGTTTATCGGACGAGAGATGCGGCATCTTCGTTTTACTTTGAACGTCCGCAGTCATCTTGGGATTTTTTTTGTATGGAAATTATTTTTTTAACACGTATACATTAAAGTATAATAAGTGTAAATAGAAATATCAATTCTTAATTTTAGCCGGCAACCTAATACAATCACGCCAGCGACGCAAGCAATTACAATTTTATATTTGACAACCCTGCATTCACCTTTTGACAGATGGTCAACGGCGTGGCAGCGTTGGAGTTGCCACTACAAAATTGTTCCTTAAAAAAATAACCTTATTGCCCTATAAACATTACATATTTCTTCAATATGGTAGTAATGCAATTACAGTAGTTATGTAATAATATATTATAAAGTATCTGTAAATATCACATGAAAAATAATGAAAATATGTCTATCTAAAACAAAATAGAATTTTAGCTTCGAAATTTCTTGCATTAATGTTTGAATAATGCTTTGAGCATGTTTATTTGCTTTTTATGATAGTTGTCAATTTTAATTCATTAAGTAACTTGACATTTGACAACATCTAGAACTTAATTTAGCTTTGCTACAATATTAAGCTCTATTGTCTTTCTAGTCATTTCTCTTTTTCTCGCAATATTTGGAATTAAGACTGAACTTTATCATTTAAATGTTGTGTTCTCTTTTTCATTAAACAATAAAAATCATAAAAATTTATTACTGATAAAGCCTTGTTTAAAATTACTTCCGCTCGTAGTGACTAATCATCTTAGAAGATATTATGGTCAGTGTGTTCACTTGGTGATTTGTAATGTCTGACGGGGACCCCTCTCTGGAAGAAGATATACCGAAACCGTTACTGGAAAGAGTTGAAGAGAATGTGTTCACCCCAAAGATAACAACTCCGATTTTCGCCGGGAGTGTGAAGCTGCATCATAAACCTTCAGACGTTAGTGAGACGGAGTCGTTTTTGTCTGACGCTCAACGCAATGATCTCGCGTTCCAACAGTTGTTCAACGATGGAGATGGAGACTTTCACGAAGTAAGTAATCTGGAATTATTATTTAATGAACAAAAATCTTTAAAAATAATTTCGGCTAAATTCGTTTACTTAACAGCCCTAAAGCTTCAATTTAATTAAACCTCATGTATTAAGAAGCCACGGCTTAGAATTATTATTAGACGATCTTTTATTAAGTGAAATAGTTTTCATGTATGTAACAACTGGCAGTTGCTAAACAAATATTCTTAAAAAAAACTCTACTTTTCCATGTAAATAACCCAAAAAGTAAAATGATTCATTATACAACACATTAAAAACTAATATTGTTATTAAATTAAAAAAGTTCACATAGGGACCCATATGGAATACCTACTTCTTAAGCAAAATGTTATAAATACTTATATCAACAAGTTGAGTAGTACAAAGTCCAATTTAATAACAGAATCAACTTGGTTCATGTTGCAACAAAGAGTACAGAACAAAATCTTATTAGAATTCGTCTTTAACTAATATTACCTATAAGTGTGAAATTTTGTGTGGAATTATGGATATATAGTTGAATATAAGGATGTATGGATTTTTAAAGTTCTTTCACAAAAAAAATCCTTCACAAATTCTAACGAAACTTTATTCACTAAGTCAATAATAGTACATTTATAGCTTAAAAAATCAAATCATATATTTCAAAAATGTTCAGGAATTAATAGGCTTTAAATGAATGAGAAAACAATGAGACGTAAACCACCATTAGTTTACTTTAAGGAAAATAAATGTTGGAAAATTGTATTTATTAGTCATTATAATATAAAAGATTTCCTCTTTTTCTTCAGAATATATATGACGTAAATGAAATCACACTTCATTGCTTATAAATATATATATTAAGAGAAATTAAGTTTAATCATTTAGAAGTAATCTTTATATATAAAAGAAAGTCGTGTTAGTTACCCCACTTATTACTCAAGAACGGCTGAGCCGATTTAGCTGAAAATTGGCAGAGGGGTAGTTTAGAACCAGGAATTTACAATAGGATTTTTATCCCGTTCGACAGCATTCCTGTGGGACTTGACATGAAATGTCAGTCACTATAAAACGTGGAATAACTAAATACAATTGACAGCTATGCGATTGACGTATAATTACAGATATGTAATTTAGTATTTGCGGGATAAATTTAGAAAATCATTGTTTTTCATATGGGCAGTAATGGTTTGTGTGTTCACGAGTTGGGAAACCATCCGCTTTATTTGTGTTAACGTTAGACCAAAAAACAAAAAATGTGGTTTACAAAGGAGCACTTCAATGAAACGGATAATTTGCGGACACGTATAACGCTTCGATTCGGTATTTACTTTGGATTCACTTTCATTTACTTAGAGAAGTTCAACTAAATAACACTTCATTTTTGTAATCCAAATGAATTCATTACTGTTGTGAAATGAAATAAATATTTTCGTTTTCAAATATAAAACAAAAATATATTCTTCATCTTTTAATCACCAAATGAAATGATATATAAAACAAAGCCTTCTGGAGGCGAAACGGAGTTCGCCAGGCTTACTAGTATATAATAGATTTTAATTTCTTTCCTTAGGAATACAAGTCACTGTTTTTTTTCGTGTTGAACTTCACTTTCAAATTTTTCACATTCTAGACTGAGTTGATTCGTTAGAATACATGGGTATTATTAGGTCTCTTTTTTTGGAGGATTTCCACTTTAAAAAATTAAAATGGTCTTTAAAATTTTAGTATTATATGTAAAATAATTATTAAAAAAATATTTTGGTATTTCCATAAGTAATTATATATTTTAAGTAAAAAAAAAACTTTGCCAATTAAATGTTCAGGACAAAAGTTCAACTAAAAGTTCATTAACTAATGTATGTCAAGAAAATTAAATGTTAATTATTTTTTTTATTTCATACGGGCCAACTATATTATTTGAAAGACGAAATATTTCGACATAGTTCTATATCCACATATAATTTCTTTAAGGGTTCTGTATCACCATAGAAATTAAAATGCGATCGGTTCGTTATTCGATTGTCCCTTTTAGACCCCGATGACGAAATACCAAACGACAATACAGACACAAATATCCCTATTACACAAAATTACTACACCAACACACACCGCCTTCGCCGGCGAAGACGGGGTCACATTTCATACACGTCGCTTCGGCGTTCTGCCATCGGGTGTATCATGTCAATTCCGTCAATATTATCATGTCAGTTCCCTGACCTGTTGCCACCCACCACTTCACCAGTTACATTCGGACCTTCAGGCCCGAGTTGGACGGTCTCATCTGGCTACTCATGCCTCCCAGTCACGCTGTCAAAGCTATTAGGGGTAACAGCTATCGTCAAGTCGAAACTCAAAAATAAGTTTTACTTCAAATGACTAAATAATGGAAGGAAGTGCCAAAGCTTATGACAGAGCATCTTGATATTCGCACAGCATTATGTTAAAAATGTTTCGAAATTTGTTTGGTAATTGATACGACGGTAATAAAAAATCAATGAACCCAGAATAAATATTAAGGGCTTAATTGAAGCGATGAAGTTTTAAAGCACAGCATTTGGCTCATATATTGAGTGTGAGTTTGAACAATTGTATATTTCGTTATGTTGGAATAAGTTATTGAGATCGGGACCTATTTTTTTGTGTGGCCAGCACTCTTGTCATATAACGCAAACTGATTATGTATCCTTACAGTCTAGGCCCTTTTAATATGTGGGTTTCAGCACTCGCACAATCTTTGTTTCATGTTGTCAAAGCCTCAGAGCATTTATTACAGAGAAACAAAAAAGCACAAGCGTCGAGGCCAAATCTTTTGCCAAATTGTTTCGTTTTGTTAATGTCAAGCAATATTAGTATCGAAAAAATGCAGTCAAATTTTAACTAGGTCTACGTTTCAAAATGTGGCGCCAATTACATGACACAAAAAAACTGTTAAGTTTTTATTACGTTAGTATTCGTTACAATTAAGGCGCTTACTGCTTCTAATTAATTAATTTAAACGTATAGTGATTGTGTTGTTCTGATATATTTAATGCATTTTAAGTATACTGTATGAATGATGTCATTTTTATTATATTATTTTGTCATGTTTTTGAAATCCTCTCGCCTTAGAGTATTAAAGACTGTATTATCTCTAAGTGCCATCATTTACATTTGTCACTTAACAAATAATGAGACGTGTAGACTTAGTTTTTATAACACCGTTAACAGAGCATGACGTGTTTTATAACGTTCATTATTTAATTTAATATGTAAAACTATTATTTTTTATATAGAAAATTAAAAAAAAGCAATTATTAATTAATTATTATTATATAGAAAAAGAAAAAGGTTGGTTATTATATAAATGTTAGTGACATAATGAGATTACAGTGAAATTGTTTTCGAACTTTATCTTTTTGAATGTGTCTGTATTTTATAGACAGTTAGTCCAACGTTGTATGGATGCTAATCAAACATGAATCACTCTGAGTCTGTGTGAAACTGCCAAGGTCGGTAGATTCTTAGCATTTTTATAAAACTTAGTAGTGTTTGTTGTTCAGCGGTGCGATGATAGCTAGGAGTATAGTTGACATGCTGTCGTATATCATGTACGACGTTGGTCGTGATAGGATATTAAGAAGCAGGAGAAGCAGCTGGACGTATAAAGTATAAACATATTCAACCTCTTTGGTATATGTTCTGTCAGATGTATGAAATGACGTAAATGTTTGATATCTGTATACAGTGCAGTGAGTGTCCTAATGTCACTTTTCCCGCGTTAGAAGCTATGATGAAACTATAGCAAGGTCGTTGATATCAATCAATTATATTTTTCGGCAGTCCTAAATTAAGATTTTGTATGTCATATTATAAAAAATACGATTGATATTAGAGTGTTGTTATTGTAGAAATATCATGTGAAATTGATTTTACTTCCTCTATTACTGATGAATGTGTTGTGCTAGACGGAGAAGACGGCCCAGGAGCGGATGGCTGACCTCCAGGCAATGTCGGTGCTCAGCACGTACCAGGATAATCTGTCGCACGATATGAACACCGACCGGTGAGTCCAGAACCGATGACATTGACAGCCCTGACATTCAAACTTGACACCAGGGTTGACACTAGTGTTGGGACTCGCTATTAATATTTATCGATAATAATGTTTGGTTTAAAAAAGAGGTTGTCACCAATGAGGTGTATGGGTTATTGTTCTTATGTTTTGTATGGGTATGTGATGTCATTGGTATATGTGTTCTGTGCCGTTAGCATGACTGTTGTGTGTTTGTGTTATCAATAACTATTATATTTATAACGAGTTCATTAATAATAGATAACATTATTTACATTTTTTAACAAGCACTTGATATTTTTTCACGTGAACATTATTATGTAAGTAAATTATTTCATACTTTTTTTAATGATTTTCTCACACTATTATAGACATTTCGTGTTTTTTTTTGCTTAGAACATATTTTGTTAATTCATATGTTATTATTTTGTTATTTTTCTTATCGTTCCCAAATCCCGAGGCAAACCTTTAAAAGAGTTTCTAAACCGTTTCTAAGATTTATGATGTGCATACATACATACTTGTATGTTTCTATACATGTAAAAAGTTATTTTTATACCTTTTATATTATGCTCCATTGAAAGTGCGCCAAAATCAATGCTAAAATGATTTTTGTTGCTATAGAACCGGTATGTAGTCGTGTATATTTTATTTCACTATTGAGTGTTTGTAACAGCCTGAAAGTCTAAAGAGAATTTTCTATTTTAAATTTAAGATACTTTGTAAAGCGTCATCTTTGTGATACTTATATTTGGTGAAAATAATAATTCTTATTAATATTATAAATGAAATCATTCATCAATTATGTAAATTTCTTTATAGTTATAATATTTCTTTAACGTATGAGAAAGTATATTTTCATTTTTTTCTAGAATATCTTAAATGAAATAATGATTCTAATCTCACATTTTCGAATGCAGATTAAAGTCTTATTTCAATATGGTTATTTAAAGTATTTGTTTTATAAACAATGAAGATAACCTTCCGTTGTTAGAGTTTTTTAATAGTATTGTTAGGTGTTACAATTACAAAAAGTGGAAGTTTTGAATTAAATCAAAAGTATTGAGAAAAAGAACGGTTTGATACTTCAATAGAATAATAATACAAATAAAAATATTTAAATAGTTTGAAAGACACTATGCCTGTATTTGGTCGCTTAAACCAATATGTTATACTAGATGTTGCATACGGTTTTGCCCGCCTATTAACTCCCTCTCTGAAATACGCCTCATCATCATTATGAGGTTTCCTTTATAGGTTCACCAAAAGTAACTTATTAATCTTGACGCGGTGACTATAAAACTACTACCAAATATTGGGATTATAAATTACGTTGGGTAGAAATAGAAATATTAGTTTGAACAATACATATATGTATGTATGTATGTTCATTACAGCATAACTACTGATTAGAATTAATTTACTGTTTTTAATGTTTTATTTCTTTGAGGCCTGACCTTTATCGAATATAATACATATATTGCGATACGCTTATTTGAATGTAATATTTTTAAAAATACAACTTATTTAACAAGCGTTACGTATTCATTCATGACTTTTGTACATACGAAGACTTAATATATAGCACAAAAAGTCGCGGGAATCAGTTAGTGTATGTGTAAATTTGAAGAATTAAATATCTGAAGGAGTATAATTACGTTTAGTTATTTAATTAATTATATTTTTAATTAGATCTCAAGTCTAAGGTCACCGTGACGTTTACAGGAAAATAGTGTTGGTTAAATACAACAGACTGTTATGCCGGCCACACACGCTACGGTCTAACGAAGAGGTAATCTGTGCAGTTATGCCTGCACAAGTCAACCGAACAATGGTAGTGTTCCAAAAACTGCACAGGTCTATTCCCATACACATTCCGGTCTACCAGCACATGTGGATCTCTCCGGTAGACCGTAACGTGTAGAGCCGGCGGTAAATGATTTAATTGATTAATAAACATGGTTTTGGTCTCACGATGAGACTGTTACAAGTCTTAACAGTTGATACCAATTAATTATTCATGGCTTATTTGAATATGTTATTAAATCTCATTTTATTTCTCTCCCCTTTTTTTCGCCTTTGTCGACGTGACAGATTATTGTTTATAAGAATTATTAGATAAGTGTTTAAATTTAACTGTAATTTAATTCATATTTGAAGTTTGAAGGATTATATACAATTACAGTAATATCTTTACGAGATCTTAGATATCAGGTTGTTTTTTTGTAATTAACCTGTAAGTGCTTATTACTTTTTTGAAGTCAGAATAATCTTGTAGGTTTTAATCGTTATTATTTTGAACACTTTTAATTAATTATTTATTTAATTAATTAATGTACTGTCTTTAATCGTACAAATATGTTCAATATTTTTCATTCACGTATTTATTTTAATCATTATGAATTCATTTTTATCGATGAGGGGGTACCATATAAGAATTATTTTATTTTTGTAATACGCGTACTTCGTTTTTTACCCTAAAACGTTCAGTCTAATGGCCGATGAGTTCAATGACCTATTTTACTTTGGGTGATAAAAGTGCGATCATCAATTTGCGTCGTTAAACGTATGCTAAATGACGAACACTACCTTTAATACGAGTTTTCTTTGTCAAACTAAGAACAGACAGTTTTTAGTTTTTCATACATATTCACCTTCACGTTGATCACAGGTGAAGATTTATGCATGTTTTAATGGATACTATCCGTACCTAGTACAAAACAGCAATCTGTCAGTATTCATTTCATAATATAATTTTATTTTACGTCTTCATTCACTGTAACCGAAGTTTTAATTTACTTTTTAAAATAAGTATGTATAATGACGCAATGATATCACAAACATATGTGTACACTAATTGAGTTGATCAGAGAAATCAATAAATAGCAATTGGTCCAAGGACTTTCTACGCATGATTACTGTTCTACTCTGTTCCAATACAAAAAATAGCAGCATTTAACATACATCGATTTAAATTTGAATATAACGATCACAATTCATTTATTAATATTGTAAGCAGTTCACATATAGAAGATGAATTGAATCAAGAGGTGTGTAATATTCAGGTTTTCCATAGGAGTGTTGAAAACAAATTTTTCAGGGACAATGAGAGCGAGGCGTCAACCAGAGCTGCTGAGGAACCAGTCTGTAGTGGCCTCGGCATGACGAACGATGTGGCCAACAATAATGGCAAAACTACAGCAAATCATTGCTCGTAAGTAGTAGGAATGTGACTAACATCATCCCATTTAATGTTGAAAATATCATGTTCAGAGATTCATAGTATTAGAATATCTATAAACAATATTTTCTTTTTGGTTGGCTGTTTATGGTTAAAACATTTAAGTAAATTATTACCTACTTTGTAACGATCGTCGAATACTCTCAATGTATGAATTAATGAGAAATTATGTTTAATAATAATAAGAATATATATAGATTTATTTGTGTTTTTAGTGACTAAAATAGATAGGAACTATTCACCTTAATCTATGGAGATAAGTAATGATTTTGTACGAGCTACGCTCGACATAATTACGACGTCGTATAAGTACACGCACCATTATTTTTTTTCATTATAAAATCTTAATAACTTTTACTTTACTTTAGTTCGCATTCGGTCATCAAGTATACCGGGCGTTCTCATCGATTAATCAATCATATATTTCATAATATTATATCAAATTAATCAATCTACAAGTCATTATCAATTTATATCATTTTATTTAGTGTATGAGAAAGCAAGTGCCCGTACAGATTTAAAAGATGTTGTTCATCATCTCAATATCAAACAGAGATAGTTACAATAATATTCAAACAAATCATTTGTTTCATCTACTTTATGTCTGAGATATAAGTAGATATTCAAGCATTTAACTAATAAAACAGTACTCGACGGTATACATATATATGTAGTTAATTAGTTTGTTACTGTATATATGTGTTTGAATAAATAAGAGTATCTTTAATTAGTATGGGAAATCTATTTATATATACACATTTGACTATTGACTGTAACTGGATTTTCATTGCTTGTTAATAGATAAGCAGTCGTTCGCAATGACCGAATGATTTAGTCCAAGTGATAACTTATTTGACTAATAAACTAGTTCATGTTTTAAATTAAAACCACTTGTATGGTTTAATACATAAATTATCTGATCGTTGTTTTAAATAGATCAGTGGTAATGAATTTAAAAAATACCATACAAAATATATTTATAGTTAATATATGTATACGAGGTCCGGTTTTTACGTATTGCGCCTACAATTCAAAATAGCACTATAAGTTCTATAGGTTTTTTTTTAAATATATACACACATACCTATTACTTTAATCTCATTCCGACGAATAAGGTATTTGACTATTTGCAATATTTTTTGTCGAAATTTCATTTCATTTGGTACTATTTGGTTAATGGTCAGCTATATGCAAACAGTATAAACGCCTTTAATTCATAAATCTGATTGATTGGTGTGACACAATTAGTGAATGACAAGTATTTAAACTCACTGTTATAGTGACAATGTAAATTTGTAGTAAGAAGGAGCTATAGAAAAATGTCAATAGCTTGTGAAACTAAATACTGAGCATGTTGTATGCGTTTTTCAACTCCTAACTTTCGTGCGTATGTCTCAGGGTAGCTTTCAAATGGACCGACCTTTGGTTTTATTTGAAAATGATGAAAGAAATTTGAAAATATTTTTTTTTTTCCAATGGTTCGTAGCTATGTTTGGTCAACCAGCACTGTAAGAGTAATCTTAACGAAACTAAGATTTTCGAAATATACTATGTATTTTTACTATCTTATGTCTGCATAATCCTGACTTTTCCGTTCCTTTGCAGAAAGGAAAAATGAAAAGAGAGTAGATGTTATAATTTTAGGCATACTTTATTAAGTGCTTGATTAATTGATTATGCCAAGGAAAGCGTTATTTCTTTTCATTCATTAAAATTCAGTAATAATTAACTTGTATATAAACTTTTGACTTTAACTCTTCTTAAGTAATATTTGAACAATAAGTCTGTTTCATTTCTTGTATTATGATATATTAATTGACCTTAGTTTATTGCGTGTGTGTTGTCAATTAATTGTATTTTTTTAAATTCACTAATATAATTAAGGCGTATGTTTGATAATGAAATGGGACAAATAACAATATCAGTCTAACCTAACACACACTTCCATTGGGAATTGTTCGTTATAATAATTAAATTTTAATTATACAGTCGTAGTGGCCTAGAGGTTAGAGTCCCGCCTCTCGTGCACGAGGTCGCGGGTTCGAAACCTGGCAAGTTCCAATGTGATTCTTCCGAGTCATATGTACTTTCTTAGAGTATTTAGACACCACTGACAGACGGTGAAAGAAAACATCATGAGGAAACCTGGACTTATAATTTCAGTTATAAGTTTGAAACCCGCCTTGAGCTAGCGTGATAATTAATAAACCTTTTCCATTAGAGAAGAGGCCTTTGCTCAGCAGTGGGCTCTGATAGGCTGATTGATCATGATGATGATACTGAAATTCACCTAACTTGATAGTCATATATGTTATGCTTTGTATTATTATGTCTATTAATATAATTTATCTTTTTCCATATAGGATAGTCATGGGTGGTATCATGAACAACCCGTCTCTAACCTTCAAGGATGGAGTTCGTTCCGTGGACTTTGTCCTTGTATGGGAGGCTAACAAGGATGACGCGGTCACGCCCGAGGCTTACGAGAGGAGGAAGATCTTCGAACAGAATCTGGAGACGGAAGGACTACAACTAGAAATGGAGGCGCCTGAAGATTTGTACGGACTGCATTTCGTTAAGGTATTTTATATGTGCTATATGTATTTTATACATACTATAGACGAGACGAAACTTCCAGCATTCAATGGATTCACCGTGCTGGTGCCGGGACCATTGTTGCAAGGATAGGAGTGCCTTCAACTATACCTGGGACTTGCGACCCAGGTGTAGGTTTAAGGGACCCCTATATAATGAGTATACGCTTTAAACCTCTCCCGTACAAGCTCCCTTAGTACATAACTATGGGTTGTTTAATGAAAATAATAAAGATTTATTTAATGATACATCCTTTTTAAATTAAATATCCCAAATTCAGAACTTTAAATTAAGTATGTTTGCACATTTTTACTCTGCATTTTTTTTACAGTTAATTAGATTGGAAATTTCTTACGGACAGTAATTTAAATTGGAAATTATTTTACATGTAGTAATAAATGTATATATTTTGTTTCACATTTCTATTTCAGATTCACGCACCACTTTCGGTACTTAGAGATTACAGCGAGATACTAAAACTAAGGATGCCAATGAAGGTTGGTATGATAAAGATTTTTGAATAATTTTTAGTTGAATTAAATATTCTTTTTACTATCAACAAAATATATTGAGCTGATGTCTGGTGATGAAACATGAGGTAAAATAATTACGAATTGAAGAGATTGTTTTATAGGAATACTGTTTCAGCTTTTATTAGGTGTTATTAGATTAAATGTTTTGTTAATGGTATCTAAGATATACGAGTAATTTTTAAGTAAAACTATGGTTTAAGGATTTATTACGCGAATTTTATTACATTTTACCATATTATATATAGAACATGTCTTCATATTAAAAGTAGACGTAGAATGGAGATAGCGGTTTAAGATAACACAATGGACAAGCTATTCTAAAGATTTACAAAACATAGATCCTCATTCGTAAAAACAAATATATACTAAGATAAAAGATTAATCGGCGAGGTCATTAAATTTAATAAATATCTTAATACCAATAGAGTATATGGCTAGTCATAATCTAACATCTGAGATGCCCTCATCAAAAATGAAAAGTGCCAATTCTGTGACGAAATCGTCAGATTTCATGATACAGTTAGCTCGTTCTGTGAGGATCTAAAGCAGTACGAGAGAAAATTAGGAAATCTTTAGCTGTTGTTGACAAATAATAAGACCAACTGACAGACATTTTCATCTAAATGCCCGTGATCACAGTTACTGGAAAGTAAAAGAAATGTGATATAAAATGTAGTATAATAAATCGCGTAGTGAATCCGAAAAGCATAGTTTGAATGTGCAGTGTTTAAAAATCGCCTAGTGTGTGTTTCACTTGTAGTTCTTCTATTAGTTTTTTGTTTGAAATAGTTGTTAATTAATGTGACACCATAATTCTATTTATTATATTCCTCTCTCTCTGCAATATATAGATGTTAGTAGGTTCTAAATTATTTATTTATTATTTTTTTCCTATGTATTTATAATAAACGCCTAACTAATAACATGGCCGTGTTATGTGATGTGTCACATGAAAAAATAAGGAATTGGAAATATTTGCAATGAATTGGTATGGAATTTATATAAGGACTATTCAAAATTTTAATTTATTTTACATAGCAGACGTCTACACTCTGTGATAAGATAAATCGTAGAAAACTGTCCAATCCAGGAATAATATACTAAAAAATTTCGTGTAATCTAAATTGAAGGAATTGTATTAATCTTTATCTTAATATAAAGTATATTTTATATGTATACATGCCTACAAGCATGATATCAAAAAAACGAAATAACAAGTAAAAATCTAGTCCTTTCAGTGTAAGTTATTAAATAAAGTTCCTGAATTAACTTCTTAGTTTTGATATCATTGAAAAAGGTTTTATGAGCTTTTAAAAAAAACATCTCAAAATGGCGATGTATCACAGAGTGTAGTGTAACCGTGTGTGTTATAGGAATGCAGTAAGATAAGAAAAGGTGGCCGAGCGAATACTATACTGAACGCTGCCATGTATTTATCGAAGGTACGCCGGGGTATGGGGCTGAGGCTTGTTCACCATTAATACGCTTGGGGGTGCGGGCTTAGCATCCGATATTATCGAATTTTCATTGCCATCGTATTTGAAATAACCTGTACTTAACAGCTTTGCTTGTAACAGATCGTTTTAATTAGAATCTTGGACGAAATATGTATCATTGATTTAGACTAATTTGTCATACAAACTAACACGCCTTTGGAAGGTGAGGGAAAAGGGTATATGAGTATTCATAATACTAGTTAATTCTCTTATGCGTTTTAGTTCATACTTAACCAGGCTAATTTTATTAGAAGCTGAACATAACCCTTATTTTGGTTTTATTAATTAATACCTAATATTTATATGTAATTTATACTTATTCCAGCATAGTACTGTAACGATGTTGACTCGTCAACGTAAAACGCTTCAAATATCATGTCTGTATGTCTTCGTAAATGTTCGGAAGTACTCGTATATGTTCGTAAATCTTCGTAACCATTCGTATACCCGAAAGTTTCTGAGTGAAGAAACTTTGTAACTGTCGGTTTTTCGTTTGACGAATCTAACTTAGAGTAGCTCATGTAACATGCCACTATAATATGGTAATGCATGGTAATAAAGTTGATGTAATTGTTAGAGATCGCCTCGGAGTAACGGTGAACGCTATCAATGTAGCCGCTTCAATTAATTGTTGTGGTTTGATGTGCATGTTTTATAGCTTAAAATTTAGAAATTATGGCGTCCTTACTTTCAAATACATATGTTATTCACTTCTTAAGATAGAGAAATGAATATCGCAACTAATATTAACCAAGTTTTATTATTAACGATATATTTTAATATATTATTGTTTATTTCATTTCCTTATATATAACATGTATATACCGATCGACCATACGTAATGGTGTATCTCCTATTACTTCTAGATTAATGTAATAAAGAAAATCTCAATGCTAGACCTAATAAATTCAGATTACAATTGAAACTAGTTCTTATAACAATGTGAATAGTGTTTCTTTTTATAGTTTTCAGCGTTGAAGAACGTCCACGACAAGACGAACAGTCTGATAGATCGCGTCGAGGACTGCTGGGACCGCTTCATGTCCAAGATAAGAGTTGACCCGGTCATGTTCCCGGAAAGAAGACATCGCCTCACCGCCATATACTCCAAGGATAAGGAATACCTGTTAGTAATGAACATTAAATTCTACTCACTAAGAAATATGGATCATTTTTGAAAAGCTATTTGCATACATATTATATTGCACCATATTTTATACATGGCCAATGATTGAAAAGTTGGCAAGAGCGATATTCGATTTTGCAAACTCTGGAATATCATGTACAGCATAACTGCTGCAATTTGCAGTATAACATAACTGTAATAGAGTTTTCTTCCAGTAGTCTCAATACCTCGTTACGCCATACTATCATTATCCTTCGACTTGTCTTCCCAGGTTCGACTCCTCGTCTCCGTGTTTCTGGACGCCCTCCATCCGTTCCCGTATAGTCCAGTTTATTCTGGACAGAAAGAAGTTCTCTCACTCGGAAGCAGACTACTTCGCGTTCGGCATCACGAGGCTCATTAATGAGAACACTTATAGTGCTGCCTACCCATTACATGATGTTAGTATTGCTTAGATCAGTTTTTCCCAAAGTAATAACGGCCTTTTGTGGACGCTACGCTCGTAAAGAGTGGTGGTAAGCGATACAGAAAAAAATTGGACCATTATGTAGATGTGTAAGGGTTGATTTGTAATTATGTTGAGCTAGAATAAGTTATAGTGTTTTTTTAGTAGGTGAAAAAGGGGGGTGCAAAAAAATTATTTATCCTCAATACTTTGCATTAGGCAAAACAAGTTTGGGAATCCTCGTTTTAAAGAATTTATTATTTAATACATTTATAAGTTTTAATACGTATTAATGTGTTATTAAAATATCTACCTCAATAGGAATAAATTGTATTATACGGACTATAATCGGAGTTAGACTTAAGCTGAGCTTTGCGTTTGTGGGAGTGAAAGTAAAAATAGAGTTATAGAAAAAACTTTCACGTGCTTAAACAAAACTTAAACAAAAAACTTTTACGTGCTAGATCTATTCTAGATTTAAAATAAAATAAGCAAAACATGTAAAAGACCAGATGGAAATGTTATAGAAAAAAATTATTAATTAATAAAAATTTTGAAATAACTACAAATTTTTCTTCATTTGTCATTTGCGTTTTCAACGTTTGAAGCTGCTATCAGTACAAAGGGTGCAGTGCGGTGAGGAGTAAAAGCAGAAGAGACGGGTTCAAAATGAGAAAAGAACGTGGCATTCAAAAATTTGACATCACACCTACACTATCCGTGTGCACTCACACAAATGCAAAGCTCAGCTTAAACCAAACGCACTATACTATACTAATCGAATGTTGCATTTGTTTTTAATAATTGTGTTATTTTTCAGGGTGATCTCAAAACGCCGGGCTCAATGCGCCACCTTCTGTACACCGAGTGGGCGAGCGTGTCCAAGTGTATCAAATATCAGCCGTTAGATTACGTCAAGGATTACTTTGGAGTTAAAATAGGTGGGGTTTTATATATTTCATCATTTAAATTGATTAACATAGAACATATTATATATAATATATTATGAAACATTGGTTGGAATGATTAAGATTCGAATCTGCAAGCCCCGGAATATAACGATCGTTTATTTTTATATACATTAGAATCATCATATTGACCTAAGAATAATGACGTAATAAGATTAAGCTAACAAATATATTAATATTAGTATAGTATATGGGTGTATGTCCATCTGTCCTCAGGTCTATACTTTGCGTGGCTCGGTTTCTACACGCACATGTTGATCCCGGCGGCGCTGGTGGGTCTCATCTGCGTCATCTACTCCGCGGCCACTGTCTACTCTAACAAACCGAGGTATTCCATCTGAACGTGCCCTAAGATATATAGTATAGTGTGTAGTGAGCCTTATGTATGTATGTGTTGTATGTTCCCAGTGAGGACGTGTGTAACTACAACTCGACGGTGCTGATGTGCCCTCAGTGTGATTACTTCTGCGAGTACTGGGACCTGCGAGCGACCTGTCTACACTCCAGGATAACGTACCTCTTTGATAACCCCACCACTGTGTTCTTTGCTATATTCATGAGCTTTTGGGGTGAATATATTTGTATTATTTGCTTATATGTATGCATATATTATAGAAATTCTATATATTTGTATAATAAAATTGCGTTAATGGATGCTAGTATAATCAATACAGATAAAGTTTACTCATACAACGCCTACATTCACACATAGATTTCTTAGCGCATATTTTCACTAAAAATACATTTTTGTTTAAAAGTTCAACTTGAAATTAATTATGAATCGTGTTTGTCTATTATATATCAGCCGCAGAAGTACTCAATAGATCTATTATATAAATTCAAGACTGATTATTATATTTTTCTGTTGCCTACCGTCCATGATCCATATATTATATTGTTTCCACCAGGCGCGTGTTTCCTTGAGATGTGGAAGCGTTACTCGGCGGAGATGACCCACCGCTGGGACCTCACCGGCTTCGACGTGTACGAGGAACACCCGCGGCCGCAGTACCTGGCCAGACTAGCTCACGTCAAGAATAAGAGGGTATGCACACATCTAGAGGATTTATGGTGTATATTCTATATACAGGGTGACTGGCGAATTACTATCGATATTTGAGGACGTGATATTTGACGATCATATATGACAAAATAAAAATTAATATAACATAAATATTAATAAACTTCTAAGTAAAGTTAACTAAAAGTTATGTTATTAATTACGCATCGTGTGAACACCCTACAGATTAGGTATACACACACACACACGCGTGCGGCGGCGTGGTGTTGTATCAGCACGCCGTCGCACGCGTCCACACTTGGAACACTTGGAACGTGTCCACACTTTATTTATTTATACGGAAATTTGGTCAAAAATTAAGTACCTATTTTTTTTACATTATTCGAATGAGAATCATGTACTGAGTATTCTCCTTAAATATTGATTGTAATTCACCAGTCACCCCGTATATATGAATGGTTTTGTTGGATTCTATATTATTGGACCTTAATGAAAATCATTCTGAACGCTAAAGATATATGAAATATCTTGTTTATTATAAAGTACATATATACATGAGTTTATTATTTTTTGAAGAAAAAAATCTCTAAATTCATAGCATAGTTTGGACGAACTTATAAAATGAAATGTATTCGAAATTCAAATTGACGGAATAATTCTAAAATTTAATCCTACTCATTTTAACATGGTATTAAGTGACATGTGTTCGAAATTCAAATTAACGGAATCATTCTATTCTATGATTCTTTTCAGTTGAACGTGGCATTAAATGTAATGTATTCGAAATTCAAATTTACGGAACTATTCCATTCTTGTTGCCAGTTGAACGTGGTGACCGGTATAGAGGAGCCGCAGGTGCCGTTCTGGCGCATGCGCCTGCCGGCCACGCTGATGTCGTTCAGTGTGGTAGCGTCGCTGGTGCTGGTGGCCATCGCCACGGTGCTGGCGGTGGTGTTATACAGGATGTCCTTACTAGGAGCCAACATACTCAGGAGACAGGACAACGGCCTCATAGCATACAGCCCTATAATGTTCACGACTGCCACGGCCGCCTGTATTAATCTGTTCTTCATATGTATATTCAATTATGTGAGTGGAATGTTTTCTATGACGTTCAAATATTGTGTATAATAATGTATGAATTTATATATTGGCTGGTAGATTTGCATTATAAATTTTAATTAAGCATAAAAAAACGTGCACTGAGTTTTGTAGAAAGGTAGACGAAAGTGTGATGGTATTATATTTATTTAACCATACATCAGTATATTATTGTTTATGATGAAAGAATGATTTCACGGGTTATTTTTTATATTATTTCTGATGACGTCACTAGCTAAATTAACTGAGCGTAATTACTAAACAATTTATTCACTCGCGCTCAGGAAAGAAAGAGATTACAATGAAATGCGTTAAAAAGGTTGTACTCGTAAACTAGAAATGTTCGATAAAATGTTAGATCATTCATCACGTCGTTTTTATTCAATACAAGACAATTAAATATAGTTTTAGAAGTTCAATAATTCTACATAATTTTTAGCACTAAAAATTAATTAATAGCACTATAAGTGTTGCCATACAAAATAATAATTAAATGTATCTTGTTAATAAAAATTGTTCATATGCATTTAGTGGAATTTTCCAATTGAATATAGTTTTAGAGGTTAAATAATTTTATATGTTTTTTAAACACTAAACCTTAGCACAATACCTGTTGCCATACACAATAATAATTCAATGTAACTTATTAATAAAAATTATACATCTAGATACAGTAGTAATAACAGTATTGCCATAGGTATACCAATACTTGGCTGAATGGCTGACAGAGAAGGAGCTTTTGCGGACTCAGACGGAGTTTGACGACTCGCTGACCTTGAAGATCTACCTGCTTCAGTTCGTTAACTACTACGCCTCTATATTCTACATCGCCTTCTTTAAGGGCAAGTTCGTGGGTCGCCCCGGGGATTACGTGAGGTTCTTTGGTCACAGACAGGAAGAGGTATGAACATTATGAAGTTTAATTGAAAGATTTTGTTAATGTTATTAGAAATTAAAAGAAAACTAGTCGCTTTTCATTATTTATTAATTTGTGGGGGTAGTCTGAAATAAATTATCTAATTCAATGAGTCTTTTATATTATTCTTCTTCTTTTTTGTAACGGTGCACATTACCATATTAAAATGAGATAAACTCATTTTATTATTTCTTGCTTGCGGTTAAAACTGTCAATAATTTCAACTATCTAACTACGACGGTGTTTGAAACCCAATTTATTGACATGGGCCCAAATAAACAGGCACTTAGTGACAGGGTTCTATTCCTTCGGGCACTGAACCCTTAAAAGGTACTGGAATATTATATTAGCCTTTAAATTGTTTCATGTTCCGTTCCAGTGTTCGCCCGGCGGCTGTTTGCTAGAGTTGTCTATCCAGCTGGCTATCATCATGGTGGGCAAGCAGTTCATCAACACCATCGTGGAGATGCTCATGCCTTACTTACTCAAGTGGTGGGGCGTCATACGAGCTATTGGCAGGAAGAAGAGGTATACACAGAACAGGGTCATGAGTATTGATTGTTCATTCAAAAATATATCTTATTATATGTGTTTTAGAATAAAAAGTCCCATGCAGTGGGTGAAAGACTTCAAGCTAGTGGACTTTGGGAATATGGGACTGTTTCCTGAGTATTTGGAGATGGGTGAGTCATTATCTATTAATAACATATAATTGTTTGAAGATAATGTTGTAGTGTCGTATGAAAATATATTTAATGTTTTGTTGGACTCATAAGTCCTCTCATTCTTTCGATATGACGATGTTTAAGATTTTCGCGTATATTCTTTTAAACAAAACCATATAAGGGTCACGGATATTGTTAGGCGTTTTTTTATTCTTTCATGAATAGAGGAACTCAAACGTCGAGATAGTGAAGTCATAAAATAATAAAAAATTACAGTAACATCCGAAAGTCTTAGTTTTTTCGACATTTCCCATATTTGTTGTAAATCATTCTTTCTATATATATGTTCGTACGTATGTATGTTCATATCATCGCATCTATATCGTTCATTCTATCATCAGTTCTCCAGTACGGGTTCGTGACGATCTTCGTGGCAGCGTTTCCCCTGGCGCCGCTGTTCGCTCTGTTGAACAACGTGTTGGAGATGCGCCTGGACGCGCGCAAGTTCCTGTCCTGCTACCGCCGGCCCGTGCCGCAGAGAGTCACCGATATAGGAGTGTGGTTCCGTATACTCGACTCCATTGGGAAACTCAGCATCATCACTAATGTTAGTTGTATACATTTAATATTCATTATTTTGTTTCATAAATACTTATTTTTTTTTTTGTTATTGACATTTAATAATTGTCATATAACCGCTTGAAACTTAGTAAACTGATTCTATATTTTTTGTTGGCCACAAAAATATTCAATAGCATTTTCTGCTTTTAAAAATATATTACTTATATAACTTCAGTTGAAATAAGTTAGTTCCAAACATATAGTATACATTTATTGAAAATTTCAAAATCAGATACTCTATTTCATTTTATATATTAAGATTAAAAGCGTTTCTTTATAATCACGAAACCATCACTGGTGTGTATGATTATAATCAGTCAATTCTTTTTGTTGTAGTTGTCAGCCGTGAATTATTATAGAGGCTTTATATAGTGAATTAACTTACCTTATTGTTTTAAGAACTATAAAATAACACCATTTCTAGATACTCACTTTAAAGATTCAACGTTCCAAATTTAAATTTTCTACATTAAAATTGACTAATATAATTCAATATTTCCCAGGGTTTCATAATAGCGTTTACGTCTGAGTTCATCCCGCGGCTGGTGTATCAGTTCACGTACGGCACCCTCGACCAGTACGTCAACCACACGCTCACGGACTTCAACGTGTCCGTGCTGGAGATACCGCCCCGGAACACGACCTACAAGGGAGACACCTGCAGGTGAATATGGACCTTGATGCATGGGATTATGGTGTATAATTATATGTATATTGTTGAGGATGATTTAATGTTTGTTATTCATTCACGCAAAATATGCTAAGCGTATTTTGGGTGAAATTCTCCAAAAATGTTAGGTGCCTCTAATAAGAATAACATATTATAATTTAATATTAATTCCGTATGTTTTTGGGAACACATCCTAATAGTTGCATGTAGTATGAAGTCCCATGATATAGGTCATATAAGTATGACGGTCGGTTTACCTGTCTAGTATTTTAAGCACACATTATTCATTTTCCTTTGATTCAAAAGTTGGGGCTAAAGCTAGCAAAGTCGCGACCAAAACTAAAAGTATTTACTTTTAAAATCTATACACAAAGCTCCTTTTGTTTCGATGAAGTTACTATATGTATAACAAATAACGATTATGGTCAATCACCCTGTATATGTATTTATTTGCTAGTTACCCCGGCTACTGGTACAACAAGGAAGGTGATGACTACGCTCACTCCAACTGGTACTGGCACGTCATGGGTGCACGGTTAGCATTCGTCGTCGTTTTTGAGGTAACCAAATGTTCCGCTAATATACAATTGTTGATATTCTCTTTATCTCGAAGTTTCTATACGTTCAATCTTTCTATTCTTTTTTTAAAATTCTATACGAACCCGTTGTAACTCCTAATGTATCCGCCGTAGAACGTGGTGGCGCTAGTGATGATAATCGTCCGCTGGGCCATCCCGGACATGTCGGGCGAGCTGCGGGACCGCATCCGGCGCGAGGCCTACGTCATCAACACCATCATCATGGAGGAGACCCGCGCTCGCACCGCCCGCACGCCGCAGCCCGCGCGCCTCCACCCGCCCGGCCGCGGGACAGGTGCTAAACACTCCACGCCCCTCTAGTCGGTAACGGTACGCACCAGCTTCACGCTTCATACTAAACCGCGGATAATACGACGGCTCTCAACTTCTTTTTTTGAACTTTATGTAGGATATTTTTTTTTTTTGACCAAGAAGGTCGTATATTTTACAAGTTTTTTTTTTTAATTCTCATATGTGCCAGATATTTTTTTAAGATCCAATGAGGTCGTATATGTTTTGAGAACTGTTCTAGTTTTTGGAAGTAGCTGCACATGTTCATACTAAGACTGATATCTTTTAAGTAAAAATATGTTGTATTTTGTATGAGAGCCGTTGTATGAGCCGTGTTTAAGACTGTGTTGTGTGTCGATACACTGAGTTTACATTTAGAATCATTTCATTAATAGAATTTAGTTTGTTATTTTGATTTGTGATGTGTGACATTATAGTTTTAATGATGTTGGAGGTAAGAAGTTTAACTGTTTTTGAACGCTTTAAAAGATTATAATGCTTAGAGGGAGAGCTTAATGAATATACAAATTACCTATGGGAGATAATGTTAATAATTATAGACTGATTAAAAAATAAAAATATTTTAAATTGCTTTTCGAAATTGAGCTTTCAATTATTGCAATAAGCTTGATAGTCGAGTGAATAATAAAAGAGTGCTATGCTTAGTGGTCAGTAGTAGTCAGTGTATACAAATGCAGTGCAGTCTTAAAAAGCAGGGAACATTATATTATAATATGAGCCGGGAGTTAATATTGGTTAATGTTCCTGAACGCGAGCGAGCTTCACAAAACGTTTGGACCGGATGAGAGTGAGTTTCATTAACATAACAGCATGAACATTACTTAATAACGAAGTTAACTTGCATGTGTATGGTTAAATCATCATTAAAATATCATTTGATAATTAATTAACTAAATCTCAATTAATGGAATGCTTCAATTTTTATTTTTGTTTTTTTTTCAAACAATAACCAGTCTTGTATTTTTTTTTTATTGGGATAATAATTTTCTTTTTTCTGATACATGACACTAACTGAAGAATTAGTTTTAAGTACACAACTCACAACATTAGAACACTACATACTTTATTAGTAAATTTTTTGTTACATTTTCAGTTGTAACAGTCATAGATAATTTGTTTTCAGTAGTTAAGCCGCTGCTTTGAGTTATTTCAAGTAGAAATACACAGACAATACTATTCAAATTATATATATGTGTATCTATGTGTTTTTATTTAATAATTTTGTCACTTCCAACAGAAGAGGAAACTGAATCAAATTGGAAACACATAGCATCACTATCGGGTTCAGACTTCGACCTGGCGGCTCATGGAGATCTCAACGTGAGAGATACGACGTCTGTTGATGATTGAGGAACGGTCATTAACACAATGACTGACTGATTGATTGACTGATTGACTCAAATATTAAAGACACTGACCAATAAATGTATTGATGAATTAATAGATCAATATATTTACTGTCTAGTGAACAAAATTGTCGACTGATCGTTATATGAACACGGAATTGTTAATATGAGGTATCTTATTATCAGTTTTTTTAAAGACTTAAGTAATATTAAAGCGATCGCTCGACCAACTAGTTGGAAGATTAATCAATTACATATTTTAACTACGGTCAGAGTACTTTCTTAGGATCTTTCGTCCAAATGGTCGACATATTTATCATATTATGAACAATGTCCTTTATCTTTTTCTTTGAGTTTGTAGATCAATCGGTCGATTAATCGACCAACCAATCGTCAGTCGGTTTTTTGATAGTACGAAGTTTGAACACAACAATACATGTGTTTTTTATGTTGTGATGCATTTTAACACATATTATTGAATATCATTTTTTTATTCATTTATGAGTTACCAGAGTTATATATATCATCAAATGTAAGAAGGTTGTATCAGATATGTTTTATTTTTTTTTAATCTATATTTTTGTCAGATCTGCAATCACTGTGTACCGTCACTTTATAGTGTAAGTTGACTAAAGTAAGGGATAATATTTTTCTGAAGCCGATTTATCTAGCCGATATTCTAGAGACACTATTTTGTAGTGATTCTATTTCTGGTGATCGGAAATGACGTATGTTAGTATAATGAACTCTGATATACCATTGCAAGTAATGTGTTCACGATTTAGGTCTGTCTAGGCTAGACTTAGATTTAAATAAACTGGAATTACACGGCACAAAGTACAGGTTAAGTAATCCTATATAAAGCTCCCCTATGTAAGGCTGAAGTCTTTAATAATGCGGGTAGGATAAAGAGAGGGTAGGTCGAAAAAAAACATTATTTTTCACGTATTTACTATCTAAAGACTTGCTGTGGCCGTTATTTTTGCTAAAGTCTCTTATTTTGCACAATAATATTTATAATAAATGTTATTTATATGTATAAGCTAGTTCCGTGATGTTTGATCGGTGTACTTAATGCGGACATATCTAGTGCGAACACTCGTCTGATAGTAGCGGGGAGTTTAAACTAATACAAGTTAACTATTACGTATAAGTTAACCAACGGGAGATGGTTAAAACTAAAAAAAAAGATTTACTTCGCATCGTATTGATAAGACTAAAACGAATCTCATAATTTCTATATATATATGAATATATCTCGTAAAATCTAACCAAATAAAACACATGATTATTCTTTTTAAAAAGGAATTATATATTTATTATACTTGAAAGAGGTTTCATATTTTATAAGTGTAACGTTTTGCTATTATTTAATAATTTTTATACTGTCCTATATGTTATCTGTCTCGACTTACTGTCTTTAGACAAATGCAACGTCAAGTAGTCGTCCACTGTAGATTAATAATTGCATTAAATGTTAAAAAAGTCTCGTATGTTTAATTAATAAAACAATTGAGATCAAACTAGTAAAATATATTAAAGTCTCAACTATTTTTATTTTACAAATTGTCAACTGTTAATTTGACAGTTGACAGTTGTCCATGTGAAGTGTCATTTTGTGATTGTTCTCAGAATTGTTAGGAATTTTAAAATTATTAAAAAAAGAATGTTAGAGATGTAGAAAAAAGTTTCTATATTAATTTAAAACATTATCTGTGTTGCTTAATTGAGGCACAGAGATTCTTGTTGTAACTTCTATTCTTCGGGAAATGTCAGTTAATTTTCCATTAAATATATATTATTGTTTTTGGAGATGTTAATTGAAATTAAATTGTAAAACTAAATTGTTAAACGTTGCAATATTTGAAAAGATGCCAATGATTCAACTAAGGAATGTGTGTAGTTTGAAATTTTTTATTTAATTTGTTTTGTTTTCATTTGGCTGTGTTTGGTCTTAAGCTTGTATAAAAAATAAAAATAACTACTATAGTTTCCATTTCAGCCGTGTCAACTTATTTTGATATTTTCTAAAGTATTGTGAATGAGTTATGGAAAGTTTAAAGTTTTATATGTATGTTACTTGTTCAAAGCTTTATAAATACATTTACTATGAACTACCAAAAAAATGTTATATTTTAATTCGTAGTTGGCAACACTACGATGTAGGCTGGTGCTGTCATTTAAAATGCTTTGGATGTCTGTTGTAATGCGTTAATATGATCTTAATAAATGAATCGTAATTGTAAAAGGCTTGTATTTGTAAAGTTTATACAATTATATTCAGGTTTACTGATACATTTGTTTTATTTTTCACCTACTAATAAAAAACGGTATTATGCATTTAAATTACCTTTATGTTGTTTAACAGAGACTTTGGAAACCAACTGTTTTATTCACTTTGTTAAATTTTGTATGTTATTTCAAACAAAATATGGTTTCTTTTTTTAAAAATGAATATAGGAAAGTACCTACCGAAAGAAAAAATCTTTTGGGCAACTTATACAGATGGCCTGCCCGGATCTTTTTAAAGACTTCAAAAGAGAGAAGGATCTGAATTTTATACATATTCATGTTCCTGGATAACTTTTTATATTATTAAAAGCGAGACCTACGATCAGGTATTATTTGTTTTGCTTGAGCCTTAGATCAAGTTAGACTGGTCGTGGTTAAAAGCTAACTCTTGTGATCTTGGCTAGCTGGATTAATAGTCCTGAACTCAGTGTTCCAATATATCGTTACTTCTAATTTTATTAGTAATTTTGAACAATATTTGTACATTCTAGTGATTTTTTTATCACATTTGTCTAGTAAATGTCATTGAAACATACATATACAGACGTGAGTAATACAAAACTACCTTATAATACATGAACGAAGTAATACTTCACACGAATTCATATATGTATTTCGTTCGTATTTCGACAAAGTTCTGTTGTTGTTTCGAAATGTATATGTATTAGAATATTTAATACCTAATGATATATTTGGGTCCATATTCCTCTTTAATTTCAAATTGAATGATTTTTCAAAACAATTAAGCCCTAATTTAACAGTTATTGGTTTGTCTATTTTCTGCATCGAATCCCGGAAAAGTTATATTTCAAGATCAATGATGTGGATCTAAAAGGGTTTATGAACCAATATTTATTTAGACATTATATTGTTTAAAATAAAATTTCACGTGACTTATTATTGGCATTTTTTTTTCTACTTTTATTATTACATAGTGTTTTGAAGGTTCGTAGAATTTTTGTCAACTTTTCAACTTAAAGTAATTTTCAGTGATCTTAGTCGTTTCATTTAAATAGCTTTCGTTATGAGAATTCTTTGATGGAAATATGAATTCTCCTTTGAAAATAATTAAAAGTTATATTACGTCCTTTAATTTTTTTCAAGTCAGGCGTTTTTATTTAAATTGGATTTTGATTTTATGAAAACTTTGATATTTTCTTATATTATAAAAAGGTCTTAAGATATATTCGTGTGTGTATATTTTCATGTTGTTTCTGTTCTACTACTTGTAACATATAAGAAACTAACTCTCTACTAACATATAAGAAAGACTTCCCCTGCTCTACGATATTCTTTTTGTGAATGTATATTAGATCGGTGATTTAGGTAGGTACGTATATTAAAAGCACTAATTTGCAATTCATTGATTTATAATTTTTCTTGAAGTTAAAATTATTCTTAAAACATTTCGTATTCATCTTCATGTATTAGTTGATTTTTTAAACTATTTTTTTAAGAGTAGTCGCAAAATTAAAAAAATCCAAAAAGATAATTCCACATTAACATTGAGTATTTACGAATTTAAATCAAAAATCTAGTTTTGTTAATACAAATATAATTTTTCTCCTCTTTTTGTCACAATCAGGGTACAAAATTCTGTAAGAATTAGTTAGTATGGAAATTCTTATCGTCATCAGCCTATCAGAGCCCACTGCTGAGCAAAGGTCTCTCCTCAACTAGAGAAGATTTGAGCATTAATCACCACGCTCGCTCAAGACGGGTTGGTGATTTCCAACTTAAAATTTCAAATTATAAGTCCAGGTTTCCTCACGATGTTTTCCTTCACCGTTTGTCAGTGGCGTCTAAATACTCTTAGAAAGTACATATGACTCGGAAAAATCACATTTGTACAGTTTGCAAGGGCCAGGAGAAATTCCCATAATTAATTAATTAATTATTAATTCCTAAAGCCTAATATTTAAGTTGTCATGTTAAATACGAGAAGTGTTATATTATCTTTGAAAGATGAAACATTATACAACGCTTATAGATCGTTTGTTTTATCGAAACGGGTGTCTGACACCGAGTGTCAGCGACAAGGAAGCGAAAAGATATCATTGTCGTTAAATGTTAATTTTACGAAATTACTCATTAAGTTTTTAGGTTAATCGGTCAATAATGAAAGAGATTATTTAAAAGAAATACCAATAAAATGAGTTTTCATAGTTTTGCCTTCAATATAAGTATGTATTATTAAATACCTATCCATACTTTACCTATGTGTTTAGTTTATATATACAGTTTCTTTTGGCTAATTTCTAAGTAAAAATATCTATATAAGATATCGTTTGCGGTCGCTTGGCATTTACATGAAGTTATAATTATATTATAATTGACATATTGTTATAAAGTTTCCTTATTTAAAAGGAATTGATATTTAACAACGAGGTGTCATACAATGGTTCACTGGCGAGATTTTTTTATACCTGGAACAAAATATCAATGTGAAATATATAGATTATAATATTTTTTAAGCTATAAATTATGTGACCTTCAAAGGTTTTACTATAAGGTATATCAACAACCTAGCACCGATGACTCGCACTCGGCTGGTATTAATTTTGAAGACACCGCAAACTATTATTATTCAATATTTCGTCAGAATTTTGTTTAGAATATTTAAAGAAACTAATATTCTTCGAATATAATACACGGGATTTACTTTTTGTATAAAACTCTACATTTGTAATAACCGTGAACACGGTTGCTGAA